ATATGCCTAATCTACGTGAAGCTGTTGATAAACTCTGTAAATCATGTTCAATTTGCCAAAAGCAAAACCCGCTAACATCACTTATTCCGAAGCTCATCTCAAGCCCATTCCTGATCAAACTATGGAAAGATTAGAACTTGATGTCAGGGCCAATCAATATGAAAAGGAAGTGATCGTGTTATCATTGTTATTTGTGATTGTTTATCAAGATACGTGTATGCAAAGATTTATAAAAATCAAAAGGCAAAAACGGTAATAGCTTTCCTCCAGGACTTCTTCCGTTTATTCGGTGTTCCTAAAGTTATTCAAACAGATCGTGGTCGCAATTTTCTGTCTCATGGTGAAGACTATCTCTCATCTTTATCGATAAAGCATCAAGTTTCCTGCTTATCATCCTCAGTCACAAGGACTCGTCGAAAGGACAAACCGAACTATTGGTGAAAGGTTAAGAATTTATGTTCTTTCAATGGTTACAAAGGTATCGAATCTGAGTTAGACACTATGGTTTATTCCATTAATGCTAGTGTTCATAAGATAACCAGATATCCTCCTCATTTCTTAATGTTTGAAATTGGCCTTCTAAACCCATTGACAATCATCTTTCATTAGAACCAATGTCAATCTCAATCGATGAAGCAAGAAAGCTCGCAAAGAGATTAATGCAAAATCAAATCAATTACGTTGAGAAGCAACGATTAATTGAGAAACCTCATCCTTATAAAATCGGCGATAAAGTCTCAATAAAGAGCTCCTCATCCTGGTTCTGGTAAAAGTTATCATCTAAATATTCTGGTCCTTATATCATCAAAGATATCATCAAAGGAAGTTTATTAATCGAAAATGAAAAAACTAAAGAGATAACTTCAGTTAACCTTCAACGAACTAAACCCTTTTATGAAGATTCCAAAGATTTTCCTTTATTGGAAATTTCTAAAGAAACCAAAGAATCTCCTTCATTGGATGTAATTGATTCCAAAGATTCGTCTTCTTCATCTTCTTCCTCAGAAAAGGAAAGTTCAGAGAATTCTTCTTCCGATGATTCAGAAAAATCAAAAGAAATCAATCAATTAAAAAAGTTAAGAAATCGATCGAAAATCAAACCTCCCGCTCGATATGGTCAGTGCCTCTATCTTCATGGTTCACTTAGCAACCGTTGCCATTCAACCATTAAGCGCGCACAGGAAGTCACCATTTTATCTTATCAGCGTACAAATGAAAGTACAATTTTGTGTCTCATAAAAGACAAATTAATTAGCTTTTTTAATCACTTTTTCTCAAGTTTTAATTGTGTTCATATCAAATTGTTTACTCATCTTTACTCTTTATCGAGATTGTTAAGAAAAATTTATAAAAATTTTCTTATTTTCTGTGTAAACATGGATCCATCTTCAAGTGCCTTTTCATCAGTTCAAAGAATCTTATGTTGAGAAAATTCCGTCGACTTTTATCAAGTTCTTAAGGAGAAAATTCAACTTAATGTCGCTGATTCACCTCATGTTCGGAACGCTAATTATAGCGATGCACCTAAAGGCTACTGAGCTTCAAAGTGTTTCATCCTCTCTTTGATGTTGCTGATAAACTTTTGTGCCAATTGTGTGAACAAGTTTCCGCTTCCCCAGTTAGTTGTATAAACTGTTATCATTGGTACTGTTTGGATTGCGCTTTATGGCTTAATAAGTTCCCCGAAAGAATCAAAATCACCGCTCCAATAAAGGACACCGAATTTCTTTGTATTAAACCCTCATGTCTTCGTAATGTTGCCTATCGAAAATCTTATTCATGTTTCAATCGTCCAAAAGAAGGTGATCAATTATCTCTTTATCGAGCTTGCCAATTTGAATGTCGAAGAGAACATTGTCTCTTTCGATCAACACCTGAGGTAATAAGTGCCCATGAAGGTAATTGTTATAAAGGTGAATGGGATCCTCAATATGACCACAACCTACAACTCAAGTTCCAAAAAGGACCAATTCGTAAGAATCTTGAAAATTCTGTTGTAAGTTTAGCCGATGTTTTAGTTCCTCAGCATCGAGCTCTCAGTTCCTGTTCTACATCCCAAGATGAACATTGGAAAAAACGTTTTGAAGTTTATTGTTGTCTCCTCCGTTCCGCTAATAAAAGCCCTGAGCGATTCACCCCTTCTAAGCTTAGACTCGAAGCAAATTTCAAAAATGATGATGGTGAAGCTCTTCGAAAAGTTTATGATCCAATGAGACCCGTTTGGATTGGAGAAAAATGGGCCCAAGAACTTGGCTTCCCACCTCTTCATGGAGATTCTGAAATATGGAATTTTCCAACTCGTCCAGACAATCAACTCAATGAGTATCGACCCCCAAAGCTTTTATCAGCTACTTCCAAGTGGATTCAGGAAAATCGACAACAGAAATGTCCAGATTGGAATCGAGCTCTTTCATTAAAATCATCAATTTCAACTTCTTCACTTTTATCAATTGTTGGTGAAAATTCTTACATTTCAATTGATCCTCATCCTCGTCAATGAAGACGAAAAGAGGAATATCTTAAAGAACTTGCCACTATCCAAGTATCGTCACCCTGATAATATCAGAAAAACTGATGAAAGTTCTGATCCTGTGAAAAAAGCGAAATGCTCATCGTCGAAAGCATCTTTAGCTCGATGGAATAGTCGACCGGTGCAGTTTCTCACATTCATTCCTCTGTTCTTAATCTTCTCTTCTTCAGAAACTCATTCTGATCTTAACCGAGTTATTTGTGTCCATGCTACTTATTGCATTCAAAACTCTGGTAAACTCTCACCAATTTGGGTTATCATCTTAAACGGTCACCATGAAGTGATTTATGAAACCTTTATTCGTACTCCTCATCGCTTTATTGCAAATATGAATTCAAAATTTCATGGCCTCGTCTATGAAGACATTAAAATGGCTAAATCATTGAAATCAGTACGAGATCAAATTGGAAAAATTTTCATCGCCGCTAAACAAATAATTGGTGCAAGTCTTCATTCACTCCTATCAAATTTTGAGTTCGCCGAAGACGAAATAAAACGTCTCAGGAATAAATTCCGTGATGTTATCTACTATTATACTCCTTATGAATTCAATCCAATTTCCCTTCATGTTATCATCTTCTTAGTATTCAAAGGCTCTGTCATAAAACCAACGCCTCATTCACCCGCTGTTGAAGCCTCTTCTGCCCTGAATCTTTATCTACTCGAATGGCAACTAATTGAGGAACAAGCCGAAATACTTGGTGGTATTCATAATAAAGTTCCCTGTGGTCACAAGAAAGGCGCTGCTATGTTTGCCCTATTTGAATCAAATGTCAAAAAAGGAATAGCTTCATGGCCAAAGGAATGGGAAAATACAACTTTTCGTTACAAACCAATTCGAGCTTCACAAAAGGCTGAAACCGTCGAACCGGATTGGGATTACCTTGAATTCATTTATGAAACCAACAAGGTTGAACTAGCTGAGAAAAGCAAATCACCTGAACCCACTGAACAAGCTGAGAAAAGCCAACCAACTAATGAATCAAATGATCAATCTGATTGGCCAGATGAACTTCCATCTTCTCACTCACAAGCCGAAAGAGATTATTGGATAATCCAAGAAGAACCTGAAGAAAATCCTGAACAAGAAAAAGTTTCTTCATCGAATAGCTCAGTTATCTGTTCACTAGAAAGTGATTCTCTTCAGATACTAATGCTAATCTCTTTATCGAGAGTGTTACTCCTGAACTTCCATGTTCTCCTACCTCATCATGTTCAACTCCGTCGCCTTTTCTTAGGTCAGGAACGCGAATTCCCACTGAAAATTGAGATCATATCAGTCAAAGAGAGGATATGTAAGGTAACCCTCATGAACCTCAATTTTCGCTCATGCTTTTCCTTTCTCTCACCATGAATAAATCACATGATTGTTTTATCAACTTCCTTTAAATTTGATTAACCTTTAGTTTAACCTTTATGGGCTATAAAAGCCAATTCATTTCTATTAATCCTTAACAGTTTAATTAATTGTTCATCTTCAAGTCACTTGACTTTTATTAGTCTTCCTTAATTGTGACTAAATCTCTTTTACTAATTGTGCTTATAAAAGCTTCTCAATTAGTCACCTTCATTGGTCTAATTACTCTTTGTGTTCCTATTTGTAACAGTATCTATTCATTCATTCAATCCGTTAATCATTCTAGACTTTGTTTTCTACTGTTAATCATTAATTACTTAATTAAATTTATTTACTTATAAAAGTGCTCTAACCTTTATTGGTCATTCGCCCTTGTGAATTAGTATGTGTGCGAAAACACAGTAAGTCGAAAGGACTGAGTAGAAGGGACAAAACGGACCTTTGAGAGTTAAGTTCGGTACTCTGACCCTTGTCCACTCTAAAACCCGACATTAGATTAGATTAATTTTTTTACCTTCATGTGGATTTCATTCGTTAATGTGCTATTGATTAACAATTAACAGATTTTGGTATTAACTGAATTAATTTTGTCTCTTACACACCCTGATGATAATTAGTTTTATTTTCTAATATTAATCTAATCTCAATGGCAATTCCTTGGTGATTTAAGGTTGATTAGTTAATCATGAGAGATAAACTTGATTCTTTATTCATACTTGACAATCTTATTTTGAATATTCATTGGGATTTGCTACGATTTTCTTGACAATTAGACTGGACATGATTTTTGGTCGCACAATTAATTAATCTTGAGCATCTTATTCAATTGCTCTTGATTTCAAAGTTAATTGTTGAGAGCTAATTGTAACGATCAAGTAATCAGATGGCTTGTGATTTCCTTTGCAGAAAATTTGATTTAATTGGTTCGTGATTTTCGATAAATTGATTGAATTCTATTGAAAATGTTACAGGTTAAGATAATTATTCGCTTAATGATTAACTTGATGAAAGAAAAAATTAAAATTAAATTAACTCTTTACTCGAATTGTGCTGCCATCTGGTGGTCAATTTCTATTCCATTTCAAATTTTTTTTCCTTTTGTTTACATTTGATTTTCTTAAAGTTGAAGAGAAACAAATGTTTTTTTATTAATTGTTACGTTTTAATTGTCTAAATGATTAACTTTTTTTATTCTTTTCTGATTAGTTTCTAATGTGATTTCAATTCTCAACTGTCCTTTATTGAAAATGGTAACCATTTACCATGAGAAACAGCGGAAACAATTGTGTGCTCTTCATTCAATAAATAATCTACTCCAAGGAAATTATTTTAATCAACAAGATTTAGATTCAATTTGCTTAAGGTAAGTTTAATTTTCGGAAGGTAAAGTTGATTTCTTTTAATTGTCAGACTATTTTGTTATACTTACTGATCGGATTTGTTTCCATTTCCTTTTCTTTCCAAGATTATCTCCTGAAAGGCAAATCTTAAATCCACATCGATCGCTTTTTGGTCTTGGTAATTATGATGTGAATGTACTAATAACTGCTCTACAATCAAAAGGTTTCGAAACGATTTGGTTTGATCAAAGAAAGTAAATTAACTCTATTTACATATATTGATTTTCTGTTGTGGCTTATGATGATGTTAATTGATGATAGATTTTCTTTAATATCTTCTTGTTAGAGATCCTGATTGTCTCCAGTTTAATCATATTCTTGGTTTCATATTAAACGTTGACAATTCCAAAGTGGACAATTCAAGTCTCTACAATTGGATTAACCCTGTTAATTTTTTCACTTCCCGGAAACACTGGATTGCTTTTAGAAAGATTGATGATCAATATTATAATCTTGACTCTAAATTAGACAATCCGGAAATAGTTGGACAGGTAATCAAAGTTTGACTGTTGTTTCTCTGAGTAAATCGAATGAACTTTAACATTTTTTTTAATTCTCAATTTGATTTCCAGGAAGATGATATGATTAAACTACTGAAGAAAATGTTGGCTCAAGGTGATTGTCAACTTTTGGTGGTACAGAAAAAATCAGATCAACTAATGAGTGACTTATGATCTTCAACTTTGATCCAAGAGATTGAGTATTTTTCCTTGGATAGAAACTAATCTTCTTGCCTATTGTAAGAAAGACAAGTGAATATTGAAACTTTCATTTAGATTTAATTATTGACTGGACAATTAACGTTCCTCATTTTCATATTTCCAGTAATTTCGAGAGTGATTTGAATTAGTCCAAGATTAACTTTAAATTTGCTTCACTTTCAACATATTACAAGTTTTTTCTGCTGAAATTTTATGAATTTTACATTTTTATCTTTGATAGTTTTGGTGGAATCAATATATGAAAATGATTCACTTGTGGCTCATATTGGAGATGAACGGATTAACACAGGATATTTGATTGATGAATATGGTTAACTTATTAAGTTTTAAATTAATAAATGGTGAGATTACTTTTCAATAGACAGTTGAAAACAGAATTTTATTGGTTGGAAGCGATTCGCTTTCGGTGATGATGATTTTACAGCTAAAGAAATTAAACAATTAACTTTTTTGAATTAATTTACAAATGATGAAGATTTTGATAAACTTTTATATTGCGACAGTTTGAGCTGCTAGTACAAATACTGTACTTAGAAATTGATTCACGAAAAAAAGAAACAGGTTATCTACCGAATCCATAACCAACTCCTCCACCGATTCCTTTAACTCCAGCTGCTCCTGCAACACCAGCGGCTTTCTTAAATCCACTTGCTCCTCCTGCTCCAGCCTTGGCTCCAGCAGAGCCTGAAGTTCCAGCGGCGAAGCCTTTACCACCACCGACTTTTCCTCCCTTGTACCCAGCCGCTCCTGAAGCGCCAGCGTAACCTCCTTTGGCAGCTTTACCTCCGACAGCACCTCCAGCAGCACCATAACCAGCGGCTTTACCGAATTTGAATCCTTGGCTCATTCCAAATTTCTTAACAAGCCCGTATTTCTTGTTGTATCCAGCACCACCGGCTTTAGCGAATCCTCCTTTCTTTCCATACTTTTTACCAAAAGCTCCAGAAGCGAATCCACCCTTTTTAGAGGCTCCTTTAGCCCCACCAGCAGCTCCAGCGGCTCCATAAGCAGCACCACCTTTAGCACCTTTAGCTCCAGCAGCATAACCAGCCTTACCAGCTCCACCAGCTTGATATCCAGCAGCTCCGCCACCACCAGCACCTTTCTTGAAAGCAGCAAGACCAGCACCTCCAGCACCACCAACCGCTGATTCGGCTCCTTCTAAATCAGCTGAGATATCTCTTCTTTCTCTTTGTTGACCATCGAAAGAATCTTCGAACTCTTCTTCTTCTTCAGCTCGAACCAACGAATTACAAAGAACAATAGATGAAACGAAAATGAAGAATAACTAGAAAGACGAAAAGAGATGAAATATTAGAGAAAATAATCCAATTGAAATTTCCAAACTGAAAACAAATTATCAATTAAAGAAAATAAACTTAAATAATATTTACCAATTGTTTGTTCATTTTGATGAATTCGATTTTGTCGATTGAAATCTAAACGCAGAAACCACTTTTTAGTTCGAAACAAAAGTTTTAGAAAGAACTTAGTTAATAGTTTTTAGTTTGATGTTTGTTGTTTGAATCTCGAACTCAATTTCATCTATTATTATAGAATTAATCAAATTAGATTCTAACGAATACTATTTGATTTCATTAATTAAATGCGTGATTAGGTTTATATGATTGCAACATTGAGATATGAACTCTTATTGAGCTCTGGGATTTCCTTGATGATAATAAATCACTAAGCCGATTCATCCTTCAGTCTCCAGTTTCTGACTGTACTTCCAAAAACCGATAGTAGGTCGGACTTTGGACGAAGAGTTCGTTGACAATATAAATACAGAAACGAAAAAGTTTCAAAGCAAAGTGATTACAAGCTTGAAACAATAAACAACAATCAACTTTTGTGTTTTTCCTTCGTAAGAATTTTCAAGCAATCAAATTAAACAAAATGAACAAACAAGTGGTAAGCTTATTGATAATTTGTTTTGTGTTTAGAAATTTAAATTGAATATTTTTCTAATCGCGGATATTTTTCTTTTTTGTGTCTTTCTAGTTTTTCTTCATTTTCGTTTCATCTCTTGTTCTTTGTGTTTCGTTGGTTCGAGCTGAAGAAGAAGAAGAGTTTGAAGATTCGTTCGATGGTCAACAAGAAGAAGAAGCTATTTTAGAGAGAGAAAGACGAGATATCTCAGCTGATTTAGAAGGAGCCGAATCTGCAGCTGGTGGTGCAGGAGGTGCTGGTCTTGCTGCTTTCAAGAAAGGTGCTGGTGGTGGCGGAGCTGCTGGATATCAAGCTGGTGGAGCTGGTAAGGCTGGTTATGCTGCTGGAGCTAAAGGTGCTAAAGGTGGTGCTGCTTATGGAGCCGCTGGAGCTGCTGGTGGGGCTAAAGGAGCCTCTAAAAAGGGTGGATTCGCTTCTGGAGCTTTTGGTAAAAAGTATGGAAAGAAAGGAGGATTCGCTAAAGCCGGTGGTGCTGGATACAACAAGAAATACGGGCTTGTTAAGAAATTTGGAATGAGCCAAGGATTCAAATTCGGTAAAGCCGCTGGTTATGGTGCTGCTGGAGGTGCTGTCGGAGGCAAAGCTGCCAAAGGAGGTTATGCTGGAGCTTCAGGAGCAGCTGGATACAAGGGAGGTAAAGTCGGTGTGGCTTCGCTGCTGAACTTCAGGCTGCTGAGCCAAGGAGTGGAGCAGGAGGCCAGTGATAAAGCCGCTGGTGTTGCAGGAGCGGCTGAGTTAAGGAATCGCGGAGTTGGTTATGATTCGGTAGATAAACCTATCACCAACTTCATAACCATTTTTTTCATTTATTTATCAAAGCCAGAACATTCAAAATCTATCACAATGAACTACAAAACAGCGTAATATTGTAAATTTTTTGAATATTTAAACTGTAATGTATTGATATTCATTTAATTACTTAACAAAAATTAAAAAATTTCTCCATGAAAACTATTAATAGATGACTTCTAATCAATTTTATTCATTTCCACCAAAGTTTTGCCTTTATGAGAAATCGTTACAAAAAACTTTCACAAAATCAAGTTTCAACAATCTACTTTTCTGGGTAAAACTTTTTAATAATAATCCCAATGGCAGATTGAACTAGAATCGAGAAGAATTAGAAAACCATTAATTTAATCAAATTGTCGAAAATTTTTAATATCGAAAGTTTTAAAAGCACTACTGATTGCTGCTTGAATAGCCTGAGGCAAAATGAGTGTTACAGAAAAAATTAGTTGACCAATCAAAGGGTTAAATTGTATGGTAGTGCTACTTAATTAAGCAGTTTAACTGATTAAAACACCCGAAGTAACACTCATTTTCCCTCAGGCTATTCAAGCAGCATTAGTTGATTAGAAGTCATCTATTAATAGTTTTCATGGAGAAATTTTTTAATTTTTGTTAAGTAATTAAATGAATATCAATACATTACAGTTTAAATATTCAAAAAATTTACAATATTACGCTGTTTTGTAGTTCATTGTGATAGAGGTTTTGAATGTGGTTTCTTTGGCTTTTGATTAAGAGTAAGATGAAAAAATGGATTATTGAGAGTTGGTGATATTTACTATCGAATTATAATCAACTCTCCGCCGATCCTTAACTCCAGTTGCTTCCAACACCAGCGGCTTTCTTAAACGCCTGCCTGTTAGCCTGTTCCAGCGGTGAATTATTAGCATCGATTCTTTCTCCCGCCTTTAGCGTTGGGCCAGCAACCCTTTGGCAGCTTTGCCTCGACAGCACCCAGCAGCACCAGCGAGCTTTTTCGACCAATCTGGCTTTACCTCGAATTTCTTCAGTATTTTGTTGTATCCACGGCTTTAGCGATCCTTCTTTCCACTTTATCAAAGAATCCACCCTTTAGAGCCTTAGCCACCAGCAGCCCAGCGGCTCCATGCAGCACCACCTTAGCACCTTTAGCTCCAGCAGCATAACCAGTTACCAGCTCCAGCTTGATATCCAGCAGCCCACCACCAGCAGCACCTTTCAGCAAGACCAGCACCTCCAGCACCACCAACCGCTGATTCGGCTCCTTCTAAATCGGCTGAGATATCTCGTCTTTCTCTCTCTAAAATAGCTTCTTCTTGTTGACCATCGAACGAATCTTCAAACTCTTCTTCTTCTTCAGCTCGAACCAACGAAACACAAAGAACAAGAGATGAAACGAAAATGAAGAATAACTAGAAAGACACAAAAAAGAAAAATATCCGCGATTAGAAAAATATTTCAATTTAAATTTCTAAACACAAAACAAATTATCAATACACAATCAATAAGCTTACCACCTGTTTGTTCATTTTGTTTAATTTGATTGCTTGAAAATTCTTACGAAGGAAAAACACAAAGAAAGTTGATTGTTGTTTATTGTTTCAAGCTTGTAATCACTTTGCTTTGAAACTTTTTCGTTTCTGTATTTATATTGTCAACGAACTCTTCGTCCAAAGTCGGACCTACTATCGGTTTTTGGAAGTACAGTCAGAAACTGGAGACTGAAGGATGAATCGGCTTAGTGATTTATTATCATCAAGGAAATCCCAGAGCTCAATAAGAGTTCATATCTCAATGTTGCAATCGCCGCAAACCTAATCACGCATTTAATTAATACAAAAATGAATATCAAGTCATCGAAATTCACTGTTGTTTTTTTCGTTTAATGTAATCAGACAATAATCTGTGAAAATACTATTAACCAGAATTCACCAAGGATAAAATGTATGATTGGGTTCGTTTCCCTCGATTTGTCCTTTCTCACTTTAGACTGAAGGAGTTTTGTTGGTATAAAAAGAGAGAGAAAAATTGAAATAGATACAAATTGAGTTCGAGATTCAAACAACAAACATCAAACTAAAAACTATTAACTAAGTTCTTTCTAAAACTTTTGTTTCGAACTAAAAAGTGGTTTCTGCGTTTAGATTTCAATCGACAAAATCGAATTCATCAAAATGAACAAACAATTGGTAAATATTATTTAAGTTTATTTTCTTTAATTGATAATTTGTTTTCAGTTTGGAAATTTCAATTGGATTATTTTCTCTAATATTTCATCTCTTTTCGTCTTTCTAGTTATTCTTCATTTTCGTTTCATCTATTGTTCTTTGTAATTCGTTGGTTCGAGCTGAAGAAGAAGAAGAGTTCGAAGATTCTTTCGATGGTCAACAAAGAGAAAGAAGAGATATCTCAGCTGATTTAGAAGGAGCCGAATCAGCGGTTGGTGGTGTGGAGGTGCTGGTCTGCTTTCAAGAAAGGTGCTGGTGGTGGCGGAGCTGCTGATACCAAGCTGGTGGAGCAAGCTGCTGGAGCCAGCAAGGTGGTGCTGCTTATGGAGCCGCTGGAGCTGCCAGGCTAAAGGAGCCCTAAAAGGGTGGATTCGCTTCTGGAGCTTTTGCAAAAAGTATGGAAAGAAAGGAGGATTCAAAGCCGGTGGTGCTGGATAACAAGAAATACGGGCTTGTTAAGAAATCTGAGCCAAGGATTCAAATTCGGAGCTGCTGGTTATGGTGCTGGAGGTGCTGTCGGAGTAAAGCCCAAAGGAGGTTACGCTGGCGCTTCAGGATGGCTGGGTACAAGGAGGAAAAGTCGGTGGTGGTAAGGTCGCTGTTGAACTCAGGCCTGCTGAGCCAAGGCTGGAGCAGGAGGACAAGTGGATTTAAGAAAGCCGCTGGTGTTGCAGGAGCAGCTGGAGTTAAAGGAATCGGTGGAGGAGTTGGTTATGGATTCGGTAGATAACCTGTTTCTTTTTTTCGTGAATCAATTTCTAAGTACAGTATTTGTACTAGCAGCTCAAACTGTCGCAATATAAAAGTTTATCAAAATCTTCATCATTTGTAAATTAATTCAAAAAAGTTAATTGTTTAATTTCTTTAGCTGTAAAATCATCATCACCAAAAGCGAATCGCTTCCAACCAATAAAATTCTGTTTTCATTTCCAACTGTCTATCGAAAAGTAATCTCACCATTTATTAATTTAAACTTAATAAGTTAACCATATTCATCAATCAAATATCCTGTGTTAATCCGTTAATCTGCAATATTATTCACAATTGAATCATTTCAAATATTGGTTTTACCAGTATATTGATTCCACCAAAACTATCAAAGATAAAAATGTAAAATTCATAAAATTTCAGCAGAAAAAACTTGTAATATGTTGAAAGTGAAGCAAATTTAAAGTTAATCTGGACTAATTCAAATCACCTGAAATTACTGGAAATATGAAATGAGGAACGTTAATTGTCCAAATAATTAAATCTAAATGAAAGTTTCAATATTCACTTGTCTTTCTTACAATAGGCAAGAAGATTAGTTTCATCCAAGGAAAATACCAATCTGTTGGATCAAAGGAAGATCATAAGTCACTCATTAGTTGATCTGATTTTTTCTGTACCACCAAAAGTTGACAATCACCTTGAGCCAACATTTTCCTCAGTAGTTTAATCATATCATCTTCCTGGAAATCAAATTGAGAATAAAAAAAAATTGTTAAAGTTCATTCGAGTTACTCAGAGAAACAACAGTCAAACTTTGATTACCTGTCCAACTATTTCCGGATTGTCTAATTTAGAGTCAAGATTATAATATTGATCATCAATCTTTCTAAAAGCAATCCAGTGTTTCCGGGAAGTGAAAAAATTAACAGGGTTAATCCAATTGTAGAGACTTGAATTGTCCACTTTGGAATTGTCAACGTTTAATATGAAACCAAGAATATAATGTTCTGTCTATTGAAAAGTAATCTCACCATTTATTAATTTAAACTTAATAAGTTAACCATATTCATCAATCAAATATCCTGTGTTAATCCGTTAATCTGCAATATTATTCACAATATGAGAAGATACAAATATAATTAGTTAGAAATTGATTAAATTAGAATCAAGAAGAATTAACTAAGATAATTAATTGGTAACTTACTGTTATCGACTTTTTGAAAATCTTTCATTGCGATTGACGAATGTCTTTCGATTATTGACATTTGATCTGTCGTAAGGTTTTCGCCCAATTTTCTTACCGCCAACAAAATTTCACATCTTTTTTCATCGAAATCATTTCGAAGCAAATTACCGGTTTCGAATTGCCTTTCAAGCTAAAATGTTGGGGAAAGAGTAGAAGATATTTAAATTACTAAATTATTTGTTATAAATTAAACTTACCGACATTCCTCCAGATCAGACAATTGAGTGAGTAACCTTTCCAATTACTCTTCCTAATTAGCTTTTAGTTTATCCGTTTCATGGGCTTCTCTTGATGTCGATGTCATGATGAGTTGAGATAAAACTTTCAAATAATCAAATGATTCAATCTAATCAACCAGAAAAATTAAATCAAGAAAAAAATTAGACTCTTTAGTTAAGAGTTGAGACTTTGTGTATTTGTAGTACCAAAAATATAAAGTCTGAATGTTTTTATCTTTTTCTGGTCTGATCAGTAGATTTCGTCATTCAACCAAAGCTATTAATATAACAACGTTTAACAGATAATAACCCTCGAAGATCATCTCATTCTAGTAAAACTGTTGATCAAATTGAAAAAGTACTCGATCCCTGCTGATGAACCATACTAGGAAAGTCTCAGAAATAAGCTTCAGATCATTTTCGACACTCGGGACTAATCGCGATCCATTTATTTAAATATAACTGAACTAATACAATTTAGGATGTGGAAAGAAGCAAAAGTAAAAAGAAAGAGAAAATTAGAAAAAATTATAACTTTTGACCCTTGACACCTACAACATTGATTCTATTTTATGTTGGTGCAGAATTTAAAAAGCTGAAATGGTGGTTTTGATATTCTTGTAGCGGTTCAGATTTTCTTCAATGTTTGCTTCAAAAAACGTGAATCGTAATTATTGTGTGATGAGGAAATGAGCAACAACTTTGATTCCGTTAGAAACTTGGCTTCACATGACGAGCTCTTGAACAGAAATCGACTGATCATGAAATTTTGTGTCTGTAATTTGAATTTTTAAATATTAATTATGAGCAGGACAATTTTGTTGGAAAACAAGACCGACAGAAAATTGGTTTTACCAAAATTAATATACCATAATTTTGCGATAATTTTGATAAGGAAAAGATATCAATAAATCTGATAGATTAAGACCAACAAAGATCCAAGTAAAATTAAAAAGAAAACTGTAACCACAAAGACTAAGCAACCGGTAATACGATTTTCATTATTTACATCGAACTTACATAGAGAACTTGTTCGATTTCCTCGATTTTTCCTTCCTATCTTTCGACTGAGGGAGTTTTCTTGGTATAAAAAGAGTGAGAAAAATTAGAATCGATACAATTTGAGTTCGAGATTCAAACAACAAACATTGAACAAACAAAAAAGTTTTCTAATTTTTAAAGTGATAAACTCAAATTCATCAGAATGAACAAACAATTGGTAAATATTATTTTAGTTTATTTTCTTTAGTTGTTAATTTGTTTTGTGTTTAGAAACATCAATTGGATTATTTTCTCTTATTGTATTATTAATATTTTTCTATTTCTTTTCGTCTTTTTAGTTATTCTTCATTTTTGTTTCATCTCTTGTTCTTTGTGTTTCATTGGTTCGAGCTGAGGAAGAAGAAGAGTTCAAAGATTCGTTCGATGGTCAACAAGAAGAAGCTAAGAGAGAAAGAGATATCCGATTTAGAAGGAGCCGAATCTGCAGCTGGTGGTGCAGGAGTGCAGGTCTTGCCGCTTTTAAGAAAGGTGCTGGTGGTGGCGGAGCTGCTGGATACCAAGCAGGTAAAGCTGGAAAAGCTGGTTATGCTGCTGGAGCCAAGGGTGCTAAAGGTGGTGCTGCTTATGGAGCCGCTGGAGCTGCAGGGGCTAAAGGAGCCTCTAAAAGGGTGGATTCGCTTCTGGAGCTTTTGGTAAAAGTATGGAAAGAAAGGAGGACTGTGGTGCTGGATACAATAAGAAAATGGGTCTTGTCAAGACATTCGGAATGAGCCAAGGATTCAAATTCGGTAAAGCTGCTGGTTATGGTGCTGCTGGAGGTGCTGTCGGAGGTAAAGCCGCTAAGGGAGGCTATGCTGGAGCCTCAGGAGCAGTTGGACACAAAGGAGGAAAATTTGGTGGTAAAAACGGTTTCGCTGCTGGAGCTGCTGATGCTACTGGAGGTAAAGCTGGAGTTGCTGGAGCTGGTGGATTCAAGAAAGCCGCTGGTGCCACAGGAGCTTCTGGGTATAAAGCAACAAGTGGTAAAGGTGGTTCTGGGTTCGGTCGCTAATCTTAGCCAAATTTCACAGTCTTTTGTAATACTTTTCTCAATTATCCAATTTTTTGCATATGAAGACCAAGGAAACAAAAATTTAAACTCCTTGATAAATCTAATCTATTTTTTATTAATTAAGTCAGTCAAATGACAAAAACCCCTCAAAATAGTTCCGTCCACATCCATGAAACTACATACAGACTAACTCACTTCAATCACCACCAACAAGTTCCCTTACTACGACAAGCTGAATTCCAGGATATGTATTAAAAGATAAACTCAAGTTCCTTTCCCATTCCAAAACCGTCACAATTAACAGCAAAACTTTCAAATTCTTCTAATAAACATTGATTCTACTTAAAGTTGTTAACTCGAATTAAATTCTCATTTTAATAAATAATCAATTGGTGTCAATATAATTTTATTTTCGTACCAAAAAAATGTTTTCGTATATTCGATGCGACTATGTTTATCAACTTCTAATATGTAATTCAGTCAAAATTATTTGACTGTATAACCTCAGATCAACCAAGAGACACTCTTATTTATGATTCTAAATATGAATCATTTGTATTGTTTCATTCGAAAAGTTCTTAAGTGACTGACCTTCGATACGCCAGAACACTTTCACCAAAATCAAAAAGAAAAATTCTGGCATTGTTTCGGTTATTAATAAATCGATCGATTTATTTGGGACTATGGAAATTTACAGTAGGATGTAGGAGGTCAAATGAGATTTTTACTCAACAGTTTTCATATTAAAACTCTTCTGATTAATTCATTTAGTTTCTATTAATATTTAGTTCTAAGTCATAATCGTACTCGGGTTCAGATTCGGGTTTAATGTAAATTGTTATAACAATTGACTTTCGAGAGATGTCCGGATAGTTACAATCAATTTCCCAGCTTCGTAGTTTCTAAGCTGTTATATGCTTTCTGAAGATTTTGTATTTAAAAATATTTCATCATGAAATGATTGAAATCATGTAGAGTCAAAGTTAGAAAGCTTTAATTTAGGCCCAGAGGAATAATCTACGTTTTCGGCAAACAGATCAATAAGTTGAAAATTGACACATAATTTTAATTGTTGATTATTCGTCAACCAGTGAACTTTAATCATTTAAATTGACATGAATGATAGAAAAAGCTACGAGAATTCTGATGCTATTATAAAAATTGTAATTAAGAAAAATTTGTATCATTATAAGTTGAATTAAACTTTTACGGGCTTAATTGTTAAGTTCAAAATGTATGGCGGAGTTTTGATTAATTTAGATTTTGATGCAAATTTTTTAAAATCGAAAATTAAAGGCTGACCTTTACTCTATCTGGTAATGTGAAAGAATTATAATTAACTTATAATCCGAATGCATCTTTATATCGGTTTTCTTATTCAAAATTATTTGGAGTGAAATTATTTCAATCGAACTCTAGATTTTCCTTAAATAAATTAGAAGCAAAGTTATCTGTATTTGGAATCTTCAATATACAGCCATCGACTTTGAGTTTGCAACCACTTTTAATTTACTCACGACGATAATGATAATCAATGAGAGATTAATGATCAATAAGTTAACCCAAAGATAATAATCAATGTCCTCTCAATCAACTGGTGTTATCTTTTCAAATGGGCATCCGATTAGATTTATCTGTGACTAATTATCAGTAACTGCGCAAGTATATTAAAAGCGGTTGCAAACTCAAAGTCAATGGCTGTATAACAGCATAAATTTAAAGTGATTTGCAACAATTCATTTGACAATTAATGATATGCAAACGTCCTGTCGATTCAACCATTTGTATCGAAACTTACAACAATTAACAGAAGTAAATGAATCAAATGGGTTTTTCTCCCTCTGTTTGTCCTTTCTCACTTTGGACTGAAGGAGTTTTTTTGGTATAAAAAGAGAGAGAAAAATTAGAATCGATACAATTTGAGTTCGAGATTCAAACAACAAACAACAAACTAACTACAATTAACAAAGTTTACAAATTTTCTTAATAAAACATTCACCTAGTTTTCTAATTATTAAAGTGATCAAATCTAATTCATCAAAATGAACAAACAATTGGTAAATATTATTTTAGTTTATTTTCTTTAGTTGTTAATTTGTTTTGTGTTTAGAAACATCAATTGGATTATTTTCTTATTGTATTATTATTTTTCTATTTTCGTCTTTTATTCATTTTGTTTCATCTCTTGTTCTTTGTGTTTCGTTGGTTCGAGCTGAGGAAGAAGAAGAGTTCAAAGATTCGTTCGATGGTCAACAAAGAGAAAGAAGAGATATCTCAGCCGATTTAGAAGGAGCCGAATCTGCAGCTGGTGGTGCTGGAGGTGCTGGTCTTGCTGCTTTTAAGAAAGGTGCTGGTGGTGGCGGAGCTGCTGGATACCAAGCAGGTAAAGCTGGAAAAGCTGGTTATGCTGCTGGAGCCAAGGGTGCTAAAGGTGGTGCTGCTTATGGAGCCGCTGGAGCTGCTGGTGGGGCTAAAGGAGCCTCTAAAAAGGGTGGATTCGCTTCTGGAGCTTTTGGTAAAAAGTATGGAAAGAAAGGAGGATTCGCTAAAGCCGGTGGTGCTGGATACAATAAGAAAATGGGTCTTGTCAAGACATTCGGAATGAGAGGATTCAAATTCGGTAAAGCTGGTTATGGTGCTGCTGGAGGTGCTGTCGGAGGTAAAGCCGCTAAGGGAGGCTATGCTGGAGCCGCAGGAGCAGCTGGATACAAGGGAGGTAAAACTGGTGGTGCTAAAGGCTATGCCGGTGGAGCTAAAGGTGCAGCTGGTGGTAAAGCTGGAGTTGTGGAGCTGGTGGGTTCAAGAAAGCTGGTGCTGCAGGAGCTGCTGGAGTTACCGCTGCAGGTGGTGGTTATGGATTCGGTCGATAAGGTTCCTTCATTTTTCAACTTTCCCATTCTCTAAGTCACAACTATTGTAATAAAAAATTTCTCGAAAATTTAAAAACAAAATAAATTGTTACTTTTACTATTTAACTATCAATATTTTTTATTTATTTTATTTATAATTCTAATCAATCGCTCAAATTATCCAATAGATGCGCAAATACTTCTCTTGAACCAGACATTCAGCAACAGGAACATACTCTTCCTCTCATCAAATCAGAATTTACAATCAACTCTAACGTACTTGCATGAACATCCAACATGAATGAATGAAAGTGAATCCTTTTCTTGTAACTTAAACCAGACCGTTATTGTTGTTTTCTAGGAATTCACGAGCAAAAAAGCGGACTAGTGCATCTTCATCTCGAAAAGCTTTAAGTTACAATCCAATTCCACCTGTTGCTGAATCTCTGATATTGAGATGCGATGATTTTGAAACATCTTTTCATTGAACTTTCCTCTTAGACAACCTATTCGAACTGTTTTAAGCAAAAAAAATTTTGATCTCCAATAAAATCCGTTGATGATTATCACAAGAAAGGATTTATAGTGATTAATTCACTGATATTCAGAGTAATCATTTCAGCTTCCAAACAGATAGAAAAATCGATTGATTAGGTAGACAGATTCACTTGGATTCATTGGTGGATCAAACAGGTTGATGGCGATCAAAGTCAAGAAGCGAACTTGACTTTGTGGATGTCGTAAATTGTCTTGAAGATGATTGAAAAATAAATTCTCGAAAAACTCTCGATTAAAAACATCTTTAGAATCGATAGAGTCATCATATTGATAGAAGAATACAAATCCTTGCAAAATAATCGGATTTCCTGAAATAAAATGGAAATCAAGATTAGAAGTTAAATTGTAATTGAAAAAAAGCAAAAAAACTTACTCGAAAAGGAGAGTAAAGAAATCATTTTTAAATTCGGTAAACAATTCAGATGCACGAAGTAAACTCAATGCAAATCGATTCACTCAAGATCGTTTTCCTTTGAATTGGTTCCTTGAAAGGTCATATTGACCTTTCATAACCTTAGAAAAGGTTAACATAACCTTCACTATGGTTAGTAACATCCAGTGACCTAAACAATCGATTCACTCAAGATCGTCACAAACCCTCGGTCAGTGGATCTCCTTTCGTTGATCTGTGTAACCAGGCTCGATACATCGATGTTGGCGATCGGGGTCAAGGCAATGATGAAGGGCTCCAGAATCTTTTGTTCAACACAATCAAAAAGTTTAGCAGGCATCTTAAGTAATTATGATTAACACTGACAATTTACTCTTTTTTTAATGCATTTATATATTTTTCTTTTTTCTTCCCCTTAGTCTCTCTCCAAATTGGATATCTCAACTAAATTCCACTGGATGTTACTAGCCATAGTGAAGGTTATGTTAACCTTTTCTAAGGTTACAAAAGGTCAATATGACCTTTCAAGGAACCAATTCAACATTCGCTAAAGCCGGTGGTGCTGGATACAATAAGAAAATGGGTCTTGTCAAGACATTCGGAATGAGCCAAGGATTCAAATTCGGTAAAGCCGCTGGTTATGGTGCTGCTGGAGGTGCTGTCGGAGGTAAAGCCGCTAAGGGAGGCTATGCTGGAGCCGCAGGAGCAGCTGGATACAAGGGAGGTAAAACTGGTGGTGCTAAAGGCTATGCCGGTGGAGCTAAAGGTGCAGCTGGTGGTAAAGCTGGAGTTGCTGGAGCTGGTGGGTTCAAGAAAGCCGCTGGTGCTGCAGGAGCTGCTGGAGTTACCGCTGCAGGTGGCAAAGGTGGTTATGGATTCGGTCGATAAGGTTCCCTTCATTTTTTCAACTTTCCCATTCTCTAAGTCACAACTATTGTAATAAAAAATTTCTCGAAAATTTAAAAACAAAATAAAAATACTTCTCTTGAACCAGACATTCAGCAACAGGAACATACTCTCTCTCTCTCTCTGGCGCAGAGGGTTGAAGCCACTGTCCTCGTTAATCGAGGTTGTGAGTTCGAGACCCGGTGATGCATTAGTCGAGGATGACCCAATGAGAAAGAGAGGGCAGCACCCGTCAGCTGAAATGGCTCCTGCGAGGGAGTCAGCCTCCCTAGGTGGTGACACCTAGAAGGGGTAAGACGGGGGGAGAATCGGCTCTGGGGGGAGCTAGTGACATACCCGAGACATTTACTTACTTGTAAAAATGAAAGATTGAGTAACAATTAAAGAAAAAATAGTACCGTCACAGACGACTAGTAAGGTCCGCCGGCAAAAGCGCAAGATAGCGCGGTCCGGTACCACTAGCCAACGTCGAGCAGTGCGGCACCACACGGCTGTTCGCAGAGTGGTGGAATGTCCGGAAACATAGACCTAATCTCTCCCTTTAAGATTAGAAGTTAAATTGTAATTGAAAAAAAGCAAAAAAACTTACTCGAAAAGGAGAGTAAAGAAATCATTTTTAAATTCGGTAAACAATTCAGATGCACGAAGTAAACTCAATGCGTAAATCGATTCACTCAAGATCGTTTTCCTTTGAATTGGTTCCTTGAAAGGTCATATTGACCTTTTGTAACCTTAGAAAAGGTTAACATAACCTTCACTATGGTTAGTAACATCCAGTGGAATTTAGTTGAGATATCCAATTTGGAGAGAGACTAAGGGGAAGAAAAAAGAAAAATATATAAATGCATTAAAAAAAGAGTAAATTGTCAGTGTTAATCATAATTACTTAAGATGCCTGCTAAACTTTTTGATTGTGTTGAACAAAAGATTCTGGAGCCCTTCATCATTGCCTTGACCCCGATCGCCAACATCGATGTATCGAGCCTGGTTACACAGATCAACGAAAGGAGATCCACTGACCGAGGGTTTGTGACGATCTTGAGTGAATCGATTGTTTAGGTCACTGGATGTTACTAACCATAGTGAAGGTTATGTTAACCTTTTCTAAGGTTATGAAAGGTCAATATGACCTTTCAAGGAACCAATTCAAAGGAAAACGATCTTGAGTGAATCGATTTACGCATTGAGTTTACTTCGTGCATCTGAATTGTTTACCGAATTTAAAAATGATTTCTTTACTCTCCTTTTCGAGTAAGTTTTTTTGCTTTTTTTCAATTACAATTTAACTTCTAATCTTGATTTCCATTTTATTTCAGGAGATTTCCAGGAAATCCGATTATTTTGCAAGGATTTGTATTCTTCTATCAATATGATGACTCTATCGATTCTAAAGATGTTTTTAATCGAGAGTTTTTCGAGAATTTATTTTTCAATCATCTTCAAGACAATTTACGACATCCACAAAGTCAAGTTCGCTTCTTGACTTTGATCGCCATCAACCTGTTTGATCCACCAATGAATCCAAGTGAATCTGGTCTACCTAATCAATCGATTTTTTCTATCTGTTTGGAAGCTGAAATGATTACTCTGAATATCGAGTGAATTAATCACTATAAATCCTTTTCTTGTGATAATCATCAACGGATTTTATTGGAGATCAAAAATTTTTTTTTGCTTAAAACAGTTCGAATAGGTTGTCTAAGAGGGAAAGTTCAATGAAAAGATGTTTCAAAATCATCGCATCTCCAATATCAGAGATTCAGCAACAGGTGGAATTGGATTGTAACTTAAAGCTTTTCGAGATGAAGATGCACTAGTCCGCTTTTTTTGCTCGTGAATTCCTAAAGAAAACAACAATAACGGTCTGGTTTAAGTTACAAGAAAAGGATTCACTTTCATTCATTCATGTTGGATGTTCATGCAAGTACGTTAGAGTTGATTGTAAATTCTGATTTGATGAGAGGAAGAGTATGTTCCTGTTGCTGAATGTCTGGTTCAAGAGAAGTATTTGCGCATCTATTGGATAATTTGAGCGATTGATTAGAATTATAAATAAAATAAATAAAAAATATTGATAGTTAAATAGTAAAAGTAACAATTTATTTTGTTTTTAAATTTTCGAGAAATTTTTTATTACAATAGTTGTGACTTAGAGAATGGGAAAGTTGAAAAAATGAAGGGAACCTTATCGACCGAATCCATAACCACCTTTGCCACCTGCAGCGGTAACTCCAGCAGCTCCTGCAGCACCAGCGGCTTTCTTGAACCCACCAGCTCCAGCAACTCCAGCTTTACCACCAGCTGCACCTTTAGCTCCACCGGCATAGCCTTTAGCACCACCAGTTTTACCTCCCTTGTATCCAGCTGCTCCTGCGGCTCCAGCATAGCCTCCCTTAGCGGCTTTACCTCCGACAGCACCTCCAGCAGCACCATAACCAGCGGCTTTACCGAATTTGAATCCTTGGCTCATTCCGAATGTCTTGACAAGACCCATTTTCTTATTGTATCCAGCACCACCGGCTTTAGCGAATCCTCCTTTCTTTCCATACTTTTTACCAAAAGCTCCAGAAGCGAATCCACCTTTTTTAGAGGCTCCTTTAGCCCCACCAGCAGCTCCAGCGGCTCCATAAGCAGCACCACCTTTAGCACCCTTGGCTCCAGCAGCATAACCAGCTTTTCCAGCTTTACCTGCTTGGTATCCAGCAGCTCCGCCACCACCAGCACCTTTCTTAAAAGCGGCAAGACCTGCACCTCCAGCACCTCCAACCGCTGATTCGGCTCCTTCTAAATCAGCTGAGATATCTCGTCTTTCTCTTTCTAAAATAGCCTCTTCTTGTTGACCATCGAACGAATCTTCGAACTCTTCTTCTTCCTCAGCTCGAACCAACGAAACACAAAGAACAAGAGATGAAACGAAAATGAAGAAAAACTAAAAAGACGAAAAGAAATAGAAAAATATTAATAATACAATAAGAGAAAATAATCCAATTGATGTTTCTAAACACAAAACAAATTAACAACTAAAGAAAATAAACTAAAATAATATTTACCAATTGTTTGTTCATTTTGATGAATTAGATTTGATCACTTTAATAATTAGAAAACTAGGTGAATGTTTTATTAAGAAAATTTGTAAACTTTGTTAATTGTAGTTTGTTGTTTGTTGTTTGAATCTCGAACTCAAATTGTATCGATTCTAATTTTTCTCACTCTTTTTATACCAAAAACCTCCTTCAGTCCAAAGTGAGAAAGGACAAACTTCGGAAAACAAACTATTTTCGTCGCAATTTCGATGTAACGTACATGAAAATCCAATTAACGGTCGGTCTGAGATCTTAATTTCTTCCAATTTCCCGCAGATCTTTCAGTTCGGAGTCTTAATTAATGAGATTAATGAGATATCTTTTCCAATTATCTTATTGGTAAAACCGATTTTCTGTCGGTCTTGTTTTCACAAAATTTGCTTGTTAATTAAAAATTCAAATCACAGCTAAAAAATTTCATGATCTATCGATGCACATCCATGAGTTTGTCATGGTGATCTATCAGTTCTTATTTCCTAACTGAATAAAATTTCAAGTCTCTTTCCTCAATGTCAAGCTGACACTTAAATTGATCACTAATCTGAGCTCAAATATGTTCACATACAATTTAACTTCTTATTGGTTAGAAAAAGCTTTTTCAATTAATAGTAAATAAAATGATCTCAATCAATAATCACAACCTTATTATGATTTAAGGAAAAAACAAATGGAAACAAAAGGAAATGATAACATTACAAAAAATCTTGGTTCAGATCTACGAAAAATGTTTATTCAAACGAGAATCTGTAAATACATTTATTGCTTAGCACAATTAAACTGTAGCTAAATTACTGTTCTCGTTCAGGGGAATTTAAAGAGAACTAATTTAAAATATTTCTCTTAAATTCCAGTAGTCTAGAGTTTGCATCTCCATGATTCTTGACAAAGTTCGATCGAAGGCAAACATTTCTTCTTGTCCACTAAAAAGATCAGTCGAATCTTTGACCTGAGAAAATTTTATTCCTAAATCATCCATTAGTGCTCTTTGATCATCACTTATATCGTCGCTTGTACTATTAACCATGAACAGTTCTTTAACTGGAACTATCGATGAGAAAAGACATCTCACCTGTGTAAGAATAAAAGAGATTCAATTAATACATAATTGGTTCATAATAGAAAATTTAATTACTTTATTATCGTAAAAGGTATCGATCAAAGTGATGAATCTTCTCGCCTGCGTTTTTAATTTCAAATTTAACTGAGGTATATCTCGGATAATAACAGTGTGAAATAATTGACTGAGTGTCAGATAATCAACGGCACCAAGAGGCTGGAAAAGAAAAAGGTCAAAACAGAATTGTGAGAATTTTTGTCAAGTGATGTTTTCCAAATTAAATACGAACCCTATCACAAAGTTCTGAAAAAGTAGAGTCCAAAACCCGACCACAGGTTTTATTAAATGTCACATTCCGTCCCATGATTACGATGGTTCTTGGCCGAACTGTGTCGGTTTCTCGGCTTGCGAATATTTTGAACAATCGATCCAATTCGTTATCGGCTTTTTCTTCATCTTTCCTGTTTATCAAATCAATTTGAAATGAAAAATTAGATTATTAATTAACGAATTTTGAGTTAATTGCTGAGGTAAATTCTTACAGTAGATAAATGTTTTGCTTCGATGGAAGTGACTTTTGACGATAATCAATTCCAGAGTCTAAGGCCATCGATTGGCAATGTTCTTTAAGCAAAGGTATAAACGGAAGGAAAGCACTTCTTTGTAGTCCATTTTTGTACAAATCTAAAATTGTAAATAAATCAATGAGAAGAAAAAAGTTAGTTAATTAGTTCTGATTTTCTGTGACTCCATTTGACTCACCAACCATCGGGAGGTCGATTAGATGTTGCCACAAGAATTACTCCTCTAGAGAAAAGTTCAATGAAAAGATGTTTCAAAATCATCGCATCTCCAATATCGGTAACCTGGAATTCATCCAAACAGAGTAACCATGACTCTTGGACCAGAGATTCAGCAACAGGTGGAATTGGATTGTAACTTAAAGCTTTTCGTGATGAAGATGCACTAGTCCTCTTTTTTTGCTCGTGAATTCCTAAAGAAAACAACAACGATTAATAAGATATCAGATCATCTCTTTGCCTCTCATCAAATCAGAATCAACAATCAACTCTAACGTACTTGCATGAACATCCAACATGAATGAATGAAAGTGAATCCTTTTCTTGTGATAATCATCAACGTGACAAGTTTGATAAAACAGATCCATTAACATGGTTTTCCCACATCCAACTGACCCATACAGATAAAGGCCTTTAACTTTACGATTAGATCTAATCTCTTGTTTAAATATCTGAGTGTGAAAGAGAAAGAGTGAGGTAAGATGATCAGTTAATTGTTCCAAATAAGAAGTGGATCAAAAAAACTCACCTTAGACATTAAACTTGGTTTAACCAGCTTGTAACCTCTAAGTTGCTCATCAATTTCTTGAAAAGTTTGAGCTACTTTATATTGATATTCATCATGTTCAATCTCTTTGTTTTTAACCTTCCGTTCATAGATACTCAGGAAATTATCTGGAAAAGAAAACAAAGGAAAAAGGAATAAGAAAATCAATTAGAACAATCAAGTGACAATGAGAGAGATAGAAAAAAAATGTAAATTCTTACCATCACTTTTCTTTACATTATCAACCAGTAAACAAAATGTTCGCTTGGTTGGTAAAGAGAAGAAGCAGAAATTTCTTGGTGAAAGAAAATTTCGAGTCAAGTTCATGATGAATCAACTAGTAGGAGAACAATTAAATTCTCAATTGGGTATTGATTAACATCGAGAAAATTAAATTAGATTGAGATTATTAAGAAAAATGTTAAACGGACAAGATCAAATCAAGGTTAGTAAAGTAAGAAAACATCATCATCACTGAGGATTAACAAAAGCCAATAAAATTGTTATCAATCGGTTGAAACAATAATACACTAAATTAACATAATTGCACGAATTGAATGATTAAAAGTATTTATTAATAACTCTAATTAATTGATAAGATTAATTAGATTGCACTGTCACAGAATCAGAGTTAATTTTTCAAAAGAACAAAAAGTAAACAGACAACAGAGTCGCCTATCGGAATTGATGAAAACTATTTTCTAAAAACCGATTTTGTTGATAATTTTGTTTACTAATTTAGAATTACTTTTAATTTAGTTTCCATTTTTGATTTGATTTGGCTGATTGATTGAATTCATTCGTTCACCAAATTGATCAGGTTAGTGTTTACTATTAACATTCTAATTGATTTTGATGTGACGTTGAAATAATGAAAACATTAAAGGTTAGTCATTGTGATTGTGATCAATTGGTATTCATTTGATTGAATGATTAATGATTAATTGTTATTATTATTACTCTTTGAGGTGATAATTTAATCAATTCAATCAGATTGTGAAAGACTTACTATGATTTGTGTTTGAATTTACTCCTGAACTCGTGTTGTGCCTTTGAAAGAGATAGAGATTCATTTACTTTGTTTTTCTAATTTTGTAATGTGATTTTTTCCTTAATTTAATTTTTCTGGTTGATTAGATTGAATCATTTGATTATTTGAAAGTTTTATCTCAACTCATCATGACATCGACATCAAGAGGAGCCCATGAAACGGATAAACTAAAAGCTAATTTGGAAGAGCAATTGGAAAGGTTAATCACTCAATTGTCTGATCTGGAGGAATGTCGGTAAGTTTAATTTCTAACAATTAGTTGGTAATTTTAATTGATTGGAGGTTTTTCTCAATGCTCACAGGGAAGAACTCGATGATGAGGAATACGAAGAGACTCGAAGTCAAACACTGGAACAATTAAAAGAATTCAATGATTACCTCAACGATATTGTCTCTGGAAACATCACCTTAGTTGACCAACTGGGAGCATATCAATTGGTATTGCTACTTAATTAATCAGTTTAACCCTTTGATTGGTCAACTAATTTTTTCTGTAACACTCATTTTCCCTCAGGCTATTCAAGCAGCAATCAGTAGTGCTTTCAAAACACCCGAAGTCATCAGAATGTTTGCTCGTAAACAACCCGATCAATTGAGAATCAAATTATCAGAGGTGAAGAGATAATTAGTTCAATGTTTATATGCAATTTAATTTAAATATCTTCTACTCTTTTCCCAACAATTTAGCTTGAAAGGCAATTCGAAACCGGTAAATTGCCTCGAAATGATTTCGATGAAAAAAGATGTGAAATTTTGTTGGCGTTAAGAAAATTGGGCGAAAACCTTACGACAGATCAAATGTCAATAATCGAAAGACATTCGTCAATCGCAATGAAAGATTTCCAAAAGTCGATAACAGTAAGTTAGCAATTAATTATCCTTTAATTAATTCTTCTTGATTCTAATTTAATCAATTTCTAACTAATTCTCTTTGTATCTTCTCATATTTTCAGGTATTAGTGACCAAGTCTTGAAGGAAACAGGATCTCATTTGAAAAAGTCTCTTAATTAACTTTCACTTTGTTGATCAATTTTCAATATAATTATTATTCATTTTCAAACAACCATGAAGGTTATAATCACAATTACTCAGTCAATTACTCTAATCCTTGATTATTGCTTCTTCATTGCAAAACTGTAAAGTTCACAATTAAACAATATGGTTCATCATCAAGTAGTTTATTTACATTTTTTTTCACCAAAATTGAAAATAAATGCAAACAATTTGATGGATTAAGTTTGTGAATTTTTTATTGATCACAGAAAAACTTTTGAAACTTTTTTTACTTGAGCTTCGACTTAACCATTTGCTTGAAGTGACTTCTAATTAGGTTAATCACATGATCGGAGAGGTAGAGGTTATGATTGGGTCGGTTATCGATTTGGGGTTTGGGTTTAAATTGATTGGCAAAGTTTTGGAATTGAATTTTTTGACAGTTTTGAACAGAAAGGGAAGACTAATTCTGATTGTGGCAAAAAGTTAATTTGGTGGAGTCAATCGAAATTGATTTGTGATTATTTGGTTTTGGCGAAGCCTATTTTTGAGTTTTTAGTAATTAAATGATTAAATTGTTACGAAAATAGCTTTGGATAATCAAAAGAGTAACGTTGGTACGTTTTTGTTTTCATAGTAGTTTTTGGATACGAATACTTTGGCTTTGAGTTATGAGTAACATGAGAAGAGAGAGTTGATAAAGTTTATCGACCGAATCCATAACCAGCTCCTCCGCCAACGCCTTTAACTCCAGCGGCTCCTGCAGCACCAGCGGCCTTCTTAAATCCACCAGCTCCAGCAGCTCCTGCTTTACCTCCAGCTGCACCTTTAGCTCCAGCGGCATAACCTTTAGCACCACCAACTTTGCCTCCTTTGTATCCAGCTGCTCCTGCTGCTCCAGCATAGCCTCCCTTAGCGGCTTTACCTCCGACAGCACCTCCAGCAGCACCATAACCAGCGGCTTTACCGAATTTGAATCCTTGGCTCATTCCGAATTTCTTGACAAGACCGACTTTCTTATTGTAACCTGCTCCACCGGCTTTAGCGAATCCTCCTTTCTTTCCATACTTTTTACCAAAAGCTCCAGAAGCGAATCCACCCTTGGCAGCAGCTCCCTTGGAACCACCAGCGGCTCCAGCGGCTCCATAAGCAGCACCACCTTTAGCACCCTTGGCTCCAGCAGCATAACCAGCTTTTCCAGCTCCACCAGCTTTGTATCCAGCAGCTCCGCCACCACCAGCACCTTTCTTAAAAGCAGCAAGACCTGCACCTCCAGCACCACCAACCGCTGATTCGGCTCCTTCTAAATCAGCTGAGATATCTCTTCTTTCTCTTTGTTGACCGTCGAAAGAATCTTCGAACTCTTCTTCTTCTTCAGCTCGAACCAACGAAACACAGAGAACAAGAGATGAAACAAAAATGAAGAATAACTAAAAAGACGAAAAGAAATAGAAAAATATTAGTACAATAAGAGAAAATAATCCAGTTGAAATTTTGAAAGACAAAAAAATCGATCAGTTAACTTAAATAATATTTACCAATTGTTTGTTCATTTTGATGAATTTGATTTGATCACTTTAAAAATTAGAAAACTAGGTGAATGTTTTAGCAAGAAAGTTTGTAAACTTTGTTAATTGTAGTTTGTTGTTTGTTGTTTGAATCTCGAACTCAAATTGTATCGATTCTAATTTTTCTCTCTCTTTTTATACCAAAAAAACTCCTTCAGTCGAAAGTGAGAAAGGACAAATCGAGGAAAACAAACCCGAACATCACTTTGTCCTTGGTTATTATTTTTCTTCACAAATTCGATTCAAATGATTTAGAATAAAATCTCTAACTAATTATCAGGTTAGTTTATTTTCGGTGATCACAATTCCTTTGAATAGAACTTACTCAGTCTTGGAATAGATTTATTGATCTCACTTACAAACGCAGTTTTGTTTCGTTGGTGAAATCAAGGAGCCATATCTCCGCTCGACTGTAGTTACCAGTTCGTTAGTAATCATATTGAGAGATAAAATTTATGTTCTAATGTGATATTATTCGTACATTCATAGTATTTAGTGTTTCAATTTGCTTAACTTTGTCGGAAATTCCATATAAAGCAATTAACTTTTTTCGCTACTTTTACACCAATCAGGTAATCAAATCATAGAGCTTGAAATCATAGGTTAACAATTGGATTGGAAATTATTACCATAGATTATCATAAACAGGAAAAGAATGGGAAATATTAATTATCTGGTGAAAGATTTCACCTTCTCTACGATAATTAATCAAAGTAGTAAAAAGTTAATATTTGTAAATCAACTTTTCTCTTGATGGTTGACGAATCAATGTTATTCAAGTTTTCTTACAATTAACAGAAAAGTTTTGTACTTTACAAAATTTGATAACACAATTGACGATTGTTAATTGTATGCATAAATCTACTCTTATTGTATTTGAATAAGAGATGAGATTATTATTGTTGTTAAATTAAGAAATATCAAAAAAAAATGTTGATTTTCAGAGGAAGAATATTAATCTTTGTTATTCCGGTGAAATCTTTTCTCTTCCGGGTCAAATCCACGTTCCTTTGACCCAAATAAAGCCCATTCGGGTGTTTCTAATGCATAATCAAGAGCATCAAAATCTACCTCTCCATCGGTATCGTAGTATCTTTGAACTAATTCAAGATATTTATCGAAATCAATCCATGTGTGCCATTTGTCGTTAATCTTGAATCGTTTTTGAGCAATTAAGATACAATTAGAATGTTCATGTTCAGATACAATCTCCCAGTTATGATCGATTTCCGCAGCCAAAGCTTGGCCAAATTTAACAACCTCTTCATGCCAAGGGACATTTTCCATGGTGATTTTTGACGCTTTACTGGTACCACAGAAAGTAACTCCCTTAATCTCAATGAAATCGGGATTACCAGTGACAACAAGATCGGCATAATTTTCAATTTCCTCGGTGTTCCATTCCTTTACGAGAGTCAATCGGTAAACAGTTCGAATCTTTTTATGGTGTAAAGCCTCCAAACTGAATATAAATCGATCCCATGAATTTTTGAACAAAGGTCGATCAATACGTTTCAATGATTCGGGTGTTGAAGCGTCAACAGAAACGTATAATTGAGTGACTGGTGTTAGGTTGCGAATTTCTTCAGGAAATTGGGCATTGGTGACTAGAAAAGTTGATATTCCTTTTTTATGGAGTAATTTGAGAAGCTCATTGATTTTCGGGTACATGATTGGTTCACCGACAAGAGAGAGAGCACAATGTCGAACCTTGAAACCTTCTTCGATTCTTTCAGGAATCACACCGGGAACACCTTTAAATTCATTGATCATTTTAACATGATTCTTTATTATCTCTTCAACAATGAAATCAGGTTCATTCATTTTCCATTTCCATTCGGTTCCAACTGGATTAGTGTGATGTCGCCAACAGAATACACATTTATTGGCACAGGCAAGACTGGGGGTTGTCTCCATGCACCGATGGCTCTCTATCCCATAAAAGGTGTGCTTATAACAACCACCTCTACCTCGAAGCATTGATTTAGTCCATCGGCACATTTTAACGGCCGAATGTGAACCAACCAACTTGTATCCTTGTTTCTTAAGATTTTTTCTTATAATCTCATTTGTCATCTCTTTAATATCTCCAGTGTCTTTGTCACCCTTTCCCATACTCGGAACTAAATCTTCAATATCACCAATATCATTTTTCTTTTTTTCTTCATCTTCATCACTATCATCGGAATCGTAGTCATCATTGTCTTCACCTTTGTCGTTTCCATTGTTTTTGATACCATCGTCTTGTTGTTTTTTGTCATTTCCAATCCAATAATCGTCTTTGGAGAAAAGTACTTCTTGGTCTATTTCATCGATCCATGAAGATGATTTTTTCGATTGTATTAAAATCACAAGGCCACTTAATATTTCGTTAGACCAACTATTTACTGCTCCATTAATGTCATCCTCATTATCTTCATCGAACAGATAATTTCCATGGATTTTGGTCGCTCCATGTTCAATAAACAAGCTTGACAAATCTTTTGCTACTTTGTTGAAATTTTCACCGTAAACAGAGTTTCCCAAACCAAATATAGAAAATGATAGTTTTCTCATCTCGGAATCATAATCACCCATTTTAACAGAATTAATGAATTTCTCTGCAGATTCTGGTGGTTTACCTCCATCATGAGTAGAAACAAAAAGGATCATTGTTGTCTCGCAAACATTAATAATTCCATTACTTTCCAAGGCTTTTTTAAAGTCAAAATCAGTAACATCAGCTAGAATAGGCTTAATGTTACCAAATTTTCCGTCAATTTGCTTAATTTTATCATAAAATGAGGAGGCTAAAGACTTAGCAGTTCCAGTTAGAGTTGCATATAAGATAAATATTACATGAGGTGGATCATCAATCAAATTGCCACATGAACCAGTACCATCGACAGTTTTACAGGTAAAATTACCACAAGTATCTTGACAGCAACCAGATTGTTCGTCATCATCATTAACAGAAGGTTTAATTTTTTTCTCAAGCTCTTTTAATTGTTTCTTATTCCGGTAAATGTAGGCAACAGCAAAAGTTGATAAAACCAAAGGCATAAAGAATCTGTTAGACAAAAGTCCATTTAAACCTGGAATATTGAAAAATCTATCCATTGCAGGTTAACACTGAAACTATAGCCAATCAAAGGAACAATTAATTAACAATTATTAAAATTAACAATAGATGACAATAACAATTAATCAAAGAGTTAAACTTAATCAACAGGAACAAAACACATTCACATTGATCATCAGCGAAAATGTTACCATGGCAACTCAATGTTTCCATAGAAACAAATGTAAACAAAATTGTTCATTTTCAATTTTGATTATCGTTCAAGTTAATTATGATTTAGAGTTTTTGATTGTTCTTTTTTTGATTTTGTTTTATTAATTATATTCTATTGAATCTTGTGATCACTTTGATTGTTGATTTTAAATGGCCCAGTTTGAGAGATCCGTTGATGTTCATGATTCTGACGGTGAAGATGAATGTGACTGGACAAAAGAAGCTCAATTTATTGTTAAGGAGTTTGAATCTGTTGTTAATTATATTAGTGTTTCAACTAAATTGGATCAAAGTGATCACCTAATCTACTTTAATTGTGAAACCAAAGAAGGTGATAAATATTGTATCGAGTTGACTGCTGCTGGATTTAGAATTGTATCCAATCTGTTTGATACAATTGACGAGGATAAAAAAATTGTCCATGAGGAGGAAAATGATGAAGGACAAGAGAAAATATTAAATTCAGTTTTCTATGAAACTATGAATGCACTTCTCGATAAGATGAGTCCACTTTATCGAATTGCTTTCAGTAATCAACTGATTGAGAAGCTCAATAGTCATATTAACCAGTGATCAAAGGAACCATGACAAAGTGTCAAAGTGTTAATTTCCAATCAATTTTATTCCATGTCAACAATTGTCAAAGTTAAAAACATCGTCCAACAAATTTTTTGATTGTAAGAAATCAACTAATTGACAAATTAAAAGTCTTACAATGCTAATTGTACACATGACTGATAAATCATTCGAATGATTCATTTAATTGTCTATTAGCGAGTTCAAACTGTGATTCAGACAATTTGATTTTCGGTAATGAAGGTAATCATAAATCTTTAAACTGTTGTAAAATCAGTTGATTGTGAAAAAATCGAGATACTTTAAGTACTCTTGATTGAGAGAATCAGTAAATTGTTTAATCTCAAGTTTCGCTGAATGATTGATTATCCATGACAATGAAATAAACAATAAATTATCGGTGTAAATACATTGAATTAACTGGAGAAAGGAAAATCATGAAGACACTTGAAAATTGGTCAATCAAGTGACCTGCTAATTAATTAATCATTTTATCTCTACGATGAAAACCTTTAATTAATTGATCATTTAAGATTTGATACTTTTAGATGTCCCCATTTAATGATGCAAGTAAAAAAGTGATACAATTTTGGGCTAAAATTCACATTGACCAGAAATTGAGATCTATCGGCTATTATGTTTTGTAATAGGCTAGTAAAACGAGATACTAGTTGCCGATCGGTCAATGGTTCAATTTACTTTCAAAATTCAATTGGAACAATTTAAAAAATGTCAATTAATCAGTGAAATTAGTCACATGGCCACTTGACATTGTTTTTCTTTTCTATTGGTTGATTTGATTTCGCTTTTCTTAAAGTAATAAAAGATGGAATAAAGATTTAGATTGTTGGAGTGGGGAAAAAAATGAGAGGAGAAAAAAATAAAGATCCTAATTTAAGTTCGTTGAATGAGGATGAGGATGAAAAAGGATGGAAAATCTATGGTGTTAGTGGTGTGTAGATGTTGATTTTGGTCCAAAAAAAAAGTGTTCAGGCCGCATGAGTCAATAATAATACAACTTTAAAAATCGTTGTAAACCGTTTCGTTTGTTATCCGTTTCCCTGTTTACCGGTTGAATCGCCAAGAATTGAGCCCCATATTGAATTCCAGTCTATGGTAAATTCATTCCAAGATTTAGACCAGAATTTGGTTATGCTTGATTGTGAATGTTGTTGTCGTGAAACGTTTAAAATTTGTCGTCCTTCCTCTTGACGCAGTTTCCTTTTATCGATAATCCATCTTTTCAAATGTCTAAAGAGATAAAAAGATTAATATTATTGTTTAAATTGTCTAAAAGATGATAATATTGTTAAATGATTAGAAAATTGCTCACTTTATAAATGGAATTGCCATAAAGAATAAGTTGGCATTGAGATCTTTTTCACTTTTATTGGTTGGAAGTTTACTCAATGGAAACCATTTGATGTCTTTAATTTCACCTCGAGTTTGGGTAACAAATTTTTCTGATTTAGCAACACCGGGAACAATATATAATCTCACATTGGTATCCCTTATTTTTAGCTCAATATAATCTTCAGACTTAATCAGGCGACTACAATCAAATCCAGTTTCCTCTTTAACTTCACGACAGGCACAAAGAACAGGATCTTCTTCAGCATTTACTTTACCCTTCGGGAAGCCCCAACTTGACTGTGAACAAAATCCTTGTACCATTAAAACCTGTTGAGAAGGTAAGAAAAAGAGAAATAGAAGTAGAAAAAAAGAATTAACAATGTGTGTAGGTAGCAATTAGCAGAATTGAACAATTGATTGAATTTAGAATTAGTTAACTTACATGTTCCATGATATCATCTAAAAGAATAGCTCCATAAGTGGGAACATTTGACTTATATTCTTTCCATTGTTTAAAATAATTTTCAAATTCTTTGAGAAAAATTTTCAAAAAAGGTACATGATTGAACATTATTCGTGCAAATACTCGTAATTGTAGCTTCGGTAAACTAGGTCGTTGTACAGAAAGAAAATCAATGTAAAACCAATGGGCTTGTTCAATTTGGAACATCACCCGGATAATATTTTCCCGCTCATGTTGAGGTAAGTTAATTATGAATCGACTAGGAAAGATTCAGAGAGGGAGAAAGTGAAGATTGGGAGGAAGAGAGAGAGACAAAGAGACAAAGAGATAAAAAAAAGTCACTGGTAAATAAAGAGAATGACAAAGAGAAAGAGACAAAAATGACAGATTAAAAAGAGAATAGAAAAAAATTTTGTTCTCTTAAGAAAATAGTGAAAACCCTTAATAGTAGAGACGAGAAAAAGAGATGGTAAAGAAAGAGATCAATTAAATGGTAGAATAGAATATAATTTAACCATGGAAGGTGTTGAAACAATCGATAGAAATTAAGTGAACAATTTACAGGGAATTTGGGAAACAATTAAAGATACTCACCTACTTAAATCATCCAATATGTCAATAGGAATTGACTGATTCTCTGGGTATTGCATCTCTAACTGATGGGGCGTTTTAAAAGTAAACTGTAAAAAAGCAAATGAATTTGTGATAAATGCGAAGAAGGTGATGATGGTCAAGGGTGATGACGATGATGAAGAATCAATAATTAATGTCAAAAGAGGAAAATAATAAAAAAAAATTTAAAGATGAGAGAGAAACAAGTAAAAGAAGGTGGGAAAAAAAGGAAAACAAATATTTCCAATCATATGCTGATCATTATGGTTACCAGGTGATTGGAAGAAAGAGAAAGAAACAGAAAAGAAAGAGACGAAAAGAGAGTAGCTTTTTTACTCTTTAATTCTTGCTTGTGACCAATAGATTGTTTAATTAAAATAACCTTCAACTCACTGGTCACTCATTAGATTAATCAACTAATTGAAGAAATCAATTTTTCTGTTGATTAGTTAATTTGAGAAATAGAAAAACAATTCGTAATTATTATACGAACCCTCGATTTTTGTGTTTACGTTTTTTTTTTGTAAACATTGAATTTAATTCAATGAATTCATTAAGAGTTTTAATTGTCTTTTAATTAGATTTAGTTTTGTCTAGTAATTAAATATGAAGGGTATAATTTATCCTGGTAAAGGTGAAATTCCTGAATTTTCATTGGATTCTAAGGTTGATTGTGATATTTTTCTTTTCTCTATTGATTTTTTCGTCATCATTTTAATTGTGATGATTTTTTGGACTAATTGTTTTTTCTTTGTTTTCTTTAGGCTATATTTCACTTTCAAACAATTAGGATTATCAATGGAGAGGAGAAGATTATTGATGATAGTCGTAAACTTGGTAAACCTATGGAGCTTTTAATTGGGAAAAAATTTAAACTCGAAATTTGGGAATCTCTTGTTAAAACAATGCGAATTGGGGAAGTGGCTCGTTTCCATTGTAGAGCTGCTACTGTGCTTAATTATCCATTTGTTTCGAAACAATTTCGTAAATTTGCTTCTAATTCTGGTAATCAGAGAGAAAATGATCATGGTGATCATTCACACGAATCTCATTGCTGTGGGATGGCCTTACAAAAGTCAATCGGACATGATGATCTTGACGAACTGATTAAATCTCCAAGTGATTTAGATTTTATTATTGAATTGATAGATGTCATTTCTCATGATAATTATGAGAAGGAAATCTGGCAAATGTCTAGTGAAGAACAATTGAAACAAACTAAAGAATTGAAAGAGAAAGGCAATCAAGCTTTTAGACTGAATAATTACCAGGAGGCAAGTAATTTCTACGAAAAAGCCTTAGCCATCTTGGAACAATTAATTCTCAAAGAGAAACCAGGAGACGAAGAATGGATCAGTTTGGATAAAATGAGAATTCCATTTTACTCTAATTTAGCTCAATGTAAACTAAATCTATCTGATTATTATGGAGCCAAAAGAGCTTGTGATGAGGTGATTAATAGAGAACCAACAAATGTGAAAGCTTGGTTTCGTCGAGGAAAAGCTAATTTAGAAATTGGTGAATTTGATTTAGCTGTTGGCGATTTTGATAAATCTGCAATTCTTGATCCAAATTTACAACAATCAGTTTCCAAGCTTAAAGTAACAGTGGAAAAGGAAAGAAAAGCAACAATCGATTCAGAAAGAAGTAAATTTGCCGGTAAATTGTTCGGTAAATCAACAATTACCAAGACCGAAATCTAAAAACAAAATCAACAAAAAAAGTTCATTAACAATCCAATAAATCCCAACAATCAACTCAATCGAAACTTCATCTCTAGTCAATGTATAAAATCAAGACAAAATTAATCATTAATTATCTCTAATCAATTTATAATAATGTTGAAATTTTCTAAAAAATTGTCACCTTTTACATATAACCACAATTTCACCCTAATTTATAATCAATTTAACAATCACAACATAAAGCAACACTTAAATTGTGCTTTGAACAAAATCCACCAATTTTCAACAAGAAAACAATATCACAGTAAATTTAATTTACTAAATTATTGATTTTGATTGGCGAAAAGGAAATGAGAAAAAGTAAATACAAATAATTGATTGGAAAACTACAATTAATTGTTTGCAAAAATTAAAACCAATCAAACTAAATTAATTGAATGGAAATTGTGAGAAAATCAAATTTAACCTTTAAATGTGTTGATCATCGTTTTCCAAATATATTCAAGAAACTTGTTAACCTCTTTACTCTCGTGTTAACCAAGTCTTGCTTTCAAGGGACAATCTCTTGAGGGAAAGTCCCCGGACCGATTAATTGAGAAAGTCTGATCGGTAAAACGATTAAGATTAACTCTTAAAGGTAACAATTGCTGAGAAGATTAAATTACAATCTGAGCTTAATTGTTTCGCCTGTAAGAGGATCAATGGTCTACGACAATAGTAAATGCAAGAAGCATTGACAAAGGATAAAGGCCCTTTATCCCAATGCTAACAGAATGGGGCTTACTCTGGTTAACATTTTTTGCTTTTTCTTTTTCAATTCAATTCAATCGATTGATTATCGTTTTGATTGCAATCAAAATTGAATCAATTAAAATGTACATGAAATTGGACAAAATTAACTTTTTAATCAAGAAGCTTTTTGATGATGAAAAAAAAGACCATAACAATCACCATGAACATGGAAACCTCTTGATTGGTTTAATCAAGATTAACTTTGATCCAGATCAATTGAACCAACATGGAAAGAAGATGAATCTTAATCAGTCCAATTACATATACAATTGAAATAATTACTTTTGATTGTATTTAATTTAACAAGGAAAACCTTTTGTGAGTGACAAAAATTGATACACACACACACTCATCATGATATCCATTCAGGTCAATCAGTTAATAACAATCAATAATGAAAAGTGTTCCAAATACATCAATAGATTAATAATAATAATATTATTATTATTACAATCGGAATTAACAACAATCATAATAATAATTGATAATAATGACAGAGGTAAATAAGTCAATTGATTCAAGTTTGTTTTCTCATTCCTATTCACCATTAAGGATCACAGTATGTGTTATATTAACTCCCCGATGAGATTAATACTTACCAAGACTCAGAAAATTCAAGCCAACAATTTACTAACTGTGATTATTATTTACTATTATTGAATATCATGATTGTGTTTACCTTTTTTCTGTTCATAATAATCATTCATTGTAACCATTGGTTATTCATTCATTTGTTCATAGTAAACAGATACACAGAAACAGTGAACAAAAAATAACAAAACATAACAAAATTTATGTTACTTTGTGTGATCGAGATTTTGATTAACACATTAATTAACTAACAACAATCAATAATCAACAATAATCAACCTCTGCAATTGTCACACACACACACATATGAATTGTGGGTTGATTTGTTTTTTGTTTTCTTCGAGTAATTTAGTGATTACTTTAACCACCATTAAGAAATGAATTAATTGTTATCAAGGTTAATTTTGAACAAAAAACAAATATTGATTTTTATTCATTGGCATTGATTGGGTTTTAATTGTTGTTAATTTTTTTTTTCATTTCTTCTTGTTGTTGATATTTTTATTAATAGTTTACAGAGGTTCCATTGATTATTGGCAATTTTCAGTTGTGATAAATGGTGAAAAATTTATTTAATTGTTTGGTTAATTGTTTGTAATTTTTTCTCTGAGAAAAGGATCTTTTGATTTACTTTTAATTGTGATTTGTTCATTTTTTTCAGGAGTATTGGCCATTAATTTATCGTCAACATAATCAGCCATTGATTCACCATAATTAACTTGATGATGATGATGATGATTAGCACCATTGGCTGATGATGAAGTTAATTTAGTTAATTCCTTTGTTGTATCTATTTAGGTAAAGTTAATTGTTTTACAGTTGGAGGAGTTAATTGAGGTTAGAATGAAAGAAAATGAAAGTTAATCAATGATTAGTGGGATTGATCAAGTTAAACTGACATGAAGATATAAATTAATTATGTTAACAAGAAAAGTTAAATTAATTTGCATTTGAAGGAGGTGGTGGTGGTGGTGGTAATTGTGATGGTGATTGGGATGGAGTGGGGTGGGAAATGAGCTGAAATGTTTTTCTTTTGATTGATTAACCATTTAAATTATTACCTGGATTAGATGAATGTGTTTCATCATAATCAATGGTAGATGTTGGAAAGTTGTTATTAATTGTTGATTGATGAGGTACATTGGTTAATCGTGTTGTTGATTGTGGTTTGTGATTATCATTATCAACCAAATCTGGTGAATAGTAAACATTTGATTCGATGTCAGTGTGTAGATTTGAATCAGCGAAATAACTGTCAGGATGATTAAATTGTTCCCCTTGATTGTTGGATTTTCTTGATGAAGGATAAGCACCACGACGTTGATTAGAAATTTGTCCGTAATCACCAAGATAATTATTCGAATTTAAATTTGATTGTTGTCCATTAGGTTGATTTAATTGGCTATTATATTTACGTTGATTTTGGACATTTGGTTCGGGACTACGATAAGCACCACGCTGATTATTATGAGTTGGCTGAATATACGAAGTGGGTTCGTCTGTTGCTGCCGCTGTACTTTCATCGTATTCAGGTGAAGAGTTTGATGAATCGCCCTGTTCATCCCACCCTGTCGTTGTCTTTCAGCGTCTTTCTTTGCCTGTTCATCCATTGATTTCTGAATATCCGCTAAATCTTGTTGGCTCAAAAGTCCCGGTGGAAACAAGTCACCAGGGAAAGTATTTCCTTGACCTAATCGTTCAAATTGGGCCAAATCAGGATCGTTAGAAGGGTCACCGCCGCTGTTTTCGCCCATGTCTCCTCCATTTTCCTCTCCACCTCCTTCATTCTCGTCACCAGCCTCACTTTCATTACCTTCATCATTTTCTCCACTTTCCCCAGCTCCATCTTCCCCACTTCCACCATCAGTTTCCTCTCCTCCTCCTCCTCGTCCATTATTCTGTTGACCCTCTTCACTTGATCCATCTTGTGGACCAGCTTCATTTTGATCAGTTCTATCAACACCAGAACCGACATTACCCATCTCTCCACTTTCACCTTCTCCTCTTTGTCCACCATCTTCATTATTCACTCCATCCTGTTCTTGACTTCCATCCTCTCCTTCATCTTCCTCTGGTTCTGGTCTATTTCTCTCTTGGTCATCGTCCTCTTTAGACTCACCAGAATTTCTGATTCCATCACCACCATTACTCAGACCTCGTTGGTTATTATTATTCAATCGAGGACCCGCTGAACCCAATCCATTGAAATTACCAGAATTACCCAAAGGTAGCCTACCATTCAACCCACCGGGCCTTAAATTTTGATTACCTAGGCCATTATAATTAGGATAACCTTGATTAATACCGGTACCCGGTTGAGTAAATGAATTAGTCAAAGGTCCTGCGAATGAGAAAGCAGAAAAAGAACAATTATCAATTAATAATATGAACAATTAAATCCAACCAAGGTTATTTCAGGTCAATTTCCAATTGCTTTCCTGCTAATAACCTTCAAAATCATTTCCAACAATTAACCTTTGATGATCTTGAAAAAAAGTTAACTGTATATCCTTAATTAATTTAAGTTAAACCCTATCTCTTTACTGTTAATGTTAAATAGGAACAGATTAAATTGATTTAATTGTTTCCAGTTTAGTTACCATCAATTTAAGTTTATATAAAACCAACTGAAGATTTTGCTAAATTACTTTAAATTGTCACAATTAAACTTCCGCTTCTTCAAATAGACAAAAATATTGAAACCAAAGTGGAAACGAAATTTAAATTACAATTAAAAAAAGTTTTCCATTGTTTTCTCCTTGAAAATTAAAGGTTTCACTTCACAATTGGAAGAAAATTATGTTTTCTCAATGAAAACAATTAACCACCATTTCCAATTTGAAAACGGTAATTTAATGAACACAAAAATTAACCACTAATTAACAATCAAATCAGTCCTTTCTCTTTCTCTCTCTCTCTCTTTCATGGAATAGAGCAAATTAACTAATTGTAATTAGAAATCACCTCTGTTATTTATGTTGTTGGCTCTTGGTATGAATCGAGTTAATAAATCCAATGGTCCAGGTAATTGTCCTCGTTGATTGTTACCATTAGTTAAAGCATTTTGTAAACCAGGAATTAAATTAGCAAATGGTAAACCATAATTTTGTATTGGTGTTTGAAGTTGATTACCACCTAGAATTAATGTTGATTGTCATTAATTGTCAACTAATTTGATTGATTGTTTGTGAAAATTTTAACAACTCACCTTGTCCACTTATAAATGGACGCTGAGATTGTGCTTGACCATCAAGTGTTTCATTATCTGATTCTGATTGATTAGTTGAATTATTATCATCATCTAACTGACCAGTTGATAAAGTTACATTTTCATCATTTTCATTATCATAATAATCACTATAATCATCAGTATTATTAATTGTTGTTGAATCAATTGGTTGTTCAGTTGTAATTAACGGTTTAATTGTCGGTGTCAATGGTATTGTTGATTCACTTAATGGTTTGATTGTTGTTGTTGTTGTTGATTTTATTAATGGTAACGTTGAGTTGATTGTTGAATCATTAACATTTAAAGATACAATTAATTGATTGTAAGTTGAAATAATCACTAGAAACAAAATGAACTTCATTTTACTTTGTGGAAACGAGAAATTTTAATCAATTTGAAACGAACTGAATTAATTGTATTGATAAAAACACTATTTGAAATACACACTCGCAAATATATATAAATTATAACGAAAGCAGAGAAAAATTAGTGTAAATAATTAACTTACAAGTGAATTAAATTTAATTGTTAACAATACAAAATCAATAGAGTAACATATTGATTCATATTTTCACCAATGAGGAAAATAAATTGTTCACTTTAAATGTTAACACAAACAAATGAACACGAAAATATATATTGAAATAAATGGTTAAAAATGAGTAGAAAAATTTTCTCAACAATTAATTATCAATAATAATCATAAATAGCAACAATTAATTGTAATAATTTCTGGATATCTCCATTAACTTATGTATATATATTTTTTTTAGTTAATTAGAAAAGTAAAAGTTTAGTTGGATTGAATTAGAAATGGGAAAAAGTGGGTTGGGGATAAATGATGACAATTTAACTAAATTGAAGGTTAAGGTAAATTGTTGTTCAACTAATTAACATATTGATGAATGAATTAACTCAACCGGATCAACAATTAAATCACCTCGAGTATTATTATTAAGACTATTGCTATTTTTTTCACCAAGAAGATTCAAAATTTTAAGGGAAAGTTAATTGTAAACATCGGATCGTTGATCAATCCTCTTGATTGTTGTTCATCCAAAAGATGATTAAGTTTTTCAATTGTTTTTGATTGTTTTCTGTGTTTATCATTAATAAATTGTTACTATTATTGAACAATTGCTCATTCTAAATCTGTAAATTGTGTGTATGTCCATGTTGATTAAGTTTAGATGATTATTATTAAGAAAATGAGATGATAATTTTTTGATTGTTTTGATTGTTTCATTTAACTGTTTCGTTGATTGCAAATGGTTGAGTTAATCGTTATGTTATTATTACAATTTAAAGTCTGGGGAAAGCCAAAAATAGCAATTTAAAACAATGACATTGATGATAATTAAGATAAATATGACAATTAAAACCTCAAATTGTCGTAAAAATATCAACAATTAAAAAGATTCCAATCGAAAGGAAGAAAATAAAAATCAAAGTTAATCTAATTGTCCAATCTAAACACTTCGAAACGATAACAAATTGAGTTAATATAATCAAGATGATTAACTCTAGTTATTGGACAAGGTTAGACACTTGATTAGATAATTTTGTTAATTGTTGACAAGAAAAAGGTAAATTATATATTCAACAAGCAATTATGATTACAATTACACAACAGCAGGTTAATTTTAATTGTAAGGAAAACGCGTTTAGTTTATTAACTGATTAAATTGTTACTTTAACTGATTGTAAACAATTTACTAAAATTGTAAGATAATCAATAACACTAAATGATAATGATTATCAAAAACCCAGAAAAAAGGTTCAAGTTTTTTTTTTCTGGTTTTCTGGTTAAAAAAGTTGACAGGATTTCCGTTGAGTCGTTAATCAACTAATTAATTTGCTTGATTGACCGAGCGAGTTAAATGATTAAGACTTTGTAATGTTCACATGTATAAATCGTTGGGTTTTATAATATGAGAGCTAAATTGTTGGTGGATAATAAATTTTTCTGGTTTAATTGTTGATTGAATATGAAACACCCACAGGGAGAAATGGGAAATACATTGTTGGTGTTTGTTGTTTGTATCCAATGTGATGACCATGATTTTTGTTGGTTAAATTGTTTCGTCATTAAGAAGGTAAATTTTATGTTGATTAGTTAATTGTTGGCACAATAACGAGGTTGAATTTGAAACAGATAATCTCACGTAGTGTTGGTGTAGGTGGTGGGTAAGGGAAGGCGGGTAAATAGATAAGGGAGTGGGAGTGGGACAACTTTGTCTTGGGTGACATTTTGTTGACACTTTCGTGAATATCGCTCGTATATAAGTTGATTGTTGAGACAATTTAGTCACAATTTACTTTCAACAATCAACGACAACAACAACGAAAGGCACAATAGCCCTTGCATCAGTTAGTGAACAGTTAAATTGTGATTAACTGTTGAACAATTTATAATTTAATCTTGACTGTGATTTAAGTTGTTACTTTTCAATTTAGTTTGTCAACTTTAATCATGAATCCAATGGTATGTGTTAATCAGTGTGTTAATTGTTTAACTTTAAAGGATTAATTTGTTTTCTTGATCATCTTTATTGGTCAATTTAAGAATTGGATTTACTTGATTTCTTTTTGTTAATTGTGTTTTAAATTGTGATTCTTACAGCTGATTGATTTGTTTATATTTTTCTTTTCATTATATTTTTGATTTAAGATGATTAAGACAATTACAACAATCTTATCAATTAATTTAATTGTGGTAACGATGGTTAACTGTCAAGGTGAAGATCTTGGTGGTCTTGGTGGCCTCGGTGGGGGTGATTTAGGTGGTCTTGGTGGACTTGGAGGTGGCGGTGGAGACCTCGGAGGCTTAGGTGGCCTCGGTGGGGGTGATTTAGGTGGTCTCGGAGGTCTTGGTGGGGGAGACGGTGGTGGACTTGGTGGTCTAGGTGGTCTCGGAGGAGGTGAAGGCGGTGGATTTGGTGGAGGAGGTCCTGGTGGTTTTGGAGGACCAGGAGGTGGTGGAAGTGGTTTCGGAGGTGGTTTACCTGGTGGATTTGGTGGATCAGGTGGAGGTGGTATTCCCGGTGGGTTTGGCGGTGGACAAGGAGGTGGATTTCCTGGTAAGTAAATATATAAATACACAAAAACCCATAATCTTATATTCATTTCACACTCACTCCCATTTTCCCTCTCTCATCATCATCAATATAATCATAATAAAATAAGTAGATGAATCTAATTTTCATCTTATCCTGTCAACTTGACATCAATGTCATGAGGAAAATGAGGAAGAGAGAGAGAAAAGAAAAGGAAGAAAGAAAGAGAGACCAAAGAAATGAGAGAAAAAAATAGAGAAAAAAAATTTTCTTCTCATGAATTATTCAGAATGTGAATTACTTCTTGATTTTATGTTGATCATGATGGTGAAAATAAGATGATGGTGATGAGATGAGATGAGATGATGATGGTAAGCATAATACTTTAGTGTTTATTCATCCTTTTCATCCTCTTGCTCCTCCTCTTCCCACCCACAATTTGATTTGACCCAACAAAATGATTCAATGATGATCATCATCATCGTGATTCATGATAACTTTATCATCAGTGTTTCGATCTGAAAACAAACAACAAGCAAAAAGTTATCAAATCAAATCAAATTGATTGTTGATTCTGAAAAAAATAACAACAACTTGATCATCATCATCATTAATCCCCTTGGTGAATGTTTCATATTCATAATCAAAACTAATCACATTTGTTTTGATGTAATATCAAATCTGTATCATCATCCTAATAATAATTTAACTCGATTAGATTTGCAATTTGATTCAGTTGTGAAAGTGAGAGATGATTAACCAGTAATCAACTTAATTGCAAGACTTGCAAATATCAGTTTCCTTTTATCATAATTTACTACTCATAAGTATCAAACTATCAATTCATTGATTTTACAAAGTTAATCAATTGATTATTGAAGATTATTGAGACTCTTATGCAATATAATTAACGAGTAGATTTAAACAATTAAGTAACTATAATTAATTCAGGCAAAATTTCAAGGATAATAATAGGAAATCGTTGAGTTAATTGTTAGACTTAAGTTTAGTTCCGTTGATTTTTTTTGAAGGAAAATTAAGTTTTACCTTCACTGATTAAATGTTCACTGATCTTTACAATTAACTAAGCAATTTATGAAACAGTTTAAGAGAAATGGAGAGAAAATCATTCATCATCGTTAATTAAACAACAATTAGATTGACCTTCATGTGATTGTTATACAGCAAACAATCAAAACAAAGGTAACAATTAACTCGTAGTGGCAAAAAAAAGTTAGTTTTGAGTTTCCTTTGAAAATGATATCAACCATTCAATAGTTTTTGATGATCATTTCAATATTAATTGTTGTTAACTTGTTGTAATTTAATCACTCTAATCATGGTCCACTTAATTTACTCAGCTTTTTTTTTGTTAAATTGTTGAAAATTTATTCCAAATTTAGTAATAATTTGAATATCTTTTCTCTCTCTCTAATTACCTTTTCTCTTAGGCTTAGGAGGTTTTGGCGGTGGTCAAGATTTTGGCCTCGGTGGTTTAGGAGGTGGTCAAGGTTTTGGCGGTGGTGGCGGAGGACAAGGTCTCGGTGGTGGACAAGGACTCGGAGGTTTAGGTGGTCTCGGTGGACTTGGTGGTATTCCAGGTAATTGATTAATTAACTTTCCCATTGTGCTTAATTGTAACCAATTTAATCAACCCAAATATTAGACTGTTATTAGGAAAACGTTTTTATTTTTATAATCAACATGAAAATTTAATCTAATCATTTATATTGATTAATAAATTAAACTTAATCAACCCTTAACCCATATAAAACAATGATAGTGATCATAAAAGTTGATTATGTAATGGTCATCACTGTCCAGTTAGATGGTATATCTTTTTTTTATTATCATCATAAAAGTACCAAAAAAAGTAAATGAATTGGATGGTCAGTTTGTGAGTGGACAAGAAGAGGAAAACAAAATTTATTTCAATTTTTTTCTTCCTCTTCTTTATCAGAACAATAATTATCAGCCTCATGAATCCTCATGATAATGAACATGATGATTATTGTTATTATCAATTACAATCATGGTGGTGATTCAAGTAAAGGTCAATTTATTGAGTCTCATTTAAAGAGTAAAAATGGTAGAAAGAGGGACCATAAGAGAAAGAGAGAAATTGTCTTTCTTTTTATTCACTCCCTGAGTTCCTGAGACATTCAATGAGCATTCTGAGCACTTGTTGCCATTGGTAACCCATTCTGAAAGTAATAACTCTTTCATGATAATAACATGTAATCATAATAATGAATATGGAGACAGGCAAAAAAAGAACAACAAAAACTTTGTGTCCATTCAGTCAACAGTTTTTGTCTTGTTTTTTTTTTCTCTCCAGAACTTTTTTCCACCCTCACTCATCATCACCCACCCACCCTTTCCCTCTCCCATGAGATCCAATGAATACACCGAGAGTATCTAGATCGATTGAATAATAATAATAATGATGATCAGCAATAAACAAAATGAAATGATACTTTGTTATTCAACCCAATCAGTTACTGACCAGTCTCCACTCTATCTTCCTGCCTCTCCCACTCTCTCCCACCCCTACTCTCTCTCTCCCTCCCTCTCTTTTCTCTCTCTCATTGTCTCTTCATCATTACTGTTTTCCATCAATGAATCATTTTTACTCCCAAATCCATGGGTCTCAATTTTATCTCTATGAACACATAAAAGTTTCACTCGCCCACTTTTACTTTACACTTTTATTACATTCAGAGTTTTTTATTTATACATCAGATGATTTCCTCCCACTCCCATTCTCACTCTCACTCTCTCTTTCTCTCTTTCTTGTCTTCCTTTTCTATCATCATCCTGTCAACATTAACTGGCCTACTAAATGGCTTCTCATCAATTTCCTTGATTCCTCAAATTTTATCTATTCCTCTGATACTTTAGCCTTTTTTTCCTGTTCTTTTGCTGAATTCAGCTGAAAATTCTGATTCTCTCTTATGTTTCATTTTAAATCTCTTTCACATAACAGCTGATTCTCCATAAACAACTAACTTTTTTGTTCATTTCTCATCTTCGTTATTATTTTCAGGCCTTGGTGGACTCGGCGGTGGTTTTGGTGGACCTGGTGCCGGAGGAGCTGGAGGCGGAGGTGGTTTCCCTGGTCTCGGTGGACTTGGTGGTTTCCGAGCTTAAATGAACTTCCCTCCCTCCTCTCTCTCTCTCTCTCTCACTCTCTCTCGTTGCTCAGCTGATTATCAGACACTTAATTTATATATATTGAACTCAATTTACTATCATTAGATCAACATCTTTACACTAATTAAGTTAATCAATCAAATGAATTAAATTGCTTTTAATTTGATTGATTTTCTGTTTTTTCTTCTAATATGTATTAATCCAAATGGATCCAAATCATAAAGCCAACAATTTATTTTGATGATTAACATTATCCATAATAATCAACCAATGAAACAATTTAATCTTTAATAACTGAAAATGAAAACGTTAATTGTTAATCAAAACATTTAAATTGTATGTTGTCCATTACCAATTTAATTGTCACCTTAATAATATAAATACTATATAAAAATCATCCTAATCAATTTCATCTTCATCAACAAATCAACAACAACAATTAACAACAAAAAAAAATGAAACCAATTTAAAATAATAAAAAAAAGTTTTTGCTTTAATTAAAAATCAATAATTGTGATCAAATCAATAATAATTTTCCTTAATAAAAACAATTGCAAATTAATTAAATCATTTGCAATTTGCAAGATCAACAATTAACGTTAACTAATCATTGCCTAGAATTAATTGTTACCCTAATTGCGATGAAAATGTTAACCAGAATTTTCTGTTTTCTATCAGATTTTTTTTCTCTTCTCTCTCTCTCTCACTTTCTCCACCTAAAACCTGAAGTTTTTTATTCTCTTCCACCTCCACCTCCTCTCTCTCTCTCTCATCTTCATTCTCTCTCTCTCTCTCATTACCATCTTCCTCTTCCCTCCCTCACACTCTCAGGCTGCTGATTCGACTCCAATGTTACATGAAAATGTTTCTTCTCTTTCGCCATAAAATTTTCTCTTTCCACCCTCACATCACATTGGAAGAAAGAGAGAAAAAGATATTGCTCACTTTTTCTCCCTCTCTGTCTATTTTACTGTCGAAAAGAATATTATTTTCTCTCTCATTCTATGTAACTGGCTTCTAATCTTCTCCCTCATTTCATCTTTCTCATTCTCCCGTGAAACTACGTTGTTTATGTTTTTCTTCTGTTGCTGAGAGAAAAAGAGAAAAAAAAGTTGCTTTTATTTTTTATTCTCTTTTTATTGTTTATTTCTTTTCTCTTCTCTCTCTCTCATCTTATTCTCTACGTGTTCATCTAATCATAGAAAATATTGTTTTTCTTTTCTTTTTTAATTTGTGTTCTTTTTAATCTCTCTCTCTCTCACTGTGTTCAAAATCGCATTTGTTGAATATAATCAACTATCAACAACATTTTTATTCCATTAGAAATGATTAATGGATTAAACAATGTGAAGGATTCTCGTTGGTTACAACTTGAGGTTTGTCGTGAATTTCAACGTAACAAATGTACAAGACCAGGAACCGAATGTAAATTTGCTCACCCGCCCGCGGGTGTCGACGTTCAAAATGGCCGAGTAGTCGCTTGTTATGATTCAATTAAGGTAATTATTTTAAATTCTATTCTATTCTGTGTCTTTCCATCAGATTATATATTCTCTTCTGTTTATATTCTTTCTCATTATGTCTCATTGTGTCTCTTTGTTTTTTCTCTCTCGAAGAAAAGAAGCTTTTTTTTTCTTTTTTCCATATATTCCCTTCCATTGCCACTTTTATATTTATAAATATAAAGTCAATTATTTTCTCTTCTGATCTCATCTCTCTTTCTATTAAGTATCTTCTCTGTTTTTTTCTTCTCTTTTTATTTTTCTTACTTTTTTGGCTCCTTATTACTCATATATAACTAATTTTTTTTTCTTCTCTTGTACTTGTCTTTTTTTCTCTTCTATTAACCAAATGACATCTTTGTTCTGTTCTCTGTGCGCCTCTTACACTTATCATCATCTTATCTCTGGTTGATTATTTTTTTCGTTTGGGGTTACTAATCATTTCTTATTATCCTTTGGGTTTTCATCCTCATCTTGTATTGCAATCAATTGTTGACGATGGTTATTATTTTTGTTTCTTCTTCTTAACTAAATCTATACTTGTGTGTGTGTGTTTGTGTTTTGTGATTTGTGAATTAAAGGGTCGATGTAATAGAGATAAGCCACCATGTAGATACTTTCACCCACCTCAGCATTTAAAGGATCAACTATTAATCAATGGTCGTAATCATTTGGCTTCAAAAAATGTTATTCTTCAACAAATGCCCCAGCAAACCGTCCTCAATACTGGACAATTGCCTTTGGTAAGTTTTCCACTTTCTCTTGTTACCAAGGTGAGAAAAACTGAATATTCTTTTTTCACCTGATGAATATCAGAATCATAGCTTTTTTTCTTCTTTTCACGTTTTCCATTTCATATTCTTCACTTATTCCAACTTTACTATTTTCTCCAATATTATAAGTTATCAATTATGAGAGATGGGAAAAAGAGAGAAAGAGAGAGAATAAAAAAATGTTCTCTTTTTTCCTTAGATTATTTAAAACAGTAAGCTCTTTCATTGCATGTTGTCAATTAGATATTAGATATTAGGTGAACACGTACTGTTTTGATTTGAGTTAATTTAAATGAGTCTCTTTTCTAAGTGTAAGTAACTATTTTTAATCACTTTTACTCTTTGGGTGATAATTAACAATAATAACTGACAAGGAAAAGACTCTGTTACGTTTAGTGAAACCTCTCTAATGCCATCATATCATTTATATATCTAAGACTTTTCTCTCTCTCTCTCTTTCTCTCTTTCTCTCTTCGATTCCTCTTCATCATTATCATCTTGATCAATTTTATGTGCTTATGTTTTAGTCTTCTAATTATTATATTTTCTCAATATCCAATCTCTTTTACATGTTTACTTAATTCTCATCATTGACTTGCCCATCGTTCCCAAAAAAAATTGCATTTCCATATCTTGGCTGAATATCTATTTCGCTTCAATTATCCATAAACTTAAATCCACCGTTGCGATGATTTAAATTTTACCTTTTAGCCGAATAGCACGGCAACAGCGGCAGCAACTTCGCACGTTCTGGCCCAAGCTGCTGTTGCTTCTACCTTGGCTGCCGTCGAAAAGCGAGCACGAGAAGCTGGAGATCTCTTAATGGTAATGCAAATTAATCCCATTTTTATTTTTTCCACCCTCGCATCAATCATAAAAAAAGAGAAATGATGTTTGCTTACTTTTCTCTCTGTCTCTTACTCTATCTCCTCTTTCTCTGTCAACCGTATTGTCTTAATTCATTTTCTCTCTCTAATTCCATCTAACTGGCTTCTGTTATTCTCTATCATTTTATGTTTCTCATTCTCCCGTGAAACTACGTTGTCGTTATTTGTGTTTTTTTTTGTCATTTGAGGGACAAAAAAGTTGCTCCTTTTTTATTTTCTCTATTGTTTCTTTCTCTTTCTTTCCTTCTTTTTCTCTACGTGTTCAGTTCATCATATAAATATTGTTTTCTTTTTGTGATTTTCTCTTTCTCTTTTCACCCTGTGTTCACACTCTCACACATTTGTTGAATTTAACAGTTCAACTATCAACAACATTTCATACCATTAGAAATGGTAAATGGTTTAAATAATGTGAAAGATTCTCGTTGGTTACAACTTGAGGTTTGTCGTGAATTTCAACGTAACAAATGTACAAGACCAGGAACCGAATGTAAATTTGCTCACCCGCCCGCGGGTGTTGACGTTCAAAATGGCCGAGTAGTCGCTTGTTATGATTCAATTAAGGTAATTATTTTATATTCTTCTTAATTTCTTTTTCTATTCTTTTTTTGATCCCTTCTTTTGCTTGTATGTCAAGTCAATTACATGATGATTTCTCCCTTAAGCACCAGATTATTGATTAACCTTTAATTTCAAGTATCATCATCATTATGATTATTATTTAATTGTTATGCTTCTTATTTGGTGAATATTTTGTATCCTTGTCTATTGTTATTTATAATGAATCGTAATCACTTTATAAATTTAATTAATATTAGTCTCATACAGGGATACAAATTGCTGCTTCAATCTTTAACTAATTAATCAACATTTTAAGGCAATTAATCAAGCTAATCAATTAGCTGAAATAATCACGATCAAAACCAATCCTTACTTACCAATCTAAACCTTTCTTGTTTATTGAGTTAATTAGTTTCTAATTGACGAGCTTTAAAAGATACTCATTATCAAGCTTAAATTGTTGATTAATCTTATATCAGTTTTGTTATAAGTAACCCGATCCACTTACAATTAATACGATAATTTCGGTCCAATTTAATTTGGCATAACAATTTGAATATTATTAATTCCTAATCAGTAGATGAAATTAATTATTCTCACCAGTAATCATCTTGTTAACTACAAATTGATTTACACGATGTTGAGTTTCCAATTTAAATGGATATTAAAGCCTAACCTTTAATAGTTTCAGGGCAAAAATGATTAACTGAGTGTGTTTAATTTCCAGAGGAACCATAACAATAATCATAATTAATTAAAAAACTCGATGAAATAGAAACTGAAATTAATTTAGAAAAACTGTTTTATTTTGATTATTTCTGAATCATTGATTGTAATCGAATCAGCGACGATCTTTCATTTTTTTTACACATGAAAATTTCGTTCTGATTTGTACTTTTCCTCTTGCACCACCTATTTTATCATTTAATCCTCTTGATATAATGTCTTTCGTTTCGGATTACTAATTGTCTCCTTTTTGATTTTCTCATCCTCATCCTCGTCAACATCATCATCATCTTATTGTGTATCCTCATCTTGTATTGCAATCAATTGTTGACGATGGTTATTATTTTTGTTTCTTCTTAACTAAATCTATAATTGTGTGTGTGTGTGTTTGTGTTTTGTGATTTGTGAATTAAAGGGTCGATGTAATAGAGATAAGCCACCATGTAGATACTTTCACCCACCTCAGCATTTAAAGGATCAACTATTAATCAATGGTCGTAATCATTTGGCTTCAAAAAACGTTATTCTTCAACAAATGCCCCAGCAAACCGTCCTCAATACTGGACAATTGCCTTTGGTAAGTTTTCCACTTTCTCTTGTTACCAAGGTGAGAAAAACTGAATATTCTTTTTTCACCTGATGAATATCAGAATCATAGCTTTTTTTCTTCTTTTCACGTTTTCCATTTCATATTCTTCACTTATTCCAACTTTACTATTTTCTCCAATATTATAAGTTATCAATTATGAGAGATGAGAAAAGAGAGAGAGAGAGAAAGAGAAAGACGAAAAAATGTTCTCTTTTTTCCTTAGATTATATAAAAACAGTAAGCTCTTTCTTTGCATGTTGTCAATTAGATATTAGATATTAGGTGAACACGTACTGTTTTGATTTGAGTTAATTTAAATGAGTCTCTTTTCTAAGTGTAAGTAACTATTTTTAATCACTTTTACTCTTTGGGTGATAATTAACAATAATAACTGACAAGGAAAAGACTCTGTTACGTTTAGTGAAACCTCTCTAATGCCATCATATCATTTATATATCTAAGACTTTTCTCTCTCTCTCTCTCTCTCTCTCTCTCTCTCTCTCTGTTACTCTTCATCATTATCATCTTGTTTACTTGGTTCTTATCTGTTTATATTTAGTATTTCATGATTATATTTTCTCTATATCCAATCAATCTCTTAGATGCTCTCTTTTTTTAGCTAGACTTTCATTTTTTCCACTCTCTCTCTTCCTCTCTCTCTCACTCACATCATGAGTCGTTACTTTCACTCATGTTTAACTTTTTACTTAAAAGTCAATCGTCTTATTCTTGAATCCTTCTTTCCATCTCACTTTATTTTCACTCTCTCATAATGTGTCCCAATTCGTTGTCTATCAGAAAACACATATCCATGTATCACATCAGATTAGATGAGTAGTTAGAATTTTTTAAGTAAATTGATCATCAATCTCTTTATCTTTTTCTCTCTCACTAAATTTAATTAGAAAACTCTTGTAGTAAATAATCTTAATCCTCTTCGCATGATCTAAATGCACGAATTCCCAAAATGCTTTGATTTTCCCTTTCGCCACCGAATTTATTTTATTTTTTAGTTTGTTATTTATCAATTTTTTTCTCTTCTTTTTTTTCATCCAAAACACGCACCACTTTTATTTTGATACTTTTTTCATTCACCCGTTTGCCCGTCGATCCCTAAAATCCACATATCTAAATCTTGGCTGCATCTCTAATTTGCTACAAAATTATCCAATATAAATATCCAATATTTTGATGAATATGTATATATATAAATATAACCTAATTAGCCGAATAGCACGGCGACAGCGGCCGCTGCAACCTCGCACGTTTTGGCCCAAGCTGCTGTTGCTTCTACTTTGGCTGCTGGTAAAAAACGCGCACGTGAAACTGGAGACCTTTTAATGGTATGCCAATTAATCCCATTTTATTTTATTCTTTTTTATTTTATTTCTCTCTTTTATCCCCTGAAACCATTTCAAAGATAAAAATCTATAGTATCAATCGCCGAGATTGATTTTTAATCTTGATCGAGTTTTTATTACTATTATTATCGTAACACTAACTTCATTTTTCACCAAACCAATTTAATGTTATTATTATATATAAGAAAAATCGTCACTTTGAAACTTTTTCAACTAATAGTTGTGTTCAGTTTTCCACCTTGAATATCCCTCCTCTCATACTCTCCTGTATCACTAACACTTTTACTCACTGGTGGTATTGAATATCTCACCAGAACTGTTAATTGTTTATGAGCAAATTCACCCTGAAACTCAATCAATATAAGGCGATCAACTTTCATTTTCACCCTACAAAAAAAGTTAATTTGTTTTTGGTTATAATTTTGAAAAAAAAGTAATCAACATCATCTAATGATTGTTATGATGATGATAATATCGTTATAATTTAAAAATTTGTCAGCAATTTCTGCCTGTGAATAATTTATGTTACACAATATCAAGTGAACATGAAATTTTCGTGATATATTAAACCTCCTCTAATTAAACCTCACGTTTCCTCCTTGTTTCATCCCTAGTTTCCTGTCAATTTATGTATCAAGTAACTTCCGGTCGCTTAAGTAACCTTATTTAATTGTACTTTTTTTCTCTACATGTTACAATACACTATTAGTACTACAATTATCATTACAATTCCCTGTAATTCATAATTTTTTTTCATTTTTCTTCCACTTATAATCATGAAGATTATACTGATTATATAATGATAACAAAGTTATTATCATGAAGAGAAACAAAAAAAACTCCCAGTGAAAGAGAGAAAGAGAGAAAGAGTCAATATTATCATAATGTAATTCTGTAGGGCGATTACCAATTAAAAGGCGTAGGTCACAATTTTTAAGCCTCGATCCATTGAACCAGAATTTTTTTCATTCTCCATGATATAATAGTGAATTTGACTGAGAAAAGATGAAAGGAAACGAAAAAAAAATTCTGTTCCTAACAAAAGACATCTAATAGAGATGAATGAGTAAATATTGAAGCAAATTCCTTTGATAATATAATTGAAACAATTTGAAAAGGGAATTAGAACTCAATTTGTTTACCTTAACATGAATTAATTTACTTTTACTTTTTATCTTTTTTTAATCAATATGATTTCAATTAATTTGGATTAAACCTTTAATCTGGTTGGTCCAAACTGTTCGAATGTTGTTCGTTGTAATCGATTGTTTTTTTTCCTGATGAAGTTTCATTCATTTTTTAATCTCTCACCAATTATACTAACAATAAATATCCAAATAGATCATTATTGTATTTGATTCTATTTTTTTTCTCTCTCAACTGAATTAGTTTTTTAATACTCTTCTAGTATCGTTATTTAACATATGATATCTTTTTTTCTCTTCTTTTTCCCCTGTCAAATCTTCCAACATTTCCTTCCGCATCTCATTCAACCCATTTAAATGTCATCATCTTCTTAAACATTTCCATGATTACCTGGTTATTTGATTTGCTTTTACCTTTGGATACCTATTTGTAAATCATCTCTTGTTGTGTATCTTTTTTGATGGATGACATTATCATTGTATTTTATCCTGTTATACCATCATCACCATCATGATTGTTATTGACATGATCAATTTGGTCCTGTCTTTTGTCTTTTGTATTTCCTTTTCCTGTTTAAATTAACAACGGAAATATCTTTTTGGACTTTTCTCCATTCTCTCTCTCTCTCTCTTGCTGTTAACCACATAATGGAAAATCAAATGGAATCTCCGGTTGTTATTTAATTCTCTCCATCATCATTACCATCACTACTACATCATTCTCGTGTAATTTAAACTTAATCATGATGATAATGGTTTATAGACATTTCCGGGAGTTTTACCTATGACTAAACGACCCGCTCTGGAAAAGAGTGGATTACCTGTTTTTCAACCTGCAGCTATGGTTTCAGCTTATCAACAAGCTCTCGCCATGTATCAATCATTTGTTCCATTAGCTTGTAAGTCTTGATACTCTTTATATGTATTATTGGGATATAACTTTTTTCCAGCTAATTGGACTCTCTCTCTCTCTCTCTCACTTTCTTCCTGATGATGATGTGTGTGTGTCCACTATCAAGATCAATATTTTTTAGTCATTAATCATAACATGTTGAGATGATAACGATGAAAATGATGGGAATTGATATTTGAATTGTTTTGTATTGTTATCATTGTGATGATGAAGATGATTAACATTGGTGGTAGAGTTTTAGTCTTAAGCTGGAAAAATTATATCTCTTTGAGAATTATTATTCGTCCTTTTTTTTCTTCTTCTTTTCTATTATTCGTTTTCTTATATTTCTAATCTATCTCATCTCTCTTTCTTTATGTTTCTTCATCTCATCTATATCCGGTTCGTCTATTCCCTCTCATCCTTAGATAAATGGTCCAGTTGAACATCCGCCCAAGTGATTTAATCGTTTTGGTTTATTTCTTTTTCAAGATTCGTTTTCTCTCCTCTTCAGATTAAGATGAGATGAGAGGACAGGCACCAAATCGAAAGAAAGAAAATAACACAAAACAACGAAGAATCATAACTTCAATTGCTTCCCTCGACTCTCTCTATCTTTAAATCCTCTTCTCATCTTTTATCGTCCACCTCATCCAATCTTCACCTCTTTCTTTCTCGTCATCTGTCCGAATAGTCAAAAATTATTTGTATTTTCAATCATATTTTGAAAGATTGAAAACTTTTCTCGTCATCTTATAAAATTCATCATCATCTCTCTTTCTCTCTCTTACTCTTCAATTTTTCTTTTTTTTCAAAATCTTGTCGTTATTTTGTCAATTCCTCATCTTTATCTCTTCTTTTCATTCTTTCTTTATTCATCTCTACTGAAGATTAATATGATGATAAAGACAATATGATTAATGTTTTGCTGACAACTTCTGGATACTTTTCACTTTGAGTCTCCCATGGTTCAAGTACAATACCTTGATTCTCCACCTTATTCAATATCATCTGTGAAAAGTTTTCCTGAGATGAACTCATAATTGACCAATTGATTGACACATGGAAAATGAACTTGTTCAATTGAACCACCAGATAAAAGCATCACTTTCTCCACCAAATCAAGGTAATTTGCATAATTTCATATTAGTTTTAGCCTAATTGACACTCTCACTCTGCTTATCTTTAATGAGTATTTGTTTACTTTTTCACAGTTGACGAAATTGAATTGTGATTTACAATGAATAAGATAATTACATTGATCTTTAAACAAGCGATACAAAGTTGGCCTCAAAGACCATTGTTCTTATACATTAGCCTGAAATCTATTACCGAGACCAAGGATAGCCGGTGATCCACCAAGTGAAGTGCCATTGAAAATTACAAGAAAGTGTCACGATTTCCTCCCACTCCGGGTCAGCAAATTTCCCAACAACAACCTTATTGGTCAGCCAATGAACCAACTACAAAGAGCAACAATGGCTGCCCTTAAATTAAATCATATTAAGAAAGATTGGCCTTTAGTCTTCGTCATTTTATTATCTTTCATTTTTCTTCTCTCTTTTTACCTTTGTTCAAAATCTTTTCGTTATTTTGTTCATTCCTCTTCGTTGTCTCTTTTCTTGTCCTCTTTATCTTCCTCTCTTGCTCCATTCACTCCTCTTTACTATAGATTAAGATTGTAAAAAAGACAATATGATTAACGAGAGGATGACAATATGATGATAAAAATGACGACAACCAGCATTTTATCATTTTTCTTTCTCTCTCAAAGTTAGTTGAAAAAAATATGTGATTTGTTTTCCCTACAACTACTGTTACACTTACCAAGCAAAAAGAGAATCCTGTCCATTCTTGACATGAAGGTCGATAAGTTACAAAAGTTACCAAAAAACATTGTATCTAATAACCTTAATCTCTCCCACCTTGAAAGTCTCTATCCATCATCACCATTATCACCATGTTCATCTTCATCTTCATCATCGCCCCTTATTTTAGTCATAAACATTGTCATTTCTTTTTGACCCTCTCTCACTTTAGTCATACACCAAAACAATTATCACAGAAAAATCAAAGCAAAGACAATAACCACACATACACACAAAGAAACACAACCAAAACAAACCAATCGACGGTTCATTTAGTGCAATTCACTGTGGTGATCTCATTTTTCCCTCATCATTCATTGTTCATTTTCATTAATGATTTTCAATTAATTATTATCATTATTATTATATTATTATAATCATTGTAATTAACCTTAATTGTGTTTGCTGAGAATAGCCAACAACAACAAAAAGCAACGATTGAAGCATTTTCAACCAACAACAATTCAAAAATAATGCCTTGCACTAAGCGGATCCGTCCAATGGTATTATTGATAAAGTTATTATCACTTTCTAATCATCGATGAATATTTAACCAAATATGAAGATGATAAAAATGGAATCAATTAAGATAATGATGATAATAACAATTAATTATAAGCAAGTATATACAAATTAAAGTGTAAACCAAAATGATAAGATAACAAACAAAAGAAACACCAAAAGTTATGTTAACAAAATTGAAAAGTAAACAAAAAAATCAAAGATAAATATCTAAATATATTAAAATTTAAAAGAAATTAATAAACAATTAAACTTGATGATATTTTCGTCTCATTGATTTATTTTAATTGTCTTGTTTTTCAACATTAACAGCAATTGAATCAATTTAAATTGTAACAAGTCGCGAAATGTTTTCATTGAAAATTGTGATTAATGTTGAGGTAAGAAAGTTCTGACAAAATGAGATTATATTGATGAGGAACAAGAATCTGAGATTTTCTTGGCATCAGGGATAATCCGGTGATTCCAAGTGATTGGTTAAAGATTTTAAATGTTATTTATGGATTTCAGTGATATAATTACTGATGAATCTGGAAAACTAATATCAGCTAATTCATGATAATCTGTTATGATACATTCCCATGATCAGGAATTAACTGTTGATTGATACATTGGAAGATGTTGAACCGATATTTATATTTAGAGATTTCCATTATTTATCTAATTTTTCTCTATCTCTCTCTCTCTCTCTCTCTTTCTCTCTCTTTCTCTTTCTCTCTCTTTCCATTGAGTTTTAAACATCCAACTCATTCAAATCTAATTGTTTTAATCTAATTAAGTTGTGATTGTTTTTTTTTCAGAACAAAAAATGTTATATTGTATTTAGATTGTATTGTAACTGTCGTTGCAGTTGTTGTTTGCAATTGTTTTTATAAGCTAATTTTGGAATTAGATTGCAATGAATTTTTTAATTACCTGTGACTTTTATTTGATTAAATTTAATTACTCTTTTGTTATGAATTTTTAATTATTTTAAATGAATTTGTTTTCTTTGAAATTCGGAAGCTGCTGCCATCTAGTGGGAGTTTAGGTCGCTCGTTTGTCATTTGTTCAAATTTGTTGTCAACTGGAATCAGTTGAGTCCAAGGTGAGGATTTGTTGACTTCATCTGTTAATCTAATTTTATTTTAATTTAAACGTAGTAAGTTAAATTGTATTTTATTTTTCAATTATGGTGCTTAATGAGCGGACCAGTGTTGAGGTTGTTTTTATTGTTGAAGGAACTGCTAACCTTAGTTTATATGCCGAATCAATCAAAACAAACTATATCATTCCAACTCTAGAGTGAGTATTTTTGTTCTGAATTTTTTTTTCGTTTTTTTTTTGGTTCTCTTTCTTTCTTTCTTTCTTTTCTTTTCTCTTCTGTCTTGTGTGTTGATGTCTGACTTGTTTTGTTCTTTTCTAGAATTCTCAGTGGTGGTTCACCTGATGATGGGGAATATGAATTTGAAAACTCACTAAATTGCTCTCTCTTTGCATTGGTTGTTTTCGTGACAGCGGATTCGGCTCCCGATCTTGCCTCGTTTTGCTATGGACCTACTTCATCTACTAGTAAACTTTTACAATATTTTGATAAAATACAGTTGAGTGGCTTTGAATTTTCATTTCCTTTGCTATGTTTTGACTAAATTTTCTGTCATTTTGTTAATTTTGTGTCTCTCTCTCGCTCTTTAGATTTAATTGTGGTGGTGCATCTTCTTGTAGCCATATTACTGAAGGTATTGCCACGGCTCTTCAATGTTTCGACGAATTTAAAAACATGAGAGAAAATGCTGCCCCAGGTTCTAGTATGAATAAAATACCTCGACACTGTGTACTCATCTGTAACTCTCCACCTTATAGTCTGCCCGCTGTGGAAAGTATTTCTTACAATGGTTTTATGATTGACCAATTGGTTGGCCTGATGGGAGAAAGAGGGATCAGTTTAAGTCTTTTCTCCCCCAAAAAGATGCCTTATTTATTTAAACTCTACGAAAAGGCTGGAGGCGATTTATCAGCTGCATTATCGAAAAATTATGCTAAAGATCGACGACATTTAGTTCTTTTGAAAAATTTCCATCTACAAGAGAGACCCTTAAGTCCACAAGTAAGTCAATCATCAAATAAATCTTTGGACAAAGCATCGCCTTCTCCGTCGCCATCTAATCAAGGTAATGAAATGTCAATGTTGCAACCGTCAATTTATTTTGTTAATCACTTGTTTCATCTTTTTATAGTTTTTTTCCGTGTTTTGAACCTTTATTTTTTTCGAAAATTTTAACGTAAATTTATCTCTTTCATCTACCACTTCAGGTCAAAAGAGGCCTCTTTCTCCTGCGTCTTCGGCTGTTTATGGTAAGTTAGTAAAAAAAAGGAAATTGTCAATGTTTTTTAAACTCTTTAAAGCTCATTGAAGCTTGCAATGGATCTCAATTCTAAATATTTTTCTTTTTATAGTTAACAAAGATACCGTGCAAATCACAATTCACCAACAGCAATCACAACAACCGCAGCCACAGCCACCTCAACAGCAACAGCAACAGCAACAACAGCAACAACAACAGCATCAACAGCAGCAACAACAACAGCAAGCACAACAACTCCAACAACAGCAGCAACAAGCACAACAAGCACAACAACAACAACTTCAACAGCAACAGCAGCAACTTCAACAACAACAACAACAACAACAACTTCATCAACAGCAATTCCTTAGGGGACCTCAACCTCAATTAGCAACTTTCTCTCAACCCGATAAAGCACCAACTCCTGATACAATGATACGATCTGGTCCTCCAATGGCTGGTAATACAATGCCAGTTCTTACCAGTCAATTACAACAAATACCTAATTTACGTCAAGGAGTAACAGTAGTTGCACAGCAAATTAATCAACCTAATCAAAATAGAATGGGCTTCCCTGCAGCTCAAATGATACCTGTTCAAAGAGATAATTTTAATCCTGGTATGATGCAAGGTCAATTAAGAGGAGCACCTTCACCCTTTAATAATACACCTTCAGCCAATTCAATTAATCGAGCTTCAGTTCCATCTCCACTTTCTCAAAATGTCCCCTCACCAATGCCAATTCAACCCAATCAAGGAGGTATGATGGGTCAAGATACAATGACCAATGTTCCTATGGGCCAACAAATGGTACCTCCAGGTCAACAGGCCAACCTACAACCTAAAATGGGTAAAAAAATTTGGTCAGGGTGCATTGAATTTCAGGATAAACAATCACAGGTTGGAATGGATTCAGTGGTACAGAAATGTTCATTACCTTGTACAATATTTTATGGAGGTAATAACATTGATCTAGAAACAAGTAGCGCATATTGGCCTCCCAATTTGAACCTCGTTCTTTTACCTAGTGGTCTGTTACGACAATTAGGACCAATTTTTAAAAATGAATCTGATTCCGTACAATTAACATTTGCTAATCAAGAATCTGACGCTTTCCAAATATTAGCCCGAAATTTATTACTAAGACCAAATGTCGCTGGTTCGCAAAATCAAGCAAACGCAATGTGGGGGATGATACAATTTAATTTAAACCCACACAATTCACCGCCACATCTACAATCAACGAGGGCTATAATTATAGTTAATGGACAAGATAAGAAAAATTTTATCGGTTTTATGCCGAGGAAGCATGATGATTTTCTGGCTAAAATGAGAGCTGCCATTGATAATTTTAAGAAAAGGCAGCAAATCCCTCAACAAATAAATCAACAAGGAAACATGAATCAACAGCAACCGCAAATGGGTCAACCAATGAACCAACCAATCGGCCAACAAATTAATCAATCAATTAATCCGCAACAAATGAACCAAACAATGGGACAACCAATGGGCCAGCAAGTTAATCAATCAATTAATCAACAAATGGGTCAACCAATTAGTCAATCAATGAACCAGCAGATTAATCAACCAATGAACCAGCAACAAATGAACCAACAAATGAACCAACAAATGAACCAACAGATGAACCAACAAATGAACCAACCAATAAATCAACAAATGAATCAACCGATGGGCCAACAGATGAACCAACAACAACCCCAAATGGTACCTCAACAAGTCATGCAACCACCACCGGGACAAATGATCCAACAAATCACAATGTCACAGCCTCAGCTCACCGCGAACACTGGTTTCTATCAGGTAACCGGCGATCGATCATCAAGCTGTGTTACTGCTCTAGTCTCGTTGATCAGACGATTATAAATCCTCTGACGATTTTGTGATTCTTAAGCGAGAAGAGGAGGAAAAAATTCGAAGACGAAACAAAAACTAATTACTAATCATTTTCCTCACTCTCTCTTTAAATATTCAATTTTGTTTTCTTCCCTTTTTCGTCCATTGAATGTTTATCATTAGTGTGTCTCCCTAGACCATATTTGTTACCCAATCCCACCCTCGATCGCTTCTCCTCCCTTCCTATTTCCTCTTCCTTTTCCAATCCTTTGGATAATTAATGTAAATACTTGTTTATTTACGTTACATCCTTTAAAATAATCTAATTTTTCTGCATGCAAATAACTTAGTTTACTTCTCTCTGTTAATTGCTTTTCTCTCGTCTAATTGTTAACCCAATTTTTTCTTCTTCTTCAAATGCTCTACTCACAATTTAAAGAGAAATCAAAATTCACTAAACGGCTTTAAGTTTTTAGGTGGCTTCTAATTTGCAACTAATTCTGTGGTGGGCTTTGTCTAATCATATATATAAATGTTAATGATTTATTTGGTGGTGGTGGTTGATGGCTAATTATTTAAATTTCTAATCTCTAATATCCTTGCTTGTTATGTTTAAACCTTTCAAACTTTGCTTAACCTTTGCTTGATTTGGTGTTTGCATGTTTTTTTTTCTTGTTGATTTTGTCTAATTAACTTTCTTTTATTATTAAGATTCAACAGATTTCAAACAATCAGGTCGGCCAACAACAAGGAGGTTTCCGTAATCAACCCGTTCATAGTGTTCGGATCGCTGGTGTACCAACTAATCCAGGAATAATGAATCAAACAACAGCACCACAACAACAACAACAACAACAACAAACTCAAATGACACTTGCTGGATTAATGCAACATCAACAATTACCCCAACAACAACAACAACAGCCACAACAACAACCTCTTCAACAGGCTCAACAACAGCAACAATCACCTCATCTTGTCCGTCAACAGTTACAGCAACATATTCATTCACATCGTCAACAACAACCTCTTGGAGGAGTAAAAGGTAAATTAACCAAGTTACAATTAATTGATTATTACTTTTGATTATCATGTTTCTTATTTTACTTTTTCTAGGCACTCCCGGCTTACGAAATCTACTTTCACAACAACAACAACAACCTGTTCAAGCACAACAACAACAACAACAACACCAACATCAACAACAATTACAACAACAACAGTTACAACAACTTCAACAGCAACAACAACAACAACAAATGCAACAACAACAATTACAACAACAACAAATCCGAGCAAACATGCAACGTGGACCAGGTCAGCAGCAGTGGAGATTCAATTAACGACGATTAATCATTATGATTAACATGAAATTAACAATTAACTTAATTATACAACACAAGAGAAAACAAAGCAAAGCAAAAAAAATAATCCAGATCATAGTTTTGGTTTAATACACCAAATAAATCAAATCATCTTTTTCCCTTTAACTTTTTTCTTCCCTTCTTCTGACTTAAATGCATATGTAAAATATTTCGCTATTTATGCTTGACAATTTATTGGAAATTTCAATCAATCCCCCTGATCTATTTTGATACATTTCTAACAATTATCAAATTGTTCACATCTCTATTTGTCTTGCACCAATAACGCATTTGTATTAATCAACTTTTTCTCAATGTCACCCACATCCCTCCAAATACCCACCGTATCAATTTTGAAATTATTTTTTCCCTTCCCTTAATCCTTGAAAATTAAGGTAAAATATGTGTATAAAAAAACCAAATGATGTGATCTTAAAATCACAAACAATCAACAGAGAGATAGAAAAACAAAAAACAAAATTTTGTAATCAAATAAAAACTTTACACTTAATTTAAAAGATTAACTGATCGAAACTGATTAGATAACATTTGAATCCCTTATTATATGAATTCTGGTTCATCTCACCAAATTGATTAATCACTTTAACAGAGAGATTATTCTCAATTAGTTAACCCATTGGGAGAAAAAAAAGATTTAACAATTAATCTTGTCAAAGGGAAAATTGTTTCCATTGAAATTGATTGTTTACATTTTCGCTTTTCGTTCATTGGATTCGAATCTCGGATCGAGTATTTGGATCCAATTCTAAGATTCGAAACGCCCATTTTTCTGTAGACCAAAAGATGCTGATGATTTACTTTTGTCTCTCTCTCTTTGTAATTGTGATTTAAATTGTGTTTTTTTGCATCATTTGGATTAATTGTGTCTTTTTGTAGGAGATTAAACTCATGGTTTAACTGTTTCTTTGTGGAATTGGAAAAGTAACTGTAATTGTTTTGATCGTTTGTTCATCTCTTTGGTTTTGTGTTTTGGGTGAGTGAATCTTTTCAAAATGGTTGAAATTGATTCTTCCATTTTGATTGGGTTTATATTATTACTCATTTTTAATGAGACAATGGAAAAAGAACTTGATGAAAGCCGAGTGCCTGATATACCAAGTAAACTTAAATTGGATGCAACTCTTAGTACCATTTCAATTAGCTGGTTACCTCCGGTTGATACTTCAGTCTCAATTAAGGGTTACATTGTTGGCTGGGGAACTCCGGTCCCATATGATTTTACTAAAGCTCTTGATGCAAATCAAACCTTTTATCAATTAACTGGACTTTATCCTACAACTGAATATGTTGTCAGTGTTCGAGCTTTTAATTCTAATGGTGATGGTCCACCCAAATATGAAACTATCTGGACTCGTGCCCCTTCAACACCTGAACCTAAAATTGCTCTTCTACCACCAATTGGTCTTCGTGTAGATGTCACTTCACCTACATCAGTGGTTCTTCATTGGACTGATACAACTCTTAATTCTCGTAATCCTACCGATGATCGAATTTATACAATTCGATATTCATCTTCCTTTCTTTCGAATAATCCTAAATATAGATATATCAACACAACTCGAACAAGTCTTCTCATAGAAGATTTAAAGGCACACACTCAATACGAATTTGCAGTTAAAGTAATCAAGGGTCGAAGAGAAACAACCTGGAGTATGAGTGCTATTACTCCATTACCGAATATGGAATCAAATCAAGAGAAAACGGAAGAAAAAATGGGTAAATTGTTTTTCTCTTAAAACTGAAATCGAAACTCAAAAGCTAAAAGAATTTCGAGAAAAAATCGTAGTCACTTTTTTCATCTATCCTTTGTCTCTGTTCATTTTTCTCGCGATTCACTAGCTCATTTTTAGATTTCTCATCTTATTGAATAATTTATTGCCTCTGATACTTTTATTACCTTTATTTACTAATCAATTTGATGTTCTTCTACTTTTACCTCTTTTTCCAGTTTCCAAGTTGAAACCTTTTCATTCAATGATCTTCCTCATCTCATCAATTTCTGGAGCTGTTTTACTCCTTGTAATTGCGGTGAGCATTTTATTTATTAAATCTCGTCGTTCACCAAGACATGAACATGAATCTGTTCGTAAACACAATGGTTACATCGCTGCAGCCACAAGTCCCGTTGGAGGAAAACACAAATCAAATATTGAACTTAAACCACCCGATCTTTGGATTCATCATAATGATCAAATGGAAGTGTTTTGGTGATGAAGGTCTCATCTCTTTTTCTATCCATATTATATATAAACACATCAACTTATTGATAAATTGATCAAAAGATTAAGACAAAGCAGTAATTATTACCATTTCGAGCCATAAAATGCAATTTTTGATGAAAGAGGAAGATGGAATATCAATATCTATATGGAAAATCATACGATTATTCATGTGTCATCGCCATTATCATCATCTTAATCACCTCAACCATCATCATCATCATCATGGATCCTGATTTATCCTTGCCATAATAACTATTAACATTTACCTCTAAAATTAATTTCTGTTTGTAATTAATTAATATCCGATTTGAACTTCAGACGTAATTGAAAACCCGGTGTTCATGTAAATAACGATCTTCTCCACCTTACCACAATCTCAATCTCAATCCTCAAAATTGATCTGCTAAATCAAATTGGTCATTAATTGGTCAAGAAAATCAACCCAATGGCATTTAAAGTGAATGTGCTAATCTATCACATTTTATCATATCAAAAAACGACCTTTTTTATTATTATTATTATTATACAAAGACTGTTTTTTATATGTCAACTTTAACCAACAACAACCACATCATCACTAATCATTACAAATCTTGTAGATTTGTCTTTGATTTATCTCAATTTTGCTCATTCATCATCTAATTTATTTAAATTATCTAAAATCTAATCTATTGCTTGGCATTTTACTCTTCCATTCAACCTCATCGCACAAATTGGATGGAAATCAAGAGAGACAAGATGATTAAAGAAGCAAGAACAAAAAAATCAAATCAAACACAATCAACAGGATTCACCTTAAATCACAATCTACTATATAACTTTGATTGTAATCAACTAACTACAATTTACTTGTCAACTACAAAACTACATTTAACTTAATCTCATACAATGACCAGGACGATGGATTCAATGAATCTTCTGATTGATTCAAGACTAGAGCTTTTCTTTTTAATTGTTTGTACAAATGACCACGAAAACATCAAGGAATCAATTTTAACCCTCTAATTAGCTCAAGAAACAATTTGAGTGTTTGAATTATACAATTTTAGTACATAAATTGAATATTTATAAATAATTTCTGTAAAAAATGTAATATAATTGAGATACATTTATACTTATAAACTGAATTTAAACTCAGAATCAAAATGTTTTTCCTGATTAATTTACTTTTCTTGATCTAAATCTTAATTGTTCCATTAGAATAACTTTAACAATTTGGATAAGTTGAAATTTTTCTCTTTTACTTTTATCTAATCAATTTTTCCAAATTGAGCCCGATTTTTATGTAAACAAGTTTTGATTGTGGTTTAATTAATTATGATTGTGATCACTAAGCAGATTTTTGTTGTTGATGATGATGTGGTGATTTATGTTTTATTGTAAGATTAATTGATGTGTATACATGAGGCCATTTCTTTTGCTTTTTCTTCAACAAGTTGAAACCTTTGTATTTTCTTATAATTGAATGTTGAAAATTTCGATTGGATGATGTTGCTTTTGTTTGGCTGTTTATAGTTGATTGCGTTTAGGGATGAAAATTACAACTAAAGTCTCAGAATCTGAGAAGTTGTTTTCGATACTGATGTTGTTTTTGAAGTTAAATAGGATCTTTTCAAGCTCTTTGTAGGTTTCAAATTTTTTTTCTGTCTAGTAGAGGGGGAGAAACACTCACAGATACCATACAATATACATAAAACCACGCACATACACGCATACACACACCACTAAGAAAATAGTGAAATAAGAAAAAAAGGGAAAGGAAAAAATATTCATCTAAAGGAACTGATCGCACCATTCGGAGAGACACTGGTAACAGTCTTTGGCCTGTTTACTGTTGGCATTGACAGTTTCTTTCATCCATAGGGAGAAAAGCTCTCTGTCCTTTTTGAGAATTAAAAATTGACCCAGTACAACGTAAGCCTGTAAAAAGGTAAAAGAAAGGGTAGAAAGGAAAGAGAAATTAGATTAGAGTTAAACAAAGATAAAAACATAAGTGTAGAAAGAGAGGAAGACAGAGAGATACAAAGAGAAACGCGAGAGAGAGAGAGAGAAAGAGAGCAATAGAGCAAAGAGAGAGAGAGATGCTGAGACATGTAGAGTGAAAATATGAAAACAAAAAAAAAGCATCAATTGATGAGAAAGAGACAGAATCAAGCCAAATAGATTATGGGAAAAAATGATGATCATTTGATGAGAGAATGTGTCAAGACATGTTAGGAGCAAAAGGCAAACCGAATATTAAAAATAACGATAAAACAATTGAACTGCAAAAGGACAGAAGAGGATGAAAAGGTTGAGAGGAAAATGGCGAATGCAGTGAAACTTATACCTTATCAAATCCATTGTCTTCGAATCGCTTTCCAAGGACTTCACCGACTCCAGCTAAATCGGTTACAGGCTTTTCACCCATAGGCTCTGAGACAAAACTATGGTGTTTCTGAGAAGTGGTTGACATCTTCCTACGTTTGACAGGTGACCGACCGATGATGATGGTTAATAATTGTTGATATCACGAAAGTGAACAGGTAAAAATGAATAAAATCAACTGTTAACAATTAAGTGTAACAAATAAAAGTGAAGGTTAGTTGACAACAATCAGATGAAATCAAACAACAACAAAAAAAAACAGCAAAAAAAAGATTTCAAATAAAAATAAGAGAGAATAAAATTTTTCTGTAATTTCTTTCTTTCCTCTTTGGTTCCTCTTTCTCCAGTGTTAGTAAGGGAAATTAAATCTTCTCTCTTTTTATCAGCCAATCAGAAGAAGAGAAAACGGCGAGAACAGAAAATGCGCCATTTTAAAATGGAAAAGAAAAACAAAAAAATTCTTTCCAATTATAATTAGTTTATTGATCCAAATTATTGTGCAAAATTAACTAATTAAGTTTTAATTGTAGTAAACTTTTTTTGTCATTTGATACAAAATGTTTACAGTTTAAATTGATTTTCTTTTACAATGTTTACCAATTAGAAAAAGAAATGATTTCGACAAAGTTTCCATTGACTAATTATGTTGATTGAAAGTATTAATATTTACAACATCTAAATGGTAATTGTTTCAATTAATTATGTTCTGATTGAAATTATCATCATTTTGTTGAGAGTTGATAATAATCGTTGGATGAGAATTGAATTAACTTGTTAATTGTAATTCATATCTAGATTTAATGATTATCTAATCATTTAAAGGAAGTAAATAAAGTGAGTAATAAAAAAAAACGTTGATTAAGATTACAATCAAATTGATAATAATAATCAAAGTTAATCAAGTTGAACAATAAGATGAGGACGATGTGAACAATTGATATAATAAATATTGTCGTTGTCAAGTTCAATTGAAATTATTTTTCATCATTTAATCACCATCATCAATTAATATAAATGAAAGAAAAAAAATCCTAAATCATTTATTAAATAATCAAAAAATCATCAATCAACTTGTTAATGATGAAAATCATTCCCAATTAATCAAAGTAAACCACACACATACACACACACAAACAAACATACAACAGAATCTAAATCACAATTAATTGAATAACTTTTGATTGTTGAAAGTTAGAAAACCTGAAAGCAGAATGAACAAAAAAAAACTAATCAACCTACTCAATTGTAATCCAATTAGCATTTAGCAATCTCATTGATCATCATCACCCAACATACAATTAGAGAGAGGTGATGATTATGATATGTTTATTTATTAATTGTTGTAGTTAGTGTGTAGGTTGATTGAAATGAAACCAAAACATCAACACGAAAAAAAAAGTTTTACTAAAAGTTTTTTTCTTAAACAAAAACAAAACAAAATATAAGATAAATTGAGAGAGAGAGAGAGTTGATGATTCCATTGATAATTTTGTTTCCGTATTTATCAGGGGCGAGGTTGATAAAGATGAGGATGATAATGAGGTTGATGTTGATGATCTATGGTTAATTGTTATTCTAATTATTATATTATCGTATTTATATTCACAAGCAAGTGTTAATCTCAATTTGTTGAGTACATTCTTCACATTCAACTTGACAGCACCAAAAAAATTTACAGTTACACTTTTCTTTGATTGCTTCGTAGCGTCGGGTGAATCCTCGATTGCAGCAAAGTGTATCACATCCATCGGCACCGGAAGAGGTTCCATTGCAAATTCTATTATGAGTTCCGGGTGAACCTGATTTTTCATCTTTCTCACAATAATCAGGTGATGAGTGAAGGTAAACAAGATCCGAATCACTTGGTGGCTTATATCCGGAATTTGATACTGATGCTGTTATCGTTTTGTTTGATAATTTTATTTTACGAGATCTCTGTAATCATATAATAATAATAATAATCAAAGAAACAATTAGTTAATCATTGTTTCAAAAAATAGAAAATTCTATAAACCAAAATATTGTATACAAGCAGAAATGTAATTAACTTGATTATAAGATTAACAGATTAACAGATTAACATTTCAATGTATTCATGTTGTTCAGATTTTTCTGTTGTAACAATTTAAATCCTATTTTCCAATGATTAATTATCGCAATCGTCTCTGTGAATGTATCACTTTTTTTTATTCTTATTCACCGGATTTACTTTCAATTTGGTCAACATCTCATAGACTATCATCATATTAATTATCATCTACTGATATGAAGATACTTTTCATCACTAGAATTAATAATGATAATAAAATGCTACCATGTAATCAGCAAGTTTGTTGCAAAATTAACGCAAAAAAAAATATTCAAAGCGGAAACAGTTATGGGATTTAAAGTGATAATCTTTTAACAAGAAGTTTTTAGCAAAAAAAAAGTGTAACAATTAAAAGTGATCATCAAACTGACAGAATGTTAATCAACTTTGAAAATATAATTTTCAGAGCAATGGTAATATTGCTCAATGAGAGAGTAGTAATTACATTTGATAATCACCATAATCAGAGATATTATCATCACTCCATATTGTTAATGATAATACTGATGAAGAAGATGATGACAGAAGATGAATTAAATGTTGATGATGGAGAAAAGTAGCAAAAAAAAAACCTTTTCAATATCAACAAATGAATAGAAAGATAATCTCATTGGGAACATTTAGATTATCTCACATAGTGAGAGAGGAAATTTTATCTGTGGTGTTTTTTCTGGTTCAATGTTGACAGACAGCATCCATCAGACCGATGACAAAATAGACAAACACACATACACATCATCCTCATCCTCATCTTTTCCTCATCCCCCATCAGCATCTTCACATCAAATGTCTAGAAAATTAGATACAAAAGAAACGATCAGGAGGATGAGGATAAAAAACTTTTCCTTTTCCAAGGTAATCAATCAAATTAACCAATAACAGTTGATGTCACTATGTAATCGCCATTTTGCTTTTCCTCTTCCTCATCATCATAATCAGTTTAATCATCATCATCATCATCATCTAACAATTATGATTATTTAAGTACTCGCCCAAAGTATACTTACATTGGGAGGAACCCATGATATTGAGGTAGATTTTATTTCCTATCATGAAAAAAAGGATCAACTTTTTTTTCACCTTCTATTGTAGTTTGAATCTATTTTTCTGATATTCAGATGATTAATTTAATTGTTGTTAACTTTCACTTTTCATGTAAATTTAATCAATCAATTTACTTTTTGTCTTCCTTAATGGTTTCATATAATGTAATTAATTAAACTAAATTGTTCTATTTCTTTTATATCTAACTATTAATCTTTGATTTATGTCAATGAATTGGTTTTTTTTTGTTGTTCAAAATTCATCAATTCTGATGGTCTCGAGTTAAAAGTTCTGACTGATGATTAACATTATTCAGAGTAATTAACTATGAACGACCTTTAATTGTAATAAACATGAGAAAAAAATTACCATCGTTGGTTAATTTTCTATCTGTATAATTATGGTAATAATGTTGATCATGTTGATTGTTGAGAATGACTGAAAAATCAACAATTGAATGATGAAATGCTGATGATCATGCAATCTCCCAACAATGACAGAGTTTCATTTAATTGCAACTATGGACAACAACAATTAACTTAATTACCATGCGATAGCTGAATTATATTAATAAAGGGCAATTTGATTTGCAAAAGCAGAAAAATTAACAGTAAACAAAAAACCTCATCAAATATAATAATAATTTGATTGTAAAATCTTTGGTTGATAATCAAAAACAATTACCATTTCTGCTTATATGTTACAATTACGATGAAAATGTTGCAATTGTAATGAGAAATTGATTATGATTATGCAATTAATGAAAACAATGTGCTTTTAATCATCTGAATTGTAATAAAAATGGTTGATTAACTAATGATGATTACCTTTTTGTGTTGGGATTTTTTCAACCTGATTTCAGGCTGTAAATCAATTGCATGGGTTGTGGGTGAAGGTTGAAGTGCATTGAGTAAAGTTTGAATATGGACCTCGGTGGCTGAGTCAAATTTCTGCCTCAAAATTGATCCAACTTGTTTGAATGAAGGCAATTGCCTCCAGCAAGTTTTCATGTCACAGGAACCGGAAACACCGTGACATTTACAGTCTATCCTCATGTTATTAAGGACAACCTTTCGTCCGGCTTCATTATTGTGTAGATTCATTAAAGCTCGAGCACCGATCATTGTATTTCGCTTTGTACGAGTTGTCCTAAGGTCACGAGCATCGATAAAAGTTTTAGAAAATGCTGTTCCAAATGCGATATTATCTGAACAACCTGAGAGAGAAATCAATAAGAAAAAGGTGAAAACACTTAATTATCATGAAAGAAAAAGGTAAAACAATCAAAAACCATTTCGATTACTACATTAATCATTGCTATAGATTAAACATTTGGTAAAGTTTTCCATCAATTTAAACAATCGTAATGTTTATCAGGTTAAATTGTTTCCAATCAATTCACACCTAATTAGAGTGAACTATTATGAGAAAAATAAAACCAGAACAATTAACGAGGCAATTGTATGTATACAACAATTAACAGATTTACTACAAAAATAACTTCAACAAATGTAACAAAAGTTAATCTAATTTTAAGATAATCTTTTCATTTTCTTGTTATTATATTAACTTCATTCAAATCTTAATCCTAAGCTAATCAAAAGATTAACAATTGATCTAACGGAGATACAGACTAAATGAATAATTTGTTGATAATATTTACCATGTGTCCTGATAAATATAATCACCATGAAAAGGCAATTGATTTGATTACTGAGCCTTAAATCATCAATATGATGATGATCAGATTGTTTTATGACCTGATTGGTGAAGGAAAAAAATAATAAGCCATTTATCATTAGCCTTTGAAAATTGATCAAACTGATTAGTATTATCATTGATCGTGATTAGAGAGTAAGACTAACAATCAATGATAAACCTAAAATCGATATGATAAACTAATAATAGATTCATTGTCAATCGCGAAAAAGTAAACGGTAGTTATAATTATTGTAATTGTAAACAATTAACCATTGGTAAAAGTTTTATTCTAGCCAATTAATATCATTTGAGAAAGTAAAATGTTAAAGTTTATCTACACTAATTGTGATTATCTAATGGTAATGGTTATTTGATTGGATTCGTAATGTTTAAGCTTTGATTGTATTGAGAGTGGAAAAGGTTTGGTAGTAGTGGTCAGTTTTTTACTTACCTGCCCAATGGAAACCGTTTGCTGGTCCGAAAAAAGTTCTATCACAACCACAATGTAATAAATTACCCGAACTACAAGCTTTGGTCACTGCATAAGAAACACCAGCTGATGTGATCGCATGGACAAAAGCCGATTCTCTGGTTCCCTCGGTTAAACTTTTACCAAAACCTTTGGGTCCTTCGAGGGTTGAACAGTTCCACCTTCGATCACGTAATTGTTTTTGGCACTCTTTTAGCGCTAAATCAGCGCCCACTTTAACAGATTCCATTAGGTCAACATTACGTTTACATATTTGTATCTGTTTCTTAGTTAAACCTTTAAAGGCTTCACAAATATCCGCTGAGTTAATTGTTGTCATTGATGATGAACTTTGAAGAAGTGCTCTAGAATAATCAAAGAATAAACAATCAGATTAAATTGTTGTAATAAACACATAAAAAAAACACACAGAATATTAAAAATTAAGATTGCGAGGAAGGGATGAAAATGAGGAGAAGAAAAAAAGAGAACACAAACTAAATTATTGGCTAATTAATCGGTGACAATTGAGTTAATTGTCGTTGATGAAGTTTACTTACAGCCATTTGATGGCATCGGAAAATTGAACTGTCACAATTAACCACAATAAGATTAACCTTATTGCAAATTGGGAATGATAACGAGTTAAGGTGAGAAAATTTTGTCGAAATTGTTGATGGTTGTTAAAGGTAAAGGTGGATGCTGATGAAGGTGATGAAGATGATGAGGATGAGGATGATGATGAGGATGATGATGATGATTTGTTACTGCTACTGAATAAAGTACAATTTCGTATCATCTTGTTGATGATACTGTGAATGGTGAAGATGATGAAAATGAGGATGATGAAGATGATGGAGATGATGAAGAAGCACAATAATGATGATGGTGATGAAGATGATTAGCTGGTGATGATGATGAGGATGATGAAGAGAAACAGAGAGAGGGAAGATTGATAGAGGTCATGAGAATAACAGAGGAGGAGCAGTTACAAGGAGGAGGCAGAAAAAAAGAAGAGAAAAAAACACATAGAAAAAGAATGAAGAAAATGGTGATGTTAATACCAAGAAAGAATATTGTAAAATAGAATATGAATATTTCTTTTTTTTCAGTGAGACTATTCGAGTGAGTGAGTGAGAGAGAGAGAGAGAGAGAGAGAGAGAGAGAGATGATGATGATAAGGAAGATAAAGAAGAGCGAGAGAGAGAGAGAGAGAGAGAGAGAGAGAGAGATGAAAATGGTGAATGAGAAAAACTTTTTTTTCTCTTTTTTCTAGTAACTGATATTTTCTCTTCTTCTTCTTGGTTCCATGATCTTTTCTAATGGGAGATAGAAAATGATTGAAGAGGAATTAAATTAAGTAATTTAAATTAATCGAATTAATTAAATTGTATTATTAACATTAGACTATCAACAATTTAGTTTACAAAATCATCAATCACAACAAATAACAGAAAAAAAACTTTTTCTCCTCTTGTTAATCTTATCCATTTAATCTGCACCTTAATTATAAAGTTAATCTATTAAACTAGATTGCTGATTGTTGAGATTATTATGATTGTTATATGGGAAAGAAAAGCAGGAACTTAGTTTTAATTAGATTTAATTGTCAATAAAATTGATTAAAATCTGTATGAACATTTGAAACAATCAATTGATCAAAATTGTAACGGTTTTAATTAATCAACTTTCCCTCTTGTTCATATTTTTAATATATTATATTAGTTAATTTGATTATCATTGTTGATTTTTCATCATCTTTATTTATTTTAATTGTGGTTCCTCTTTTAATTAAATCAATCAATCCCGTTAATCACCTTTGACCTGGAATCATTAGAGGTTAGGCTTTAATGACCATTTAATTAATTAAATCAACATTGAGGTTCGTGTTACCAAATCAATTTGTTTAAACTTTTAATTGTTATTGATCAATGGCTCATGTGGCCTGTTGATTATTAATTAGTATTAATCGTTAATTAACAATTAAGCTTATCCTTGAAGCGTATTTTTATTTTATTAATTTTAATCAACAATTTATTAAATATTATATATTGTTCACTATAAGAAACTATTAATGAAATTTGATTACCATCAATTAATGATGATTTGTTGATTGTTGTTGATGAAATAACCGTTTCTTTTAATTGATTAACAGAATTGATTTATTTAAATTGTTTCGTTTTATGTATATTAATCAGCTTATTATCATTGGATTTTAATTGTAACTGGATTAACCTGTTACTTGATATGCTTAAATTAAACACGATTAAAGGTTAATTAACAATTAACTTTATGTTCACCTTAACGTTTAACAATAAATTAAATTAATTAAATCAATAAACAATTAAATAGGAAAAACAAAATTTAATAATAAAATAAAATATAAGGATTGGTTTTGATTGTTATATTATTTTAGCTATTTGATTAACTTGATTAATTAACTTAAAATGTTAATCAATTACTGAACATTTAAAGTAATAATTTGCCTTCTTATACTTAATTATTACTTTGATTTGATTCGTTAATTGTTATTAGCTAAATTCACTACTAAATGATTAAAATTTACTTTTTTTTTATATTATTAATCACCATAGACAAAGACACCAAACTAACATTACACACTAGACACCAATAACAATTAACTAATCATGATGAAACAGAACAAAACAAATTAAATTAATTCTTGGTAGTAATCGTATTTAATTGTATGTATATCAATTGATTGTAATCAGTTGTAATAAAAATAAATAAATATCATAAATTAATTAACATTTAAGATGTAACAACAATCACAATTTGATCATCAGCCAAAGTGTAATAAAGATCCCACTGTTGATTAACTTGGTTATACATTTAATAGAGTGATGAATCTGATTACAATTTATTAATTCATTTTAACACAATATTTGCCACCCTCACAATTAACTAACTAACAATCAATCAAGTACTAAATTACAGTAACAAAAAAAAAGACACATAAACGATTACCGATTTACAAATGATCAACCAAAAAGTTTCAATACACAAGTTTAATAACAATTAATTTAATAATATGAACTTGATTAAGATTAAGATGATAATCTTGAGGTTAAATTGACTAATTGTTTTTTTTTTGCTTATATTTCTGTTATAATTATAATCCACTAAGCCTGGACCATGATGATGATAATGATTAAGTTAATGATGAAACTCACGATTCACTAATTATCTCAATCTAAATTTTTACCTAACTAAATGTACACATACACACCAATGAACATGATCATAGGTAAGGAACAATATATATTTATAAATTGTTGGCTCTAATTATCACCATAATTTACATGATTATAATTGTAGTTGTAATGATTGTGATTACAATTTACTTTTTTTTTCATATAATAATCAAATGATAATATCTATTGAATTGAAAATGGTTACGGTGAAATGATTCTGGTGTCCATGGTAATATAACCAATGAGTTTCTAGGATTTTTTTGTATTTTAATTAATTAAATTGTTCTGTTGCTGTTTTAATCAACATAATTGTAATCATGAGGAAGATGATGATGAGGAATTAATATCTTCCCTAGAAAGATCATCAATCACCTTTTCTCTCTCTCTCTCTCTCTCTCTCTTCCTCTGAATAACTTTGGCAATTTTTGTATATACATGTTTTATCATGTAAACTTGATCATCATCATGATCATCAACAACTACCGCCAATATGAGCATCTATATATCATCATTAACAACCATCACCACCACCACCAACATGATCCTCATCATTTAGTACACTAGGACTAATAACCAGACAGGTTGTTTTAATTGTATCTGAATTGTTTAGATATGAAATGTTCTGAATCATCTGAATGAAACCCCATGTAAGAAAAATTTGGAACTCAGACTAAACTTTACTTTTGCCAAGAAAAAAAGTGTATATTTTCAATGAGTGAAATGTTTGTTTCCTTGTTGAAAATTTTTATTACATGATGAAGATGATTATCATCACCCTGAACACGTTCAACATTTTGTCTCCCTCAGAACTTTTCCAGAGAGAGAGAGAGAGAGAGAGAGAGAGAAAACCTTCTCTCCTCTCGAGAAAAAGTTCACCCAAATTTATCTTTCATTCCCTAATCTAAAATGTGTTAATTTGATTGATTCTTTGAAAGATTTATCTATTTGTTTCCTATTAAATTCACTGTTCATGTTAATCATGATGATCATTATCATGGTGATAATAATTATCAAGGAAATAGCTTTAAAACATGAAAAGAAAGGAAGAAAAAGTTTCACCACAATTTAAACACCGATGATTACTGATGAGCACAATCAATTTCAAGTACTATTAGTACATTAGTTTATAGGTATTAACATGATAATATGTTAATTGTTTACAAATTCACACACACGCACTTAAAAATAAACTGTCGTCATTGACACTATTTTTGATTACGTTTAAATTTAAGAATTGAAAACTTGAAATAGTATTTTTTTCAATGAATATCTTGTTTTCTGTGTAATAAAAATGAATGAAATTAAGTTAATAGTCTGTTGGGTAAATCAAAATGTATCTCTGTACTTTTCTTCTTGTCAGGTGAAGGTGTTTTCCCACTCCACTCACTAAATCCACCACCACCTCCCCCGGATCTACCTTTTCCCCTCCCTATTTATCCTATGTGTCTATGGTGTGTATATTACGTGTATGTATGTATGTGTGTGTGTGTGTGTGTATGTATAAGTGTTTGCACCTTTCTGAATGAAACTTTCAAGACTAAAGGAAGGGGAAAAAAGTTTTCAGACATAATATTAATATGATCGAGACAAGAGATAATATGATGATAACTATCATGAAATTCAGGGAAAGGTCATTATTGATGTAATAAATATTATTCCTTCGTCTGTAACGATAACAATTAAATCAACTGATTGTTTGGGTGATTGAAAGATGAAGGGAAAGTTTTTAAACTTCTTCTTTACAAAGAAACTTTTTTACGTTAATTTTAATCAATCAAATTTTTCTACAATTAAATTGATAACATTAATTCATTGATAAATAAAAAAATAACAACTTGAATGGAGAAAAGCAAGAAACTGAAACTTGCAAACTCATGTGTCTAAACTGATTGGTTGATTGTTTCTGTTTCTTGTTGATGAATTAAATATTAATCATCATGTTTGTGAAAAGCTGAACTCAATTGAAAGCACTAAATTGTTGCCTTTCAACTCTAAATCAATATATACACACACATACTTGATTGTTGATTGTTTATCTTAATCATCATGAATTATGAATATGAAACAAAATGTTTTGTGTTAACTTTTATCATGATATTTGTTTGCTAGTTGATTGTTTCAACTTGTTAAAATTGATCTTGAACACAACATTGATCAAAATGTATTAGTTTCTTTCACTTTTTTCTGGCTTGATTGTTATTATTTCATCTTGATCATGATTTAAATTGTTAACTTGTTACTTTTTGTTTTCGTTAAACAATTTACTTTGTATATTGTTCAGACTGATGATGATTAAATTATTATAATTGTTGTAATATCTTCATTATACTGACCGTTGGTTGTTTACAATCAGTGTTAATATAATTGTTAAAGTTTACTTTTTTGATGAGTTCATTGATCAACATTGATGATTTTGATTAAGTTGTAATAAACTTGCTGATTATTATGATTTTAAATTGACAATTAACTTTCATTTTTTGATTGATTCCTCGAACTGATCAATCTTTCACTCCCAAAGTGAAACTTGTTGATTTTTATTGATGAAAGTAAATTGCTTGATTGTTACATTTGTTGCTATCATTTCTGATAATTAAGTTTAACATTAGGGTTAAAGACACTGCTTTTAATCAAATTTGGCATCGAATAGCTAATTAGCTAATTAATTGTGATTCTTTCAATTAATTTCATCCGGATTGGATCGATTTAAATAATTTAAACCTTTAAGATGAAAATTTTAATGCCAATTTGATGTTAATTACAAACTTAATTGCTAAAATTTTCTTTCCTTCATTCTTAAAGTGTTACCATTTAGAAGAGGATTAACTAGTTAATTAGTTAATTTTAGTTCATTCTCCCAATTTGTTTTATTATTATCCGAAAGTATCCTTGATTTCTACCAATATTTTGAAACATTTAAACACAATTAGTTAATTTTATTCGTTCTAATCAATAGAGTTTGAATCTTTCATTATGTAACGAATTGTAATCAAGTTAAAATGTAGGAAACAAAATTCGTAAACAACAAGCAAAGACTGACATCTTTGGGTGGAGAAATCAACTGAAAACTTCTCATTATGTTGACTGATTCATTTCAATAAAAAATGAAGATCAGTTCTCAGCACCTGAAAACTGAGCTAATAGACTAAATTGTAAGACGAATGATGTTGCTGTCAAAGAAATAAACAAAATGAAGTCAATCGATGTTATTCTTGGTGAAGATGAGATTGTGAATCTTGATTTCTTGAAGTTTTCTAATGAATTAGGTGACTATTCTCCTTAGATATTAATAATTAAGTTATTAATATTATAAAATAAGTTTTATGTTAATCAGAACAAGTGAATAAGGTATGAACGGTAAAGTTTGGGAATAGTGTGGACTAACTTTTTAGCGATTTGAGTTATTTTCGAAATTTTTTCGATCTCATTCGATGAGGAATAAGATTTTGCTGAGATATTGAGAATTTTTCCAGAAATTTTAGGTTCCTATATTGCGTCATTTGGTTGAAAATGACGAAATATTTGAAAATTCTTCCTTAGTTTCGGTCAAATACATGAAATTTTTTTGTAATTAATTCTGAATATGGAAATAACACTCAGTATTCCATTAATTGACCGATTTTGACCATAAGTAATCTTCGATTAAAGTTTAGAACATTTGTCCAGAGCTACCTCTGAAAAATATGACAATTTATTTTCGACATACATTCGAAAAATCGAATTTTCGATGCTTTGATTTGATGCAATATTCGTGAAAAGATACACAATTGAAGCTCAAAAGTTGATTAATAATTTCATATAATTTCAAGAAATTTAATCGAAAATTAAATTCACCATAATAGTTTGAAAATTTTATTCCCAAACTTTACCGTACATACCTTATTGAAACTTTCATTTAGATTTAATTGTTGACTGGACATTTAACGTTCCTCATTTTCATAATTCCAGTAATTTCGAGAGTGATTTGAATTAGTGCAAGATTAACTTTAAATTTGCTTCACTTTCAACATATCACAAGTTTTTTATGCTGAAATTTTATGAATTTTACATTTTTATCTTTGATAGTTTTGGTGGAATCAATCAACTGGTAGATCCAATATATGAGAATGATTCAATAGTGAATCATATTACAGATTAACGGATTAACACAGGATATTTGATTGATGAATATGGTTAACTTATTTAGTTTAAATTAATAAATGGTGAGATTACTTTTCAATAGACAGTTGGAAATGAAAACAGAATTTTATTGGTTGGAAGCGATTCGCTTTTGGTGATGATGATTTTACAGCTAAAGAAATTAAACAATTAACTTTTTTGAATTAATTTACAAATGACGAAGATTTTGATAAACTTTTATATTGCGACAGTTTGAGCTGCTAAGACTCAGAAATCGATTCACGAAAAAAAGAAACAGATTATCGACCAAATCCATAGCCACCTTTACCACTTGTAACTTTAACCCCAGCAGCTCCTGCAGCACCAGCGGCTTTCTTGAATCCACTGGCTCCTCCTGCTCCAGCCTTGGCTCCAGCAGAGCCTGAAGTTCCAGCGGCGAAGCCTTTACCACCACCGACTTTTCCTCCCTTGTACCCAGCTGCTCCTGCTGCTCCAGCATAGCCTCCTTTTGCAGCTTTGCCTCCGACAGCACCTCCAGCAGCACCATAACCAGCGGCTTTACCGAATTTGAATCCTTGGCTCATTCCAAATTTCTTAACAAGCCCGTATTTCTTGTTGTATCCAGCACCACCGGCTTTAGCGAATCCTCCTTTCTTTCCATACTTTTTACCAAAAGCTCCAGAAGCGAATCCACCCTTGGCAGCAGCTCCCTTGGAACCACCTGCGGCTCCAGTGGCTCCATAAGCAGCACCACCTTTAGCACCCTTGGCTCCAGCAGCATAACCAGCTTTTCCAGCTCCACCAGCTTGATATCCAGCAGCTCCACCACCAGCAGCACCTTTCTTGAAAGCAGCAAGACCAGCACCTCCACCACCAGCAACCGCTGATTCAGCTCCTTCTAAATCGACTGAGATATCTCGTCTTTCTCTTTCTAAAATCGATTCTTCTTCTTGACCATCGAACGAATCTTCAAACTCTTCTTCTTCTTCAGCTCGAACCAACGAAACACAGAGAACAAGAGATGAAATGAAAATGAAGAATAACTAGAAAGACACAAAAAAGAAAAATATCCGTGATTAGAAAAAATAACCCAATTCAAATTTCTAAACACAAAAATTATCAATAAGCTTACCACTTGTTTGTTCATTTTGTTTAGTTTGATTGCTTGGAAATTTTTAGGAAGGAAAAACACAAAGAACGTTGATTGTTGTTTATTGTTTGAAGCTTGTAATCACTCTGATTTGAAACTTTTTCGTTTCTGTATTTATATTGTCAACGAACTCTTCGTCCAAAGTCCGACCTATCGGTTTTTGGAAGTACAGTCATAAACTGGAGACTGAAGGATGAATCTTAGTGATTTATTATCACCAAGGAAATCCCAGAGCTCAATAAGAGTTCATATCTCAATGTTGCGATCGCCGCAAACCTAATCACGCATTTAATTAGTACAAAAATGAATATCAAGTCATCGAAATTCACTGATTTTCGTTATCCGTTTAATGCAATCAGACAATAATCAGTGAAAATACTATTAACCAAGGATAAAATGTATGATTGGGTTCGTTTCCCTCGATTTGTCCTTTTTCACTTTCGACTGAAGGAGTTTTCTTGGTATAAAAAGAGAGAGAAAAATTGAAATAGATACAAATTGAGTTCGAGATTCAAACAACAAACATCAAATTAAAAACAATCAACTAAGTTCTTTTGTTTCAAACTAAAAAGTGGTTTTGTGTTTAGATTTCAATCGACCAAATCAAATTCATCAAAATGAACAAACAAGTGGTAAGCTTATTGATAATTTTTGTGTTTAGAAATTTGAATTGGGTTATTTTTTCTAATCACGGATATTTTTCTTTTTTGTGTCTTTCTAGTTATTCTTCATTTTCGTTTCTTCTCTTGTTCTCTGTGTTTCGTTGGTTCGGGCTGAAGAAGAAGAAGAGTTTGAAGATTCTTTCGACGGTCAACAAGAAGAGGCTATTTTAGAAAGAGAAAGACGAGATATCTCAGCCGATTTAGAAGGAGCCGAATCAGCGGTTGCTGGTGGTGGAGGTGCTGGTCTTGCCGCTTTCAAGAAAGGTGCTGCTGGTGGCGGAGCTGCTGGATATCAAGCTGGTGGAGCAGGAAAAGCTGGTTATGCTGCTGGAGCCAAGGGTGCTAAAGGTGGTGCTGCTTATGGAGCCGCTGGAGCCGCGGGTGGTTCGAAGGGAGCTGCTGCCAAGGGTGGATTCGCTTCTGGAGCTTTTGGTAAAAAGTATGGAAAGAAAGGAGGATTCGCTAAAGCCGGTGGTGCTGGATACAATAAGAAATATGGGCTTGTTAAGAAATTCGGAATGAGCCAAGGATTCAAATTCGGTAAAGCCGCTGGTTATGGTGCTGCTGGAGGTGCTGTCGGAGGCAAAGCTGCCAGAGGAGGTTACACAGGCGCTTCAGGAGCAGCTGGGTACAAGGGAGGAAAAGTTGGTGGTGGTAAAGGCTTCGCCGCTGGAATTGCAAGCTCTACTGGAGCCAAGGCTGGAGCTGGAGGAGCCAGTGGATTTAAGAAAGCCGCTGGTGTTGCAGGAGCGGCTGGAGTTAAAGGAATCGGTGGAGGAGTGGGTTATGGATTCGGTAGATAAATCTTTTCACTATCTTTTTATGATCTTATTAGTGTGAAAATTTTCACTACGTTAATTGTTTAAGTATCTATTTTCTAAATAATTTATTCACTTGATTACTTAAAAACGAAATCTTTTTGTCCAAAACTAAATGCCTTTGTAATCATCAGCTGTCATATTCACAACTGGAATTTAATCAAATGTCTCTGTCTTTACTGCAACTATTTTCATGATCAATTTACTTGTAACCTCCCTCAGTACTCAATATTCATCATGCTCTTTTCAGGCATCGATCGTTGTTATTATACAAATTTAAACAAACCAAAACAATTCACAAACTAATTCAATCAAATGGTTCTATTCGCTGACAAGTGTTAGTTCAGGAATCTAGTGAGTATATTAATACACTCTTTGTGATCTGAACACATAGCGACTTTGAAGGGATAACGTAAGAAATTCAGGTCGAACTCTCAAACATAGTTTGAAATATCATTTAAGATTCGTGGCTAAATTCAACTTGCAATTGAATTCTTTTAATTGTTCCAGTGTTATCGACTTTTTGAAAATCTTTCATTGCGATTGACGAATGTCTTTCTATTATTTACATTTGATCTGTTGCAAGGTTTTCGCCCAATTTTCTTAACGCCAACAAAATTTCACATCTTTTTTCATCGAAATCATTTCGAGGTAATTTACCAGTTTCGAATTGCCTTTCAAGCTAAATTGTTGGGAAAAGAGTAGAAGATATTTAAATTAGATTATAAACATTGAACAAATTAACTCTTCACCTCTGATAATTTGATTCTCAATTGATCGGGTTGCTTACGAGCAAACATTCTGATGACTTCGGGTGTTTTAAAAGCACTACTGATTGCTGCTTGAATAGCCTGAGGAGAAATAAGTGTAACAGAAAAAATTAGTTGACCAATCAAAGGGTTAAATTGATTTGAGTAGCAATACCAATTGATATGCTCCCAGTTGGTCAACTAAGGTGATGTTTCCAGAGACAATATCGTTGAGGTAATCATTGAATTCTTTTAATTGTTCCAGTGTTTGACTTCGGGTCTCTTCGTATTCCTCATCATCGAGTTCTTCCCTGTGAACATTGAGAAAAACCTCCAATCAATTAAAATTATCAACTAATTGTTAGAAATTAAACTTACCGACATTCCTCCAGATCAGACAATTGAGTGATTAGCCTTTCCAATTACTCTTCCTAATTAGCTTTTAGTTTGTCCGTTTCATGGGCTCCTCTTGATGTCGATGTCATGATGAGTTGAGATGAAACTTTCAAATAATCAAATGATTCAATCTAAACAAACAGAAGAAGTAAATTAAGAAATAATTAGACTTTTTAGTTACATTGTAAGATTTGAGATTTTGTGTATTTTAGGGTCAAAAATTTAAAATCTAAATATGTAATCTTTTTCTGATCTGATCAGTAGGTTTCGTCAATCAACCAAAGCTATTAGAGATAGGTATTACAAGCTATATAACAGATATTAGCCATCGAAGATCAAAGGCCACTCTCATTCTTGTAAAACTGTTGATCAAATGAGAAAAGTACTCGATCCATACTGATAGACCATACTAATAAAGTCTCAGAAATAAGCTTCAGATCATTTTCGACACTTCAGACTAATCGCGGTCCATTAGTTTAAATATAACGGAACTAATAGTTGAAGGATATGGAAAGAAAGCAAAAGTCTAAACAAAGAGAAGCGAGAGTAAAATAATAACTTTCGACCTTGACACCTACAACATTGATTCTATTTTATGTTGGTGAAGAATTCAGGAAGCGGTCGAATGATGGTTTTGGTATCTTTGTAGCGCTTCAGATTTTTCTTAAATGTTTGCTTAAAAATGTGAATGGTGATAACACCCTTATGATTTTTGTTCTCGTTTTAATGAGAGTTTTTAGTTGTGATTACATTGATTTTATGTTTAATTGTGAATGAATTTGAACTTTCGAGAGTTAAACAACTGTAAAAATTGAAAACAAATGGAAAACATTGAATGGATTGTGTTTGTGAATTTTTTTTATTGATCACAGAAAAACTTTTGAAACTTTTTTTACTTGAGCTTCGACTTATTATGATTGGATAGGTTATCGATTTGGTGTTTGAAAAGATTAAATTGAAATTGATTGGCAAAGTTTTGTTTGATTTGTTTTCATTGTGGTAAAAGTTTTTGGGTAAGTTTACTTTGGCTTTTAGTTATGAGTTGAGAGTTGATAAAATTTATCTACCGAATCCATAACCAGCTCCTCCACCGATTTTTTCAACTCCAGCAGCAGCTCCTGCAGCACCAGCGGCTTTCTTGAATCCACCAGCTCCAGCGACTCCGGATTTACCTCCAGCTGCTCCCTTAGTTCCAGCAGCATAACCTTTAGCACCGCCGACTTTACCTCCCTTGTATCCAGCTGCTCCTGAAGCTCCAGCATAACCTCCTTTGGCGGCTTCCTCCGACAGCACCTCAGCAGCACCATAACCAGCTTTACCGAATTTGAATCCTTGGCTCATTCCGAATTTCTTGACAAGACCCACTTTCTTGTTGTATCCAGCACCACCGGCTTTAGCGAATCCTCCTTTCTTTCCATACTTTTTACCAAAAGCTCCAGAAGCAAATCCACCCTTGGCAGCAGCTCCCTTGGAACCACCTGCGGCTCCAGCGGCACCATAAGCAGCACCACCTTTAGCACCCTTGGCTCCAGCAGCATAACCAGCTTTTCCTGCTCCACCAGCTTGATATCCAGCAGCTCCGCCACCAGCAGCACCTTTCTTGAAAGCAGCAAGACCAGCACCTCCACCACCAGCAACCGCTGATTCGGCTCCTTCTAAATCGACTGAGATATCTCTTCTTTCTCTTTCTAAAATAGCCTCTTCTTGTTGACCGTCGAACGAATCTTCAAACTCTTCGCCTTCTTCAGCTCGAACCAACGAAACACAAAGAACAAGAGAAGAAACGAAAATGAAGAATAACTAAAGAGAGGAAAAGAAATAGAAAAATATTTATATTAATCATAAAAAATGATCCAATTGAAATTTCTAAACACAAAACAATTTATCAATTAACCGACACAATACTTACCAATTGTTTGTTCATTTTTGATGAATTAAATTTGATCACTTTAAAAATTAACTCAGAAAAACTTAGTTTATTATTTGACTTTGTTGATTGTTGTTTGAATCTCGAACTCGAATTGTATCGATTCTAATGTTTCTCACTCTTTTTATACCAGAAAAAAACTCCTTCAGTCGAAAGTGAGAAATAAAAGTCGAGGGAAATAAACCCGAACATCAATTTGTCCTTAGTTATTTTTCAAACAAATTACAATAAAACTTCAAGCTAATTAATCGGTCGGTTAGTTTTGGTTATCATAACTCGTTCATGAATAAAACCCATTCACTCTGAGATCTTAATTGATAATAGCTGTTTCTATTAGTCTCTAATAGTTAATCTTATTTGTGACGATATGACTGATGACCAAATAGCATAAATAGACGATTTAGGAATAAAATTTTCCGATTATTTTGCGAGAATTGACCAGAAATCGAACTGTAGTTGTACTTGATCTCCATAATCCATGGAGATATTAGAATTAAGGAAATAGACAAATAGTAAACTTTCATTCCGTTAAAAAATAACAACTCATGGATATGAATCAAGTGATCATGAAATCTTGTGTTTGTGCTGTGAATATTAACTAATTATGATCACCAAAAACTAACGAACCTGTTAATTTGTTTGAAAAATAATAACTAAGGACAAAGTGATGTTCGGGTTTATTTTCCTCGACTTATCATTTCTCACTTTCGAGTGAAGGAGTTTTCTTGGTATAAAATGAGTGAGAAAAATTAGAATTGATACAATTCGAGTTCGAGATTCAAACAACGACCGACAAAGTTTTTCGAAATAAATTTTAAAGTGATCAAATCAAATTCATCAAAAATGAATAAACAATTGGTAAGCATTATTTTCGATAAATTTGTTTGATAACTTTCTCTGATTATGAATGTTGACTTTCTTTCATTTCATTTTTCAGTTATCCTTCATTTTCGTTTCATCTCTTGTTCTCTGTGTTTCGTTGGTTCGAGCTGAAAAAGAAGAAGAGTTCGAAGATTCTTTCGACGGTCAACAAAGAGAAAGACGAGACATCTCAGCCGATTTAGAAGGAGCTGAATCAGCGGTTGCTGGCGGTGGAGGTGCTGGTCTTGCCGCTTTCAAGAAAGGTGCTGCTGGTGGTGGAGCTGCTGGATATCAAGCTGGTGGAGCAGGAAAAGCTGGTTATGCTGCTGGAGCCAAGGGTGCTAAAGGTGGTGCTGCTTATGGTGCCGCTGGAGCCGCAGGTGGTTCCAAGGGAGCTGCTGCCAAGGGTGGATTTGCTTCTGGAGCTTTTGGTAAAAAGTATGGAAAGAAAGGAGGATTCGCTAAAGCCGGTGGTGCTGGATACAATAAGAAAGTGGGTCTTGTCAAGAAATTCGGAATGAGCCAAGGATTCAAATTCGGTAAAGCCGCTGGTTATGGTGCTGCTGGAGGTGCTGTCGGAGGTAAAGCCGCCAAAGGAGGTTATGCTGGAGCTTCAGGAGCAGCTGGATACAAGGGAGGTAAAGTCGGCGGTGCTAAAGGTTATGCTGCTGGAACTAAGGGAGCAGCTGGAGGTAAATCCGGAGTCGCTGGAGCTGGTGGATTCAAGAAAGTCGCTGGTGCTGCAGGAGCTGCTGGAGTTAAAGCTACAAGTGGTAAAGGTGGCTATGGATTTGGTCGATAATCTGTTTCTTTTTTTCGTGAATCAATTTCTGAGTCCTAGCAGCTCAAACTGTCGCAATATAAAGTTTATCAAAATCTTCGTAAATTTGTAAATTAATTCAAAAAAGTTAACTGTTTAATTCCTTTATCTGTAAAATCATCATCATCAAAAGCGAATCGCTTCCAACCAATAAAATTCTGTTTTCATTTCCAACTGTCTATTGAAAAGTAATCTTACCATTTATAAATTTAAACTCAATAAGTTAACTATATTCATCTGTCAAATATCCTGTGTTAATCCGTTAATCTGTAATATGATTCACAATTGAATCATTCAGAATTGGAGCGCTTGACCCTACGATTTTCAAGGTCATTTAGCGAAGGTAGCGTTCAAAGGTCATTTTAAGGTCGTCGTGTGCAAGAGCAAATCACACCTCAGATTTTATTTTGAAGTGTCTGTACATTTTTAGTGCGACGACCTTAAAATTATTATTTCTTATTTTTTCATAGCCGTAGTGGATAAAAAAAAGCCCTGAATGATTCACAACCTTCACTTTCCCAAAAGCGATAATTTTGTTTATTGACTTTTTGGTCAATAGTAAAATATAAATATATAAAAATGCACAGACACTTCAAAATAAAATCTGAGGTGTGATTTGCTCTTGCACACGACGACCTTAAAATGACCTTTGAACGCTACCTTCGCTAAATGACCTTGAAAATCGTAGGGTCAAGCGCTCCAATTCTGAATGATTCAATTGTGAATCATATTACAGATTAACGGATTAACACAGGATATTTGACAGATGAATATAGTTAACTTATTGAGTTTAAATTTATAAATGGTGAGATTACTTTTCAATAGACAGTTGGAAATGAAAACAGAATTTTATTGGTTGGAAGCGATTCGCTTTTGATGATGATGATTTTACAGCTAAAGGAATTAAACAGTTAACTTTTTTGAAAAAATTTACAAATGACAAAGATTTTGATAAACTTTTATATTGCGACAGTTTGAGCTGCTAGTACTCAGAAATCGATTCACGAAAAAAAGAAACAGATTATCGACCAAATCCATAGCCACCTTTACCACTTGTAGCTTTAACTCCAGCAGCTCCTGCAGCACCAGCGGCTTTCTTGAATCCACCAGCTCCAGCGACTCCGGATTTACCTCCAGCCGCTCCCTTAGTTCCAGCAGCATAACCTTTAGCACCGCCGACTTTACCTCCCTTGTATCCAGCTGCTCCTGAAGCTCCAGCATAACCTCCTTTGGCGGCTTTACCTCCGACAGCACCTCCAGCAGCACCATAACCAGCGGCTTTACCGAATTTGAATCCTTGGCTCATTCCAAATTTCTTGACAAGACCCACTTTCTTATTGTACCCAGCACCACCGGCTTTAGCGAATCCTCCTTTCTTTCCATACTTTTTACCAAAAGCTCCAGAAGCGAATCCACCCTTGGCAGCAGCTCCCTTCGAACCACCTGCGGCTCCAGCGGCTCCATAAGCAGCACCACCTTTAGCACCCTTGGCTCCAGCAGCATAACCAGCTTTTCCTGCTCCACCAGCTTGATATCCAGCAGCTCCACCACCAGCAGCACCTTTCTTGAAAGCGGCAAGACCTGCACCTCCACCACCAGCAACCGCTGATTCGGCTCCTTCTAAATCGGCTGAGATATCTCGTCTCTCTCTTTCTAAAATAGCCTCTTCTTCTTGACCATCGAGAGAATCTTCGAACTCTTCGCCTTCTTCAGCTCGAACCAACGAAACACAGAGAACAAGAGATGTAACGAAAATGAAGGATAACTGAAAAATGAAATGAAAGAAAGTCAACATTCATAATCAGAGAAAGTTATCAAACAAATTTATCGAAAATAATGCTTACCAATTGTTTATTCATTTTTGATGAATTTGATTTGATCACTTTAAAATTTATTTCGAAAAACTTTGTCGATCGTTGTTAGAATCTCGAACTCGAATTGTATCAATTCTAATTTTTCTCACTCATTTTATACCAAGAAAACTCCTTCACTCGAAAGTGAGAAATGATAAGTCGAGGAAAATAAACCCGAACATCACTTTGTCCTTAGTTATTATTTTTCAAACAAATTAACAGGTTCGTTAGTTTTTGGTGATCATAATTAGTTAATATTCACAGCACAAACACAAGATTTCATGATCATTTGATTCATATCCATGAGTTGTTATTTTTTAACGGAATAAAAGTTTACTATTTGTCTATTTCCTTAATTCTAATATCTCCATGGATTATGGAGATCAAGTACAACTACAGTTCGATTTCTGGTCAATTCTCGCAAAATAATCGGAAAATTTTATTCATAAATCGTCCATTTATGCTATTTGGTCATCAGTCATATTGTCACAAATAAGATTAACTATTAGAGACTAATAGAAACAGATATTATCAATTAAGATCTCAGAGTGAATGGGTTTTATTCATGAACGAATTATGATAACCAAAACTAACCGACCGATTAATTAGCTTGAAGTTTTATTGTAATTTGTTTGAAAAATAACTAAGGACAAATTGATGTTCGGGTTTATTTCCCTCGACTTGTTATTTCTCACTTTCGACTGAAGGAGTTTTTTTCTGGTATAAAAAGAGTGAGAAACATTAGAATCGATACAATTCGAGTTGGAGATTCAAACAACAATCAACAAAGTCAAATAATAAACTAAGTTTTTCTGAGTTAATTTTTAAAGTGATCAAATTTAATTCATCAAAAATGAACAAACAATTGGTAAGTATTGTGTCGTTAATCGATAATTTGTTTTGTGTTTAGAAATTTCAATTGAATCATTTTTTATGATTAATATAAATATTTTTCTATTTCTTTTCCTCTCTTTAGTTATTCTTCATTTTCGTTTCTTCTCTTGTTCTTTGTGTTTCGTTGGTTCGAGCTGAAGAAGAAGAGTTTGACGATTCTTTGGACGGTCAACAAGAAGAGGCTATTTTAGAAAGAGAAAGACGAGATATCTCAGTCGATTTAGAAGGAGCCGAATCAGCGGTTGCTGGTGGTGGAGGTGCTGGTCTTGCTGCTTTCAAGAAAGGTGCTGCTGGTGGCGGAGCTGCTGGATATCAAGCTGGTGGAGCAGGAAAAGCTGGTTATGCTGCTGGAGCCAAGGGTGCTAAAGGTGGTGCTGCTTATGGAGCCGCTGGAGCCGCTGGTGGTTCGAAGGGAGCTGCTGCCAAGGGTGGATTCGCTTCTGGAGCTTTTGGTAAAAAGTATGGAAAGAAAGGAGGATTCGCTAAAGCCGGTGGTGCTGGATACAATAAGAAAGTGGGTCTTGTCAAGAAATTCGGAATGAGCCAAGGATTCAAATTCGGTAAAGCCGCTGGTTATGGTGCTGCTGGAGGTGCTGTCGGAGGTAAAGCCGCCAAAGGAGGTTATGCTGGAGCTTCAGGAGCAGCTGGATACAAGGGAGGTAAAGTCGGCGGTGCTAAAGGTTATGCTGCTGGAACTAAGGGAGCAGCTGGAGGCAAATCCGGAGTCGCTGGAGCTGGTGGATTCAAGAAAGCCGTTGGTGCTGCAGGAGCTGCTGCTGGAGTTGAAAAAATCGGTGGAGGAGCTGGTTATGGATTCGGTAGGTAAATTTTATCAACTCTCAACTCATAACTAAAAGCCAAAGTAAACTTAACTAAAAACTTTTACCACAATGAAAACAAATCAAACAAAACTTTGCCAATCAATTTCAATTTAATCTTTGCAAACACCAAATCGATAACCGATCCAATCATAATAAGTCGAAGCTCAAGTAAAAAAAGTTTCAAAAGTTTTTCTGTGATCAATAAAAAAAATTCACAAACACAATCCATTCAATGTTTTCCATTTGTTTTCAATATTCACATAACTCAATCATTTAAATCTAAGATTTTAAAACGTTAATAATGAAAATTTTATAAAAGTTTTACTCGCCTAAATTAGCAAATGGTCCCTCAAGATTAAAGCTCAAATGTTTTGGTTTTCTCGCATGAATCTCATTCATTAAAGGTAAACAGATTACTCAAATATTAGTGGTATTTTTTGAACCTTAACAAAATGAAAATAAATCCAGAAAATTGGAGACATGTAAGTTGTTTAATTATATTCTCTATATAAATAGGTAATTATCATCCTCGAGACAAACCAAATCTCCATCATTGTCGGATGATAAAAATAACCTGCGGTCACACAATCACCGCCAATGATGACTTCATCTCGTGGATTTGGTTCATCTCGAGGACGGTGATTACCGCCAACTCAATTCAATCCGACAATCTAATCGCGGTAAGACTTTACTACACCCCCCTATCCAGATCTTCTTCAAATTTTTTCTGTAAATAGTACTCATTGAGTACTACCTACGTGTAAAAAATTTTTTCACGGAAACTTATGTGGGTGGAGTTATACGCATTTAAAAACATAAAATCCTTAAGGAGTCTATGGGACGTTTTAACTTCGCGAAAATCGATGTATAATGAAAGTGGGAGAGGCTAAGGTCATGCAATTTTTTTCACATATACATTCAACTATGAACATTCCATAACGCAACTTTTAGCTGGATTCGCTACTAGCAACAATACTTATACTAGGTCAAAAATAGTCAAAACTGTTATTTGTATATATGTAGTGACTGACTACTCAGATCAACTTGAAATTTGACCAGAATATTTTTCAAGGTCAAAATTATTGTCAAGGTCATTTTGATCAAGATCCCTGCAACTAATTTTTTTGTGATTTTTAGCCAATAGATGATGCTAGAAACACTTTAGTTCACATAAGTAGCAATAGATGGCAGCACTTTCACACTTTGAGGAGGCACCGCGAGTGAGCAAATTTTTTTAGTACTTAAAGTGATGCAAACCCAACCAATGTTGTGCTGCAAACTAACCTAACCTTACCACTATCTCCGTATGGGAGGGTAGGTATATGTGTATACCTGAGAAAATCATCGAATTTTGAGTCATCAAATTTTGTCACCTTGAAGTACTTTCTCAAAAGTTCGAAAACCATTCAACCAAGATAAAACTCGAGCACAACAATGACCTTTATTTGACTGATTTAACCAGTAAAATTGACGAAATGTCAATCTCACCAAACTCTACTAAAAATTGCTCCAAAACAATCAACAAGTTAAAACAAATCAAACAGGTTTGCGCCCTTTTCTTTCCTTCTTTTATTCAACTTATTAACTTTTTCTGATCTTACAGGAAAAAATGGTTGAATATATTGGGAAAGAGCGAAAGCAGCTATTTGAAGGAATTTTCAATCGTTTACCGATCAATAGCGCGAAACTGGATGAATACATTTTGAGTCAGGCTGATTTTTTCAACTTCGTTCGGGATGAGAGGATTGAAGGAAATTTCGACACTGTTGACATTTTTCGTGCCTACAAATTTTTCATTTATCGAAAAGCTAGAACGAAAAGGAATCGTAGAGTAGCTTATCAACAAAAGTTAGATGAAGAAGTTAAGTTAATTGATGATGCTCTCTGCAAACGTATGCCTGCAATGGCTGGAATTCAAAATTCAGATTTTTCTCCAGAATCAGCTGATATGAGCCAAAGAGCTCTCTGTAATAGACTCAAGTCTATTTAAAATTTCATTCCTCTGTTTACATTTTCATCAAGGTCATTCAGGTCATTTCTAAGAGAAAGCGTTTCAAGGTCATCTTAAGGTAATATCGTTATTCTCAATATTTTTTCAGCCTGGAAAAATGAGTTGGGAGTTTATTGTAATCTTAATATATTACTTTAATTAAACAGCTGAATAGCCTTGTATTGTCTTGATGTCAAATAAAATTCAAATTTAGTATTAATTTCCTCTGAATCAACAGTTTTATGAAATTCTATCCAACCTGTTATCAAATTAATATCATGTTTAACGAAACGTGTTTGGCTCTCTTGGTGTATCAATTGCCTTGGGCATGATTAAAACAGTATTTTGTGCCTACGATTTGATGGCCCTTCCCTTTTACACTGTTACCTAACAACCGACATAATACTTACCAATTGTTAATTTTTAAAGTGATCAAATCTAATTAATCAAAAATGAACAAACAATTGGTAAGTATTATGTCAGTTAATTGATAATTTGTTTTGTGTTTAGAAATTTAAATTGAATCATTTTTTATGATTAATATAAATAATTTTCTATTTCTTTTCCTCTCTTTAGTTATTCTTCATTTTCGTTTCATCTCTTGTTCTTTGTGTTTCGTTGGTTCGAGCTGAAGAAGGCGAAGAGTTCGAAGATTCGAATCATTTTTTCTGATTATAAATGTAATGTCATCATGGTAACAATAGTTATTCAAAATGAATTCTTATTCACCATTTACCCAATAGTTAATTTTCTAATCAACTCATTGTTCTTATTAAGAAAAAGAAAGTAATCAATATTTTCCCTTCTTTCTTTTTCTCTTTCATTTCTCTTTCCTTTAAATTGTTAATTGTTTAATGTTTACTGTAATTAACTCTTAATTATAATCTAATTATTAATATCTTAGTTGTGGAATATGATTAACTAAATCATCCCGACTAAGATGATGTATGATTACAAGTATAAAAGGACAGTCGACTGCTAGATACAAGGGAGCTAAAGGTTATGCTGCTGGAACTAAGGGAGCAGCTGGAGGTAAATCCGGAGTCGCCGGAGCTGGTGGATTCAAGAAAGCCGCTGGTGCTGCAGGAGCTGCTGGAGTTAAAGCTACAAGTGGTAAAGGTGGCTGTGGATTCGGCCGTTAAATTGCATCAACTCTCAACTCGTAACTAAAAGCCAAAGTAAACTTACCCAAAAACTTTCACCACAACGAAAACAAATCATTCCTGTTCATCTTCATCAAATTAACTTAATCAATAATGATATTTGATAAGTCAGCCATTTAATCCAACTAAATATCAATGGCATTTAGATTTCTCAGACAGTACAAATGAAATAAATATGATGATTGAATATCCACGTGAAAAGCTAATACGAAAGTAGATTTAATTAGTTTTCTGGCTAATGAATTCTAATTCAAGTAGATCCTCAACTATGATTATTAGTTTTATTGTAACAAAACTCAAAAATTATTTGATAATATCGTTCTGATATAAAAGCCAAAGTTAATAACAATTATCACACAAGACAACTTCCTAACTGTTTCTCATTTTATCAAACTCCCGTATAATCATCAAATTGATTGAAGATTGAATCAAATTAACGTGTGCACAGTTAAATTAACCCTCAAATTAAATCAATTATAGATAATTTTTTTCAACCTACCTGTTGATAATTTGTGATCTATCTGATTCTTGATTCCGGTGTAATTTTCACCCCTGTCATTAATAATTTTATCATATGAAAAAGAGAAATAAATATTGATCTTAACCATACTATTAAAGAATCAGAAAAAATATAATCACTTTAATATCTTGGCTATTCCAATGAACTTTATTCAAACTTCAAAAATAACGATGAATAAATAAATAATCTTAATCTGAAAAATCATGAAGTAAAACAAATAAACATAAATCTTTGTGATAATTCATTAAGTTATGAACAAGAATAGGTAAGTTCCATGTCATCAGAATATCAACTATGTTATTTTATCTTTAAAGTTTCATCAGATTATCTGATTTACAAGAATCTTTCCATACAAGAATTGATATTATCTTTTTGATTAATATTCCAATTTCTGAATACAAGAAGAAGTAATATTTTCGTATTAATAGCACATTTGAGTATTTTTTTCATCCATTTTTTGATTACCACCAAGGACTAGGATATATAATAAGTCTCTGTTGCTTTATTATATCAACTCCAATAAATATGAATTCTAATATCTTATTGCCAATTATAATTTTCTATCTAGAAAATATTCCATTCGATCCAAAATAAGTATTTACTTATCATAAGTTCTCAGTCTCTCACCAAATTTATATCTTCATTCATATCATTATAATTTTCTTTCTTACATTTACTCACGAATCTTTCTGCTCGATTCTTTCACAATCAATATCACTATTCTTATATCAGGTAACATGGTTGTCAATCGTTTCGAGATCATTTTTCATTCATTGAAATTTGTTGATCAAAAAGAAAAGTCCGCTGATAGAATCAAGTTAATTATAAGATTTGTAAGAGTTTCGATTTATAAACTAACACTTTCTCCATTTTCTTTACTATGATATATATTACGTAGAGAAATTTTGATTAGATGCAATTAATCAGCTGTGATAAGTTCATAGACAAATTGTTCATTGTTATATATTAAATGTTACACAATAATTACAACAATTACCACCAAAGATTTACCAATTCCTAATCTGGTGAAGATTCATCTCTCTTCTTCTAGCCTTTATTTTCCAATTTATTACTCTTTACCAAATCGCTAATCATCAGCCAGATTATAATCATAATAATAATAACGAAACAAAGTGAATATAAAGACAAGCTGATTCTTCATATTCATTACTTATGGTCATCATCAGGATTCTGCAATGGATAATGTTGATTCTGGTCTTTATCTACTACTATGTGTTCAATTTATTTGGATTAACTGGAGAATTTGTTTACATTTTCTTATCCTTTCTTTTTCGACTTTTCTATTTGGTCTTGGACTTTTATTGAGCCCTTCATATCCTTTACCATCAAGGACAATAATCTATTTATATATAATAAGTATAATAACCTTCAACAGAATTGGAATTTACCAATTGAAAGAAAACGGAAAGAATCAACCATATTCTTTGTACTTTGACTGAAACTTTCAATCAGCTTAAAGTAATGAAACGATTATTATCAATGTACTTCATTATTTTCATGACATCAACTTGTAAGATTGTAAAAGAAAAGTAATACAAACGTTTGAACTATCAACTCTTCAATTCTTTGATGAACTTCACATCTTGAAGATCACAACTAAATGCTCATATTATTAGAAAATACTAAATAACATTTCGAGCTGTTATTCCCTGGTACAAGAATATATTTGCTTTTGGTTATTCTCAGTTTAATGAAACAACAGTAAGTAAACTACGAGTGAATAATGAACTTTTAATAAGTTTTATAAGATTAAATCGGAAGACAGAATGAGAAATTTTCATGGAGTCTCACCTGATCATGTCTTTTTCCTAATCCAATTTGAAAATCTTGTTGCGACATTAATCAAATTGATAATTAATCTGATAATCTACTCATTTGATTCGTTTAATCGTTAGTTTGCTCTAGATAATTAAAGTTTCTCAATTAGTGAATAGTCTTAGAAATTTCCAACTAGAATATTCCATTGAAATTATTGGTTATTATTACTATAAATTGTAAATCTCCAAGAAGTTTTATTTCTTTACAAGTTATAATTATGTTTATTCAATTACTAGAATTTTCGTCTCTCTCTTCCTTTATCATAATCATTTAGAACTTTTTTTTTCTCGTATGTTTATCATTCGAAAATTTCTTATACGCATGAATCTGAATCTTCCCCTGGACAAGATGATAAAGAAAACGGATAATGAAGAGATGAAGAGATGAATGAAGAAGATACAGAAATGAGTTAAAGATAAACAAATTCTGTAATCTGTAAGTAACAAGTAGAATTGTTGCTTCCCAAATGAATTATCGAACATGAATTGATTTCCATCTTCAATAGACTCAATTGATAATCTTTATAAATGAACAAAATGATTGAAAAAAGTTCTGAAAAGTGACAATAAAATGAGTGATCGATATGATTTACCTGATTACAGTGATACAAGTGATTTAATCATCTTCAACAATGATAGTAATAATAATTTCAAATCATGGTTTGACAATCAACCTAATCAACTAAATTACTCTCATATTTATCAAGTTGCTCAGTGTTTTTTATTTGCCAAACTTGAAATTATCTCAACTTGTCTAAGTGTCTTAAAAAGTTCATCAACAGTAACACAATTAACACCAAGTGGAAATAATTTTCCTGATAATGATTATGATTATCGCCCCTTTGTGCCCTCACCGAGTCTTCAAGTTTTCTGGACGACAATATTTAGTTTGATTGTTTTTTCATCCGTTTTGGGAAATCTAATTGTTATCCTGATCATTTGTAGTTATAAACAAATGAGAACCAAAACTAATCTATTCCTACTTAATTTATCAATCGCTGACCTAATGATGGCCACTTTCAATACGATGTTTAACTTTATTTTTATGCTCCAAAGCCATTGGCCTTTCGGCGATACTTATTGTCTAATCAACAATTTCCTCTCATCAATTGCAACAACATCCTCAGTGTTTACAATTACCGTTACATGTATCGACAGGTAAGTTAATTAATCGCCTTTAATTGGCTGTAAATTGTCAATCACCGGTTTGGATATCAATCTGAATCAATTAGTAGATTGAGACTTTTTCTCAACAATTTCAATTCAGTTGTTGATTCAGTTTCAATTGTTTTGTTAGTAGTAAAAGTATATCATTGATCAACTATTAGTATGATTAATTTAATTTGTTTTCCTCTACTTTAATGTTTTTCATTAGTTGATATTAGTAAGTTAATTATCAAGGTAATCAACTTGAAATACCAAAAAGTTAATTATGAAAATGAATCCTAAGATTTTAGCTCAATAGTTAGCAAGACTTACATATTATTAATAATATAATTATCTTCTAGTATATTTCGATTGTATCCCTGATGATAATCAGTTTAATTGATGAGAATTAGAGAAACAATTAGTTGGAAACTTTTTTTCTCCCATCTTTCAACTTTTCTATAGCTAATTAATCTAATTAATTAATTGTTTTCCATTGAATCGTCAAAGTATTGAATTTCGTTGTAAAGTTTTTTTTCCTTCGTACAATTCAAATTACTATGGTTAACGTAACAATTAACAATAAAGTCGATAGTTGTTGATTGTTGAGCTACAATTAGCTTCTAATTTCGTACCAAAGTTTGATTATCTCAACAGCTTATCGACTGAAATGATTGATGTTGAAACGAAATGAAGTTGCCACCATGATCATCACCCTGATTGTTATCGTTTATCATGATAATAAAATAGTCAAGTTCACATAATATTATCAATGCCATACAAGACAAACTAATTAACATTCATGATTAAGAAACAAAACAAACTTATATACACACGTTCTCTATGAGATTTCATGGTAATCATGATAAATTATGATTCAGTTTATCAACTTTTTTTTCCTTTGTCTTATTGGTGGAATTTTCAATTCTCTTATTGTTCATTATCGTTTTCATGATAAGTAACAATGAATCAATTTTTTCCTCTCCTTTCAATGTGAATCTAATACTTGAAAAGCTCTCAAACACACAGTATTACCATGTCTTCCGATGATAATCATGAGAAATGATAATATCATTAATGAATTCAGAATAAAAGATTTTCTTTCTCAAATGATTTACCATGACAATCAAACCCAAATATTCAGATTGTTATGAACTTTTTTTCCTTTGCACATCATTATTATCGTAAAAGTATCATTTCTAATATTTAATGATTAATGAACTATTCAATCAGATTAAATTTGATTGATTGTGAATACTAATTGTGTTAACTTCAATTAACCCACAATTTACACATACACAGAGATACAAATCAATTGGTGGAAACTTTTATTATCTGAATTAACTTAATTTTCATCAATGATTGAAATTGATTTCTGAAAGTTTGTACTTTTCATGAGCTGGAAAGGTTAAATATAATTAATCGTCCAATTAGTATTCATGTTAATTATTAATCTACTATAAACCGATTGTCAACTAATCATCTACTATTTACTTGGATTAAAGGTCAATCAATTTGAAATGATATTCTAATCACAAAAAAGTAATCGGTTAATTCATATTCGAGGTTAAATCAAGTTTAATAATAAGTCTTGTTTTGTAAGTTAATTGTAATCACAGTTATGAAATTGTTCAACTCCTACGTTGATCATGATAATCTTACTCATTGTAATCTAATATCTCTACTCAAACTAAAAACTGATTCATCTAATCCCCTAATGGTATTGATTTCAGAATCACTTACTGTCTGATTAAATATCATGAGGGATTGGAATTACAAATTTACCTTTTATTCATCATCATCTATGAAAATTTGTATTCCATTCAAATGATTTTAATAACAAAGCTAGAAAATCGTTGAGAATTTAAATTAAATTTATAAATACACCTTTGATATATCAAAGTTTTATCCTTCTCTTTTATTACTTTTATCATGGTTACTTGTATACGAACATGATTCCAATGAATTGTTATGTTATTACAATTGTATTTGATCATATGGTTCAGATCATAATTAGGAAATGTGATCGACAATAAAAGGAAAAAATTGTGATCCAGTAAGCGGAAATTGAATTTTTCGTGATTATATCAATCACATTAATACTGTTACAATATAATGATGAAGTTTGTTACTCAAGTAACCATAATCAATGAACAATTTAGTTGATGAATACCATGAAATTTCAAGGCTACTAAATCACTGTAAAGAGAAAAGATATTTTTTCATTTTCTTATGTTAATTAAGTATACAGGGCGTTTTTTATCCACTACGGCTATTACACTGAATATCTCCAGAACTAAAAGTCATATGAATGTCAGACTTGACCATAGGACTGAACAGAATTGAAGCACTCGACCCTACGATTTTCAAGGTCATTTAACAAAGGTAGCGTTCAAAAATCATTTTAAGGTCGTCGTGTGACCTTGACAATTTATTTTGTATTTAGATTTTGGTAAAATTTGTTATTGCAATAGTTTTGACTTAACCACCTTTACCACTTTTAGCTTTAACTCCAGCAGCTCTTGCAGCACCAGCGGCTTTCTTGAATCCACTAGCTCCAGCGACTTCGGATTTATCTGACTCCGGATTGTTGACTGGACAATTAACATTCCTAATTTTCATATTTCCAGTAATTTCGAATGATGTTATATGAACGTGGCTGTTAAAGAAATAAACAAAATGAAGTCAATCTCATCTTCACCAAGAATAATATCGATTGACTTCATTTTGTTTATTTGTTTGGCAGCAACATCAACAATCCGGAGTCAGATAAATCCGAAGTCGCTGGAGCTAGTGGATTCAAGAAAGCCGCTGGTGCTGCAAGAGCTGCTGGAGTTAAAGCTAAAAGTGGTAAAGGTGGTTAAGTCAAAACTATTGCAATAACAAATTTTACCAAAATCTAAATACAAAATAAATTGTCAAGGTCACACGACGACCTTAAAATGATTTTTGAACGCTACCTTTGTTAAATGACCTTGAAAATCGTAGGGTCGAGTGCTTCAATTCTGTTCAGTCCTATGGTCAAGTCTGACATTCATATGACTTTTAGTTCTGGAGATATTCAGTGTAATAGCCGTAGTGGATAAAAAAACGCCCTGTATATATAAGTTTTTGACTACATTGTTGGAAATTTTCCCGAAAATCAATTTAGTTACATGTATTTCTAAGCACCAATGACAATAACTGATGATAAATGAATTCAAAAATATTCATAATGTAAAATTTAATTCCAAGGATAGTAAATCATTGAAATGGCGACATTTCAGTAGTGTGAATCATTTTCTCATAGCCTCGAGGTTTATGTCATAAGTTTTGAAAGAAAATTAGAATTTAGAAAGAAACAATCGACTTTCATGTCATATGCTATAATTTTGAGATGATATTCTTCATTTTCGATAAAATAAGTTTTCGACTTGTCAAATTTTTCCAATATCGAATAATGAATATCTCGATTCGAAAATTATTACATGATGACGATGCTTGATACCAAGAAAATAATTCAAATTTTTCCGTTCAAATGTAAAGACTTCAAATATCTTGATAGATATGACCAATTATGAACCATAATGGTGAGATATTAACACGTGTTTAAAGTAAACAAGAGAGTTTTTATCCTGGAAACTGGTATGTTAAGTTGTTCGGGTAATGATCACATGAACATATTTCTCACTATCGTCATGATAGAAACTGAATGACTGGTTATAAGATTAGCTGGAGAGAAACTGAGTGGATGGTTAGAAGAAAAAGTTCTGAACAGAGTCTGAGCTTTACTCAGAATCAGAGCAAGCGCAAGTATCAAAAATCTTTTGCCTCCATGAACCGGAATGAAAAAAGTTCAATCTCAACACTTGTTTAGTTATCACTTGTAAATTGTTTGTTGTGTTAAAGTGTTAACCCATGAATACCCTGATTTCATCACACCACCATTGATATTACAAAAGAGATGAAAATTATTATTGTTCAATGGTAATCAAGTGAGCTCAATAGAGAGAGAGAGAGGAACTGAAAGAGCTAAAAAGATACAACTAAAGTATTGAGAGATAAGTCTAACCATGGATTTAAATCAATACTCAAGTTCATCAATTTCTGCCAATACATCTTGTGATAATTACTTGACAAACAGTTCACCTAAACAATGCCCATTAATTAGTAGTAATTATTTACAGTTTGATAACTATGTTTCATCAACAACCTCATCATTGATACAATTAAGGTCACCAACGACAATACCCTCCGTCAATTCATCCCCATCGCCATCAGAAATCAATGAGCTTCGTCCTTTTATCCCTTCGGTCAGTCTACAAGTTATTTGGACTTCACTTTTTAGCCTGAATGTTGTCTCATCCATTTTGGGAAATCTAATTGTTATCCTGATCATTTGTAGTTATAAACAAATGAGAACCAAAACTAATCTATTCCTACTTAATTTATCAATCGCTGACCTAATGATGGCCACTTTCAATACGATGTTTAACTTTATTTTTATGCTCCAAAGCCATTGGCCTTTCGGCGATACTTATTGTCTAATCAACAATTTCCTCTCATCAATTGCAACAACATCCTCAGTGTTTACAATAACCGTTACATGTATCGACAGGTAAGTTAATTATCAACTTGCCAGTTTATCAAATAATAGCAATTTGATTTAATATAAACATCAACTTTCATCATCGTCTATTTGTTGATCGTATAACATTGTAATGTTTTCAGTAACGGTAAAAATGTCAACTTGGATTACAATTTGTTTAGTTACTGTTGATTGATTTAATTGTGAACATTATTTACTCAATAAGTGTATTAATATATTCGTTGGGTGACTAAATCGATAGTTTTTTTTTGTCTAGTTAAAGTTGTTAGATTTTGACAGTTACTGACATTAAATTGCTTTCCATTTAATTCACATCCATGTTAATTAATGAATTTCGTTAAGATTGTTGATCATATTAACTTTTTAATAACAACGATGAAAATTCATAAAAGTTGACAAGTTAATTATCAACACAATCCAAAACTTATTTTAACCCAAAATTTGTATCTTTACATTTTCAATGCTCAACATTTCACTTATCAAACTGATAAATTAAATTTTCTGTTTTATATCAACAGCTTACAGGCAATAAGCAAATTAATATAACACTCTGAGTATTCACCATGGTAACAAGGTTCACAATAATCGGATGCTAATTAGTCTTGAATGAATTGAGTTTCCATTTGTTAAGATACAATTATTATTTCACCGCAAGGGTTTCCCATGCACACACCATGTTAATCAAGTAAACTTTTATATGGATTCTAAATATCGTCAACGAAAAACTGTCTCAAAGTTATGATGGTCAATTGTTCAGTGTTCAAATGGTTCCAAGTTATATTTAGTTTCATGATAATAAGAAAAAAAAATATAAACAATATATTCAGTGTTCAAGGTAAACAGAATCCAGAGTAATATGTATTTGATTATTGTCATCACCATGATTGTGAACATATTATAATGTAAGAAGATGATGATAATCAAAAAAACAAACTATTCTTTCATGATTATCATCAAGATAATAATAAGATATATGAGAGTAAGGACACTCTTGATTATTTACTCTCTCCAAATGCTGAATATGAAAGTGATAATCATGTTATTATTATTATCTTATTCTGAATGATATTAATACTTTCCTAGTCGAGAATGATCATAACATTATCGTCATCAGCATCACCAACATTTTCATCATCATCTTTGATTATTTCTCAGTAATAACCCATGTTACATGTTCACTTGAGTATCAATCACATGATATTCATGGTGATTACAACAACGAAAAAGATATGATTCATTTTGAGCAGCGATAAATTATTATTTCCTTGTTATCAGTTTCATTTTTTATCCTCTAATATCCAATAAATAACTAAATGCTCAATTTTAATTGTTGTTATGGATCATGAATTTATAGATATATAATATTTATTGGTTTATAAATAGTTGTACTAAATATTATCTTTATATTATACCTTCCGGTTAATCATAATACATTTTGATGATGATTGAAATACCTTTTGATTGAATTGGCAGAAAATTATTTATAATTAAAGTTAATCAATTCGATAATATTTATTATTATTATTATTATTATTACAACTCTTAATCTTGTTCAGATCACTTGAGATTTAATATTATCTCTGATACTAGAATCAAGTCAAGAATAACAATTGAACATGTTATACTTAGAATTGGTTTACAGATGAACTGATAATCTGATTCTCTCCCTGTTATTCATCTTCATCTTCATCATATCATGAACAGAGAAAGTAAGAATTGAAATAGACTGAGAGAGGAGGTGAAAAAAAAAGTTTTCCACCCTTCCAAGTTGAACTTATTTCACCATGATTAGGAATCATTCATGTTGATGATAAAGTATTAACTGTAACCTTTGATTGTTAAGCCATCAGATTTTTGATTTAATTCAAATGGATCCATTTTATGATAGATTTTCTCTCACCATCTTCAATTAATTAATTTCAATCATACTCAATTGATCATAAACTGTAATCAGGCTCACAATTTACACCGATCAATTTTAATTGGCAAGCTAATTGGGAAAACATCTCTTTCATCAAACTTAATTGTCTCATGAAACAATTAACATTGTCATTTATATGGTAATCATCTGATAATGAAAATAAAGTGATTAATTATATTATCAACGATCACGCTTATTATCACAATTGATTATTGGTTAATCAATTGATACAAGAATAAAAATAAACACAATTGATAATTAATCACACAAATCACACAGCATAATTATCATTCTTGATCATTGATTTAATAGTTTTATCGTAAAAATTATGATTAAAACGATCATTAGAAATACAATTGATTTCTCAACAATCGAGAAACTTATTAATTAATTGATTTATTGATGAAACCATCAACTTTAACATTAATCATGAGATGTTGAGGCAATTCAATTAATGTCAACATGAAACAACTACAATTTAATTAAATGGTTTAACCTACAATATAGAGTGAGATCGATTGCTAATTGTGAACTAATTTGATCCATGATAAGTGCGATCAGGGTGATATTTTTAATCTCGAAAAGACAAAAGAAACTTGAAGTTCTAAATAGCTTTGAGCTTCGAGTTTGAAACAAACTCGACATTTTCTCATATGTAAAGTTTCAAAAGTCAACAATCAAATTCATTTCATGAGTTGTGTTGATTTTCTGGTTGCTGACAATTCAGATGGAATTGTTTTCAATAGTTTTCCTGTGTCTATTACTTTGTAATGTTAGCATTGTTTTGGCTCGTTTTCAGGGTGATATTCATGGTTTTGGAAACTGAATTTCCTACAAGAATGGAGTATATTAATTTCACCGAGAAATATAATAATAGCAGCTAAATATTACCATTTCTATCCTTTCAGTGAAATTGTCTCATGTTATTCAGATTTTTTTTCTCTTCTTCCAATGAACAAATGAAAGAAGTTTTTGATATTCTCTTGGTATCCAAGGGTATCCAAGAAAGAGAAAAGGCGGAAGAGGGAAGTGGAAAAAAGTTCTTTTATGTTAAGAAGAAGTTCTAAAAGTTCTGAGTCGTAATTCTGAGTAGGTGTCATCAAAAATTATCCACAGGATTTGTTACCATACGAAGACATTATCATGTATTTGATTTTTTTCTTCTTCTTTTTTTCCATGATTTTTCCATCCGCCATATAACCACCATTACTAAAGGAATATACCACCATGTAGGAAGTTGAAATTTCATCTGTAGAACTTTTTAGAAATCAGTTTCATCAATGTCTTTTTCTTTTCACTCGCTTATCAAACTCAATAACATGATCGATTAGTTGCTAATCTTATTGTTGTAAATATTTCAACTCCATTTTGTTGACCTTTTTTCTGACCTCTTCAGATTTCAAGTCATTCTCACATTACACAAAATCAATCTCAAAAGTTGACATGACCTATTATACTATGAAAAAGAGATGCTAATGATGAGAAATCAGATAATATCGATGATTATCAGCTTTCAATTATATAAGTAAACAAATTTTCCAATAAACTCTACAAAGAAAACTTTTTTTTCCATTCTAAATTCAGTCTATAGATCACCTTTTATCGCCTTGTTCATAACCCCTGCTCATCTTTAATTCCAATTCTAAGATTTGTGAACTTTAACTCTACTCCCAAGATGATTGATGTAAATATTATATCTAAATATCGAAGTGATAAACGATACTCGAGATTCTCCATGGACACGAGAAGGAGAATTAAGCTGAAAGTATAGCAAAGAGGAAAAAGTTCAAAGGTTGATGAAAAATTCTCTCAAAAATCATTAAGTCTTCATATAAGTGAGTCACTCCATGGAAACTAATTCCAGGGTCTAATTCAGAGTTCTGACAGGGTAGAATTTTTTTATAATATTATCCATCTCTCTCTCTCTCTCTCTTTATCTGTTCCTTGATATTAATACTTTTTTCTGTAGATTTGTTCGTATAACTTAAAGATTTTTTCTCCTCTTTCAGAGAAAATTTTGAGCTTTCACCCACCAGAACGTAAATATCATCATTAGACTTTATCATTGCATATTAAGCTTCTTATATTATTGTTGAAGCCAAAGTGTTTATTATAGCTTTGGAAAAAGATGTATGAAGCTAATCGAGTTAATTATATTCAACGAATCAGAGATAATGATGAAAAAATATGAAAATTCTTATGATGGATTAGATAATGTTGATGATTTACCATATATCTTATTCATGGATAATATTTGCTCCTGGTTTTTTATTTTACTTCTCCATCTCCTCCTGAATTTTTCATTCAGAAACTTTGGAAACTTTTTTCATTCTTCACAAAACTTTAAATCATTATTATTATATAAAAGAGAAGCATCAAAACTATTTTTAGATTTGAGGAGAAAACAACTAAATTCATGATATTCATCTTATCTCATCAACTAATTTCTCAATGTTAAAACTAATATATACCAATCAGATATTCACCATTAAACCTCAGTTTGCTTTTGCTAATTGTAATAATACGATTAAATTGCTTTGAGCGAAAACAAAAGTCGGCAATTTGTTGAAATCAATATTTCTCAAATCAATCTAATAACTTTCTTGATATTGCAAATTCTGAGTGGAGATTAAGACATTACCAAGTCTGTTGCAAGTCTTAGTTCAATTGTTTATTGATTAATATTTGCATTAAGACAATTTACTTATCAGCAATTGCATCTCACTAACCATCATCATCATATGTACTATTTATTTTCTTATACACATTTTACCCCTTTAACTACACTGTATAATCAGTTAGCAATTTGATTCACTTTAGTTTGTCGCTTCAACTTGATTTAGTATCAGGAGGATAATTATCGTATATGTAACATGAGTGTTAGGACCAAATCAATTGTAACAAAGTTTTTTTAACTCGTTGATTAATATCGTTGAACTGGAAACAAAAGTCAATCCCTTTGGAAGTTGATTGTTAGCCTTACCTTAAAAACAACAGGGACTGAGAGAAAATTGAATTTCCTTCATCATCATCATCCAAGAAGATTGAAGATAATGATGATGGTGATAAAAAGTGAGCTTAAGTCCAT